TCCATCCATCCATCCATCCATCATCCATCCACCCACCCATCCATGCATCCATCCATCCATCCATCATCCATCCATCCATCCATCCATCCATCCATCCATCATCCATCCATCCATCCATCCATCATCCATCCATCCATCCATCCATCCATCCATCCATCCATCCATCATCCATCCATCCATCTACCCATCCATCTTCCATCAATCCATCCATCCATCCATCGTCCATCCATCTGTCCATCCACCCACCCATCCACCCATCCATCAATACATACATCATTCATCCATCCATCCATCCACCCATCCACCCATCCATCATCCATCCATCCATCCATCCATCCATCCATCCATCATCCATTCATCCATCCATCCATCCACACCCATCATCCATCCATCCATCCACCCATCCATCATCCATCCCTCCCTCCATCCATCCGTCCATCCCTCCCTCCATCCATCCACCCATCCATCCATCCGTCTATCCATCCATCCATCCATCCATCCATCCATCCATCCATCCATCATCTGTTCATCCATCCATCCATCCATCCATCCATCCATCCATCCATCCATCAATACATACATCATCCATCCATCTATCCATCCACCCACCCATCCATCCATCCGTCTACCCATCCATCTTCCATCAATCCATCCATCCATCCATCATTCATCCATCCATCCATCCATTCAGTCATCCATCCATCCATCCACCCATCCATTCATCCATCCACCCATCCATCATCCATCCATCCATCCATCCATCCATCCATTCATCCATCCATCATCCATCCGCCTACCCATCCACCCATCCATCCATCATCCGTTCATCCATCCATCCATCCATCCATCCACCCATTCATCATCCATCCATCCATCCATCCATCCATCCATCCATCCATCCATCCATCATCATTGTTCATCCATCCATCCATCCATCCATCCACCCATTCATCATCCATCCATCCATCCATCATCCGTTCATCCATCCATCCACCCATCCATCCATCCATCCATCATCCATCCATCATCCATCCATCCACCCATCCATCATCCATCCATCCATCTACCTATCCATCTTCCATCCATCATCCATCCATCATCCGTTCATCCATCCAGCCACCCATCCATCATCCATCCATCCATTTACCCATCCATTTTCCATCCATTCACGCCTCCACCCATCCATCCATCCATCCATCCATCCATCCATCCATCCATCCATCCATCCATCCATCCATCCACCCCTCCACCCACCCACCCAGCCAGCCAGCCAGCCAGCCAGCCAGCCAGCCCAGCACAAACCATGGCTCCTTCCTAAAGATGCACAAGCACAAGCACTCACTCATGTGTCCTCCTGGTCACTGCCCACGTGTCCATCTGCCATAGGACAAGACAGAGGTTTTCCCTTTATCCTTTTTTTGGGGAAGTGGCTCTGTTCCTGCTGAGCTTTATTCTGCTGCACATAGCTCAAACCAAGCTCCAGCTTTTCCTCTCGCTTCCAGGACTTGGAACAGGATTCCAGGGCTCCAGGACTCCAGGATGGAAGCACCCTGCTTCCCATTGGTAAGACTCAGCTCTCAGCAGCATTCCTTGCCCATCAGCAGGTTCAGAATGGTTCTGTGCTGTGCTGCTCCGCAGGGAGCTCTGCATCCTTATCATGACCCAACTTTAATACCCCCAGAGCCAACCATGCAATCCAAGCATCCCTTCCAGGGAATGCCGCCTTGCTGCTCCTCTGCTGGCCAAGTGCCCTCTTTGCCCCATGTTATTCCTCATGGACAGACCCACAGACCCCACGTGGGATGCACAAAGCAACCTCTGTGCTCCCTTTGGCTTTGGAGCTCCTTTAGGATTCACTGCACCGTGCCGGTGTCTTTGGAATTGCCATCAAAGGCAGGGGGCTGCCTAAGGAGCTGGCAGGGAGGTGGCGCAGAGACAAACAGAGGTGGAAAAGACCGGCAAAGGGTAGGGAGATGTGATCAGAGGCAGGAACAAGGACAGGAAGGGGACCTGAGGCTGGTACTGGGATGCTGAGATTATCTTGGAAGTAAAGACCAGAATCAATGGCCAGAAACGGATCCTTTGGGAAGCTGAATGATTTATGGGGTGAGAAGAGGAGAGATTCCCAAAAGCAGGGGCAAAGAACTCCCCATTGACTCTTGAAAGCTCTTCTCAGAGGCTTTGTGGTTCCCATTGCTTCACAGAGGGGGCTGGTGGTTGGGTTCTGAGTTACTGCTGCTGCTCTTCCAAGCTCCTCATGAGGCCCAACCCAGCCTTGGGAAAGAAGGGAGCTGCTGCTTCAGCTCTTTCCAGCTGAGCTTGGTGCAGGAAACACGGGATCTGCCCAGCCTGGGTTCATCTCATGGATGGGGAGCAGAGCCCTTCCATGGCAAAAGAGTTTGTGGAGTGATCCAGTTCATCGGCAAGGAAAAGGCCTGGGGACATCACTCGGTTCCAGTTATGCAGCAACCAGGAAGAAAAGCTTCTTGGTTTGTTGGGTTTTCGCCGTTTCCCTTCAATTTAGGAAGTTCTTTTCATCACAGCCTTAAAATGAATCAAAGCAAAGAGCAGACTGAGCTGTGGCCCAGGGTCTGTCCATAGGGAATGTTTCACTTACAGGAAGATCAGTGGAGATAGTTTTACCCAAAGGAACAACCCATTCCATTCCTCCCCATCCCAATCCCCCTTTTTTAAGAAGAGGAAAAGAGAACCTGGAATACAAATCAAAAAGGAAAAGAATTGATCAGAATTGAGCGCCAAGAACTTGTATGATGGTTGTAAATCTGACCTGGAGCACAGGAATAGCACCTTCAAAGAGCTGAAATGAGCCCGAGCCATGCCGTGATGCTTTGCTTATGGACTGGAACCACTGCTGGCTCCTTCCCAGGGCCTGCTGTTCACTGCAGGCTCTTGCAGCTCCGATACAAACAGTTCCCTTCATCCAGAACCCATTCCTGATTTATCCCAAGGGGAGGACATGGCCAGGGAAGAGCTCATCTCAGTCCCCTCTGGCAGGTTAAAGCCATTCCCCTTGGCCTGTCCCTGCATCCCTTGTCCCAAGCCCCTCTCCAGGTTTCCTGCAGCCCCTTTAGGCACTGGAGCTGCTCTAAGGTCTCCCCTTAAGGAGCCTTCTCTTCTCCTCTTCCATGACCCCAGCCATGGGTGCTCCCTGTTGCAGATGCTCTTGGGTGCTGCAGAGCTGGGGCCATGCTGAGCCTTGGAAAACAGGCTTGGAGCTTCCCTGCACGCACATGGAGCACAAAGGGATCCTGCTCTTTGAATTCTGGAGGTGCTCCCGTACAAGTGACCTGGTGCTGCTTGTTCCCCTGGCACATTTGGCCTTGCTGGGCTGGGAAGCATCCCAGGTATGAGCAGCAGGAGGGAAGGGGATGGAAGAGAAAGGTTTAAGCACCAAGGAGATAGGAAAGCAAATTCCAAAAGCTCTCAGCTTCCAAGTGGACTCTGCCCCTCACCCTGGTGCGGAGAGACCCGGGGTTGGGACAACTCTTCATTCTCCGTGCTGCTTTATTCACTTCCTGGAAAACCCTGGCCGGTGCTGAGAGCAATTCCCACTGGAAGACGCCTTTGAAAAGGATCCCGCTTTTCCAGGAGTGTTTGAGGCTTTGAAACCTTGGAACCTTTGGGAAGGATTCCAAGGATTTCGATGATGGGGGGGGGGGGGAAGTGTTCCAGGGAAACCACAAAGCCATTCCCAAGCTGCTCCCAGCACCACCAATTCCTCCCCATTCCCTGGGGCAGTAGTGCACTGGGATGCAGGCGGTTCCCATGCAGCCGCCCTCCCCGCTAAGAGACTCCAGAGAATCAGTGCAAGTGTGGCTGAATCCATTTATTATTGCAGTTTGTAGGGATTTTAGGGGGGAAAAAGGCAAAAAAAGAGCAAAGTTTCTACCCAGTCCTTTCCAATGTGGCTCAGTTGAGAAAAGAAGGGTGGGAATGAAGTTCAGTGCCTCCTCCCCTGCTTCTATGGCTAAACAGTGTCTCTAAGTGGGATCTGTCAAGGAATGGGTGGGAGGAAACGGGCTCAACCCACCTCTCCCTCCCTCTGGAATGGTCCCCTCCAGCATTCCCAGCCACGCTTCCTCGTCATTCCCATGCTCAAGGAGGGAAGAAGCAGCAGCACGATGTGAGTGGCATGTTTGCATCCACATGCCACTCTGGCTCGTCGCTGGCTTTTTGTCTCTAATCCCAACCGTGGGATTGACAGAGGGGAAAACTATGCCAAACGACAAATAAAAGAGAATCCAAAGAGGGCAGAATTCCAGGTGGGAGAGGAGGGGAGAGGTTCCCATCCTTTCCATCTGTGCAGCATCTCAGGTCAGAGGCTCCTAATGTAGGAATGATGGGAGCATCGCATCAGGTGCAAAAGCCTCTAGGCTGGCTCTGGTGCATCCCTGGGCCTCCCGGATTGAAGTGTTCCCAGTCTGCTCCTCAGACCCAGCTGGATCCGGGCATCTGCCTGCGGAAGAATTCCACCAGTCCGGGTGAATTTGGGATTGAATGAGAGCAGTGTAAAAATCGCCTGTGGGGAAAAACCAGCATCAGGCTTCTGGAAGGGGGCAGTTGGGAAGAGGAAATGTTTTCTCAGGAGGGTTTTAGGGAAAAATGGACGTTTTATAGAATACAAAAATATTCCCAAGTGAAAAATAGACGTTTTCTACTCTGAGAACTCCTGGTTTTTCCTTCCTAAACGATTCCTTTGCCCTGGGCTCTGTCACAGATGATGCTTTCCAAGAGGGAACGTTTCCAATCGATTTGGGAAATAGGAAATCCTCACAAGATCCTATTCAGCTGAGATAGGGAGCAGGGAGGGAGATGGATCAGATCTGGGATCTTGTTTGGAAACCAGTCCTAAATCCCCTCTTGTGCTTGCCTGATGGGGTTGGAACTGGAGGAGCTCTAAGGTGCCTTCAACCCAACCCACTGCATGGTTCTATGATTCCATCGTTATCACCGTGCTGCTTAAGGTCATCTTGGATGAGGAACAGGAGGATTTCCCTGCTTCCTGCTGACTCCAGTCCATGAAGCAGCCATAACCCACACCCCTCCCAACCCAGTGCTCTCCAAGCCTCCAGGCTTGGATGTGCCACATCTGGAAACCATCTGCATGTTTCTCTTGCTCTCCCCATCAAAGAGCTGAAGGGCTTTATCAGAGAGGCTCTTTTTTTACTCCCTTTTAAGGGTTATGGGTTTTCCTCTGATGCATCCAAATGGATCCTTCAAGTGTTAGCCAAAGGAAGGAAAACAAAAGGGAAGGAAGCAAACTGCTGGCTAAGGGACAGGTCCAACCTGCAACACGCAGCGCTGCGACGAGAGTGCTGCCGCTTCCGAGCAGGGACACAAGTGATGGGTTGTGGCAAGGGCCAGATCTGAGCTTTGTAACGTGGGAGATCTGCAGGAAGCACCAGTAATGATTCCAGAAGTGATCCCAAGGGGAAAGTGGGAGGAGCAGCGGTAATGGACCCCCTCAGCAATGCTTCCACACCAGCACCGTGAGCCTGAGGAGTGAAGACCTGCCCCAAGCGAGCAACCCGAGGGAGGTCAACCAGGAGCAGCCCCACCAGCAGCGACCAGAGGGGTCAATGCTGTCCTGGGCTGTTTGCAGGGCAGGGAAGGGAATTGGGATCCTTTCGTTAGAAAACGAGGAGCAAAGGTTGGGCTTTGAGACCCGGGAGAGGCTTCACCTCCTCCTTTCTTTGTCTTTCTGCTTCCAGGCCTGAAAACTGAGCCGCCAAGTGCTTGGCATCGCCAGAGGAGGTACCTGAGCTCTCTTAGGGGCTCAGCTTTCACCTCCATGGGCCTGATTCTGCTCTTAGGGACTATCTGTTGCAGAAACCAAGCCTGTGCATGCAGGAGGACAGAACCCAAGCTACCAGCAGTACTCCAGGCTCCTGTGCACAGCCCCGATGTTTCCATTTCCCCTCAAAGCAAAGGCAAAAGAAGAAATGGTCATGGAAAAGCCAGAAAACACCCCCCAAAGAACCCGGATGGGCCAGCTCACAGATTCCAGGCTTTCATCCTCTGTTTGCATGGAAAGGAAGACATCGAGCTGCTAAGTCCCATTGCAAGGGGGTCTGGGAAGCATCAAGGGAGAGCCAGGCTTGGGCTGAACGCAGGTTGGATGCACAAGAGCAAGAGCTGCCGAGCCCAGGAGGTTACAGGAGGGACCTGTGCCAGGCCAGAGCTTCCAGGATCTTCAAGACAGTTCCTGGCCGATGGGGGTTTCCTGGGATGGGCACCTTTGGTTTGGTCCCTTCCTTCCAGGAGCACAGGGAGGGAGCAAGGCTCTTGGTCAAGGAGCTGCAATGCTCAGGGGTCAGAGCAGCGAAGCCAGGGCTCAACCAGCACAAGAGCATCCGTGCCCCCAGCGCTGCTCCGGGCATGCAGGGCCATTCCCTAGGGACCCGCTTCTGCCCTCCAGGCACGGCAGGAGCCGGGGGCTTGCAGTGCAAAGGGTGCTCTTTGAGAAAGGAGGTATGAAACTGGCAGTGAATTTATTGGAACATGGGGCGGTTGCAACCAGGGGATGTGGTGGAGGGAAGGAAGGGGTCAAGCTTTGAGAAGCGGGGTTTTGGGGGGGAACAGGCACCTTGTCACTCTTGGAACACTGTCAATAATAATAATTATAATAATAATTAAAAAACCAAAGGACCAAAGGGCCTCCCCTGCCCCTCCCTCCCCCCGGCGCTTGCCTTCACATCATGCTCTTCCTGTACTGTGAGCTCTGTCTGCCCCGCGAGTCCGACTGCTGCAGCTCCAGCTCTTTGTACAGGTCCCTCAGCTCCCTGATCTCCTGCAGCACCCTCTTGGCCTGGCTCCACGTGGACGAAGCCTCCCCCAGCAACCTCTCCGATTCCTGCAGGATCCTGTCAGAGTCCGACTTGGAGGAGGATGAGGAGGAAGAGGAGGACGTGGTGGTGGTGGTGGTGCTGGTGCCGGAATCCTTGGGCTTTCTCTTGCCTTCCCCGTAGCCCTTCACCTCCGTCAGCAGTTCCTGAGTTTTTTCCAGTTTCAGTGCAACCAATTCCTGCAGCCGGGACAACTGCTCGGGCTCTGCGGGGCCAAAGGGAGCCTCCAGCCCCTTCCTCGGCGCCCGCTGGGAGGCAGAGTCCCTCCGGGACAGGATCTCTTCCATGGAGGCACATTTGTTCTTCTCGGAAAGCGACAGCTTCTTGGGGACCTGCGGGGTGTACACGGGGCCCTTGTCGATGGCCTCGCCGCGCTGCCCCGCTCGGGCCCACGCGCTCCCGTCGCGCCGCGGCAGGCTCCCTGTCCGGCCCTTCTCCCACGCCGTGGTGTCCTGGGAGCCGGAGCGGCGCCGGCCCGCAGTGAGATGCGCCATCGACTTGTCCAGGTCCACGCGGAAGCTCCCTTCGCAGGAGCTGTGGTCCTCGGGAGAGGCGTCCTCCTCCTGGATCAGGTCGAGGGTCAGCATCCCATCGGAGGTTGAGGTAGATGCCTGGAGGGGCGAGGAAGAGCGGGCTTGGCGCAGGGATACGCGCGCATTGGGGCTCGACGCCGAAGATGCGCGGCGCCTGCGCCGGGATGCAAAGTGGGATTGGGAATACAATCTATGACAGAGCAATAGCTTGTTGGGAATACAAGCTATGACAGAGCCCCAGCTATGTTCCAGCTGAATGGCCTCGGAGGAGCCATCTCGAGCTGTACCGGAGCTGGACGGCTCCTCTCCATTGGGAGCCTGAAGGGGCGGTTCGTTGGAAATGGGGTGCCAGTGGTGGGAAAGGCTCTGCCCGGGGCTCTGCTCCACAGGAGCGGAGGGCAGCACCCGAGGACCCTTAGGACAACGGCGGGCTCAGGACAGAGCTCACGCCCCAGCTCCTGTCGAGCTTCCCTACAACCGCAATGGGAATTCCACCCAAGGAGGTGCCGGGGATGGGGGGCACCTACCACAGCCATGAGGTGTCCCCGCGTCGGAGGGCGTCGGGAATGCTGGATTTTGGCTCTGTCCCGCGTTGGGTGGGCGAGGAAACTGTCCTCTTCCACAGTGACCTGCGGGGACAAAGACGGGAGCACCCGGGGCCGCTCCTGGTGCCTGTTCCATTATGGCACGCGCTGCGCTGGCTTGAAGGGACCCCAAAGCCCACCCAGCTCCAGCCCCTGTGTCCAAAGCCCCTCTCCAGGCTTCCTGTAGCCCCTTTAGCCACTGGAGCTGCTCTGAGGTCTCCGAGAGGCCTCGAGTTCACCTCTCAGAGTATGAAGGGTTTTGTGGAGCCAAATCCCATTCCTTATTTCATTTATTCCCGTGGGATTCCCTTTCCCTGGGACCAGGCCGTGTGCTGGGGCTGAACCTCTCCCGCATCCCTCTGGGCCAGCATCCTCCACACTGCTCCCAGGGGCCACCGCTGGCCCTGGCCTCACTGGTCCATGCGCTTACAAGGATGCCCGTGTTTGCAGGGAATGGGGTGGGGGAAGCTCAGAAGAGCCTCGGGAACGTTTCCCTGCTGCCTCCCCTCTGTGCTTTGGTGGGATCAGACCTCCTGAAGCCATTCCTGACCTGTTGGATGTGTAAGGATTTGGGTGCAGTCTCTCCCGGGAGCACTTCACACCCTGTTTCTGAGCTGCCTCCTGCTCTAAAGCCTTTCCTCTGCTCGGACCTGCCTTTTCCTTCACTGCAGGCCTTTGTGTGGCATCCCGGAGGACAAACAGCATCCTGGCAGCGGCCTCCTGGACCGCAGGGAGCGACACAGACCTGAGGCAAACCTCAAGCTCCTCCTGGTGTGGTCCCACAGAGCCCTGATGCCTCCTCTCTGCTCATCCCTCCTTTTGGAGCGCCAGCCTTGTCCTGACGGCAACGCATGCGCCGCGCAGGGATGAGGAAGCAGGATTCAGCATTCCTGGCTTGATCCTTGACCAGTAGGGAAGGATCTGCATGCACATGGTCCTGTTCTTCACCCCAGCCTGTGCCTTGGGTAGGTGGGACGCCCACGTGGTGCCATGAGGGTGCTCTGTGGGATATGTTGGGTTTCCCTCAATTCCTTCATTCGGTGCCACTGCTTAAAGCTTCTTGGCGAGCACGAGCAGAGGACGGGAGGGAAAAAGACTCTCCAAAGCCCTGGGAAACCATTGCAGGCCCATTGCCACCATCCCAAAGTGAAAGCATCGCAGTGGGGCCGGGGGAGCCTGGGCAGCTGCAGTCAGCGCAGGGAGGATCCAGCTATCCCCGAACCCATCCCATCGGGGCTGCGTCGGAGGGCAGAAACCCCCATGGCTCTGCACCCCTTTCCAATAGGAGCTGGAGAGGGGAGGAGCTGCTCCAGCAGCCCCAAGCCCTCACCCCAGATCAGAGCTGAGCCAAGTCCAGGGTCCAGGAGCCCAGCGCCCTGCTCACCTCGTCCAGGATGCGGTTTTTCGCCCGGGTGATGGCAGAGTTGAGGGCGTTGATCCAGGATTCCTTCTCTTCGGGACTCACAGCCAGGAAGATCAGATTTGGGGCCTGCAAAAGAGGGAGCTGAGCTCAGCGCTGGCTCCTCAGGCTGCAGGGATGCTCTCCCCCGTCCCTGCCCACAGGAAAGCCGCACGGACCTGGCCCGCTGGGATGTGCAGAGCAGAGCTGAGCCCCGCATGCGGGCTCCGGGGCAGAGCAGGGCACGGCTCCTCCAGCACCCAGCTCAGCACCACAGTTCACCCCCGTGGCTGCAGTTCCTCCTTCCTGCCCACACAGGGCCTGGGGTTTGGCCCCATCAGACCATGAAGCAGCTTCCCTGGGCAGCTGCTGCTCCCGTGAGCCTGAGCCGGGGGCACCTCCGGCTTGGCCGGGGGCTGCTGAAGGAGCCCACGGGTGGGTTCCCGTCCTCTGATGCACCCGGAGTTAAAGTCACGCAGTGACAGGACAGGGTGCAAGGGGCCTTAAAGCTCCTCCAGCTCCAACCCCTGCGATGAGCAGGGACAGCTTCCACGGGGGCAGCTTGCTCAGAGCCCCATCCAGGATCCTTAGGGCCGGAGCAGTGTAAAGGCTGGCTCCAGAGGGCCGCAGCCCACGGGAAGCCCTGTTCCGGGGCAGCAGTGTTCCGGAGCTTTCCTCTGGGAGAGGATCAGTTGGGATGGGATCTGGGGATGGGATCAATTCCCATGCCAAATCCAGGCAGCAAAGCCCGGGCCCATCAGCATCCCTGATGGAAGAACAGAGGAGCACACCCAGCTAAACCACAGCTGCCTGCTTCCGCAGGGAAATTGCTTTGCCCTTGCTCCTGGCCCATGTTCCAGCACCTTTCCTTTCCCAAAGCTGGAATGCTCCCAGGGAAGGGGCTCCAGAGCCCCAGGGGCTGTCCCAGCACAAACCCTGCTGCTCCATCCCCCTCTTCCTCGTGCTGGGAGCCCTACTGGGAGCAGGTAACCTGGGAGCAGCTTGGCCTGCACCGAGAGCATCCTGGTGGGGCTGGGAGCAGCACGCACCGTGTTGCCGGGCTGCCTGCAGTGGGCGAGGGTGAACTTGCTGTGGTTCTTCTTGCTTCTGCTTTTGGACTTCCTGAGCTCTTCACACTTCTCATAATCGCTCAGGTCGAACACTTCCTGCATGGTCTTTTCGTCCTTCACCTGCAAAACAGCAAAGGCACCATGAGAACCCTGCAGCTGGTGCAGGATGGGTGCTGGTGCCTCCCGGGTGTTACCCGGGCACCCAGACCTGGTGCTGAGGACACTGATGCAGCAATGGCACCGTTACTGGGGGGTGCCACTCATGGCTTTGGGGGGATGCAGAGCAGATTTGCACCGTGGCAGCTCTGAACCTGCTGGAATGAGGGGGCATAATTCGGATAACTGGGACATCCCGGTCTCCCAGGTTTGCTGCAGGTTCCTTTGGGATTTCACTGCCTTTCCCACCCCCAAAGTTACCGGGGCAAGGAGGAGGGATCAAACGCAGCACTGATGCTTGTGGACCCTCAGAACAAGCAGGAACTCCCCCCAGCAGCAAGCGAGGACCCTGGGTACCAGGATGCTGGGAGGACGGGGGCTTGGATCTGCTGCCCAAAGGAGCCTCCACATCAGTGCTGGCAGCTCCTCTGGAGCAGCTCAACAGGAGCCTCGAGGGTGAAGCTCAGCATTGCCCTGCTTCACGTGGTGCCATCGCTGCAGCCTGTGCTCACAGCTGGGGCAGGGGGTGAAGCAGAGCCAGCACATCCCTGCCCCGTGCTGCGCTCCCTTCGCCAAGGGGCTCCGGGCACAATTCCCCAGGGATCGCCCACATCGCGGCGGTGCTTTGGTCCCATTCATGGAAGGCTTCAAGGGATGCTTCAGGAAGGTGCAGGGATGGATACCCCAGGGCCTGTAGGAATTCCCCAGGAGTTTTCCAACAGGATTTAAACACAGATGCTGGTTAGGTGCTGTGACCAGCTTTTGAGGCCCAGGGAAGCTGAGCAGCTGGACTCGCACAGGCACTGCAGGTCCCGCTCCATCCTTTCGTCTCCTATCCCCCCTCTCTGCCTCCAAGAACCGGGAAGCAGCCACCACACAGCTATTCCTGAAGGCCCAGGAGCCGCCTTCTGTTCAGGTATGGAAGTGGCCCTCCCAGCTGATGTCCATCTCTGCGTCCTCCCCATGGAAGGGAAACAGGCACGGGGATGGATCCCAAAGTGTCCCCACCACCTAAACCTGAGCCAGGTTGCAGGCAGGTGAGCCCCGGGGCTCTCGGTGCTCTGCTGGGCTGTGCCACAGCTGCAGCGCCAGGAGAGGAGCTGCGTTCCTCACATCCCAGCAGGAACCAGGCACGGCAGCGCTCCCGGTGCTGTGGGATGCGGTGATGCTGTCCCATCGGATCACGAACCATGGTCCTCGGGTACCTCCCCTCCCTGGGTTATCACATTTCTGTCCAGCCTTGCACCTCCTTGTGCTGCCCAAGCTCCGTTTCCTCCATCCCAAACCCCTCTGCGATGCCAGGACATTAAACTGGGCTCTGCCCCAGCTCCATCTGCTTCCTGCCCTTCCGGAGCCGGTGCCGCACACCCCCCCCCCACGGATCCCTGCCTCATTCCAGCGGGATTTCAGCAGAGCTCTGCCGGAATCTGTCCCTCGCTGTGGTGGAAGTGCTCAGCCTGAGGAAGCGAAACTTCCTCTGTGCGGAGGGGACCACGCTGCAGATGCTGTCCCCACGTTCGCTTGACTGAGTCTGCAGGTTCCTGCTTCCCCCCGAGCCACGCTGGGGCCTCCGGGGCACCCCAGGGATGCGTCACGCTCGGTGTCGTCTGATTCCTGCCCCTTCCCCATCCACTTCCAGCGTTTCCCATCGCAGGGGGAGCTGCTCGGGCCAAACCCCTCCAAACAGCTCCAAGGACAGCAGGAGCTCAGGTTGGTGACTGAGGAACAGAGCCCTGGCCTGATCACTGCACAGGGAGAGCTTCTGCCTAAGAGCTCAGCTCAGTCTCCCCTCTCTTACCAGGTTAAAGCCATTCCCCTTGGCCTGTCCCTACATCCCTTGTCCCAAGCCCCTCTCCAGCTTTCCTGCAGCCCCTTCAGGCACTGGAGCTGCTCTCAGGTCTCCCCTTCAGGAGCCTTCTCTTCTCCCGGCTGCCCCCAGCAGGGGCATCACCTCCGTACCACATCCATGAGCACACAGAGCAGCCCAGGGCACGCCTGGGCCATGGATGTGGGCTCCAGACACACACGGAGCCCCTCATGCAGAGCACAGCAGTGGCTGCCGGTGCCGCACACACGAGGAGTGGGAGCCCTTCAGTGCTCTTGTGCCAACTGAGCCGCCGCTGTTGGCAGTGAACAAGAAGAGGCTTCAGGGAGCGTTTCCTCCTTCCCAGCTCCTCATCCCGGGCCCGATCCTGCTGCTGCTGCCCAGCCCTGGGCTTCCTAAAGGGAAGCGAGGACCCGGCTGTGTCTGTGCCCGCGGTTCCCAAGTGCAAAGCAGGAACAAAGAGAAACCAGGGAACAATGACCAGAAACTTGCAGGAGGGAGGGACCGGGCCTGGAGGAGATCGGGAATGCAACAGGATCCTGAGGAGGTTTCCCTGTGCTCCAGCACAGCTTGTCTGGGCCTTCCTGCCCTGGATGCTTTGCTTTGGCTGGTAACCAGCAGGAATCAGTGTGGGTATTGATGGGATATTGGCACTCTGGGAGCTGCCTCTTGGAATCCCATCCCCGTTCCAGACTGGAGCTCGGCTCCGAGCACTTCCCCTGCAGCATCACTGCCTGCCCCACTCCCAGGGGATTCCGCAGGGTGCACGGACAATTCCCCTTCCTTGGCGCCCCGTTCCTTAGGCAGGTGAGCACTGCCCACCACCAGTGCTGCTAAACCCCCTCTGCCTTGGAGCAGGCGCCCACACGCGCGTTCCCGGCCGCGTGTGCCCAGCACCGGAGCCCCTCGCAGAGGTCCCCTCTGCCACCACGGCGGCCCCGGCACCACGGCGCTGCCAGAGCGGGGCAGGAGGGGGCTCGTGGTGCTGCAGAGGAATTTGGGGTTCCCCCCCATCGACAGCCGCAGGCCCCATGGAGCGAACCCAAGCGCGGGCTCAGAGCACGGCAGGGATGGACACGGAGACCTCCCTTGTGGAACCGAGGGATCCCAGCCTGGGAGGGGATGAGGCGAGCTGGAAGCTCATCCAAAGCCATGGCAGGGACCCCTTCCACCAGAGCAGGATGCTCCAAGCCCTGTGTCCAACCTGGCCTTGAGCACTGCCAGGGATGGGGCAGCCACAGCTTCTCTGGGCACCCTGTGCCAGCGCCTCAGCACCCTCCCAGGGAAGAGCTTCTGCCTAAGAGCTCAGCTCAGTCTCCCCTCGGGCAGGTTCAAGCCATTCCCCTTGTCCTGTCCCTGCATCCCTTGTCCCAAGCCCCTCTCCAGCTTTCCTGCAGCCCCCTCAGGGCCTGAGCATCTTCCCTGGTGCTGGTTCCTGTGGGAACTCCACAGCCTCTCCCTCTCCTTAGCCAAGCTCTTGCTGTCAGTTGGTTCTCCAGGGTTCAAACTCTTGGGGTACCAGAGGGAGCCGTCAGCGCCCAGCCAGCAGTGCCGGCACATCCCGATGGAACCGGCACCGTTCCAGCTGGTGACTGCGGCTGGGCAGGAGCTTGGGAAACACTCTTGCTTCCCCAGACAAGACCCAGGGTACTTCCCATCAAAGGGAGGCTGCTGGGGGGTGCTTTGTGCCACATGGCACAAGTCTGGGATGCAGATGGAGGGTCCCGGAGGATCCTCCGGTGCTGACAGCCCCAGAGCCTGGTTCTGCCTTCGCTTTCTCCCTCCATTCACCCACATGGATCCTGCCCCTGCCCACTGGTGCCGGGGGACAGGGACCCTGAGGGGTTCCTGTGTGTGGGGCTGAGTCCTCCCCACACAACCTCCTGCCAGCCCAGGGGTGGATCTCAGCTCCATTGGGCACCATCCAGACCCATCCCGACGCTGCACCTTCCTGATGCGTCCCTGAAGCATCCTGCTGAGATCTGCCCAGCCTGCGCTGACTTCACCATTACCGGCCCCAGCTGATTCCCTGTCCCTTCACAGCAGTTCCACACAGGCTGCTCCAAGCAGGCAGCTCCTTATCACAGCATCATGGAATGACTTGGGTGGGAAAGGACCTTCAGATCATCTCACTCCACCTCCATCACCTGGCCTTGCTCATGGGAGCTTCTGTTCCAGCTCCTGGCTCCACCAGCACCAGCTCCAAACCCGTTTCTGCCTCTAAGCCTCCCCGAGCATTCCCAGCCTGCAGACAACGTTTATTCCCTACACCTGTGTGTGCCTCCGGTTCTGGAGCACCCAAGAGGGGAACGGGAATGAGCTGTGGAACGCCAGCCCCCAGCTAAGCACAGGGGCGCTCAGTCTGCTTTAGGCTGTGCTCTCCCAGCCCCTGCCCCAGCTGCGCTTTGCCACGTCCCGGGATTCACTGAGCCTCTGAATCAAAGCACGCTCTGGGTCCTGTTATCCCTCCACATCCTAAACTGGTAACATCCGGACAACCGGGAATCACCCCCGCTTCCAGGGGGAACCCCCCCTGCTCCTTTTCCCTGTCCTGGCTCCGGTCTGCCCCTGTGCCTCTCCTGGAGCTAGCGATGAGTTCCACAGGGAGATGGATGGGAGGGAGGAACGCTGCTGCCGGGGGGATTCCTTCCTGCTGGATTCCTCCAGGCAGGGACAGCCGGATGGATCCCAGCCGGCAGCTCAGCCCGACGCTCACATCCAATTAGGGCTAATGGGAGCAGCGCGTTAAATCCCGGTCCTGGCCGGAGCGCGGAGGGGGAGGAGAAGGGGGAACGTTCTTCAACAAGGTGTTGAATCCATCGTTAAATGTCCCCCCAGAGGCCCCGGGGAGGGGGAATCACAAGATAAGGGACCCCTGAATGCCCCGATTCCAGCCGGGAGGCGACAGCTCTTCCCTAACGGAGCAGAGCGGCGGCTGGGAACTTAACGCCGGAGGACAGGCACAGACGGGAGCTGCCGCTTCCACGGAGGAAGGACGAGGCTTGAACCCTTCCTAAGGGAATCCTCCCATGCGGGAGCGCGTCCCCGGGGCAGGGCTGCCAGGGCAACCCGGGGACCCCCCCCCGGACACCTCCCGCATCCCGCCTGGCGCTGGGGCCGCTTTGCGTACGCAGAAGGCCGGTGCCGGGGGGGGAGCGCGGGGCCGAGCCTACCTCCTTGTCCGAGATGTGGAGCTGGTCCCCCTTCAGCACCGCGTACCGGGGCTTCCACAGCTCCCGGAAGATGCCTTTCCCGCAGTATTTCCGCACCCACCCGACCTTCTCCGGCGGCGCGGGCGGCTGGGTCCCATCCTGCTGCCCCTGCCACGGAGACGCACGGGAGGGAACGGGGGGAGAGCGGTCACATCCCTGCCTTCACCCCCTGCCCCCCCCCCCCCTCCCGCCACCCCCCCCCCCACCCCCCCAAGCCCAACTTCGGCCTCGGCTCCCTCCGGCCCCTTCTCTGCACCCAAAGTGGGAGCCGGGGCCTCGGCTGCATCCTCTCGCCGTGGGCTTTTCCTGCCGCAGACATGGAGCGACAACAGGGATACGGGGAGGACAAGGCAGGGTTTCCCTCCGTGCCTTATATAAGGCCGTTGTGCTGGATCCAGCTCATCCACGGTGCCTTTGCCCGTGGAAAGAGGAAGAGGAGGAGAATTCCAACGGGCTCTTTGGGGGTTACTGCAGGGAAAAATGCAGCTTTGAGCCTTTTATAGGCACGGTTCATGCTGGAGGTGGGATCCGTGGGGCTTGTGCCTGGGGGCTCTCCACGAGCGGGGCCGAGGTCCGTGGGCACAGCGCACACGGACCCACGGCGCGGAGCAGGCACCCGGAGATGCGATCCGAAAGGGAAACTGCTCCGCACCGCCCAGCAAACAGCATCTCCCGCTGGATCCAGGAGGAAGGAGAGGCCCTGGAGACCGGGGGCTGCCTTTGGGTTTGTTTCCATCTGGTTGGGGTCCGGGGAGGGGGGGGGGGGGGTGTCGCAAGGCAAAGGGAGCAGAGGCAAAGGGAACCACAGCCCCCCCCCCCCCCCGAGCCTCCCCCAGCGCATCCCCATGGACTCACCCTTTTGGCAGGGTTGGTTTTCTTCATCATTCCTCGGTGCTCCGCACTGGAGGGCGATGGAGCGGGGCGGGGGATGCGGACAGGGGCCTCCCCTTGGCTGGGCAGCGCGGAGGGCAAGGCCTGGGTGTCCGCAGCGGGGTTACAGCAGCTCTCCGGGTACAGGCAGGGGCGCCCGGGTCCCCAGCGCGTCCTCAGCCATGGAGCCCGAGCATCCCCCCCCCGGCACCCCCAGCGCCACCATCGCGCAGCTCCGCCGGGCTCGCACTGCGCGGCCCGGGGCTCCCGAGCTCCATCTATAGCCCTGCGCCGGTGACGTCTGGGCTGCACCGCGCGGGGCCAGCGCAGCGCCCCGGGCCCGGCTGCGCCTTTGTCTGCGCCGAGCGGGCAGCGGGGCCGCGCCGAGAGAGCCTGCACGGGGCCCTGAGCTGAGACCCATGGGTGCCCTATGGGTGCCCTGAGCTGTGATCCATGGGTGTCCTGTGGGTGCCCTGAGCTGCGACCCATGGGTGTCCTGTGGGTGCCCTGAGCTGAGACCCATGGGTGTCCTATGGGTGCCCTGAGCTGTGATCCATGGGTGTCCTGTGGGTGCCATGAGCTGTGAACCATGGGTGTCCTGTGGGTGCCCTGAGCTGTGACCCATGGGTGTCCTATGGGTGCCCTGAGCTGCGACCCATGGGTGTCCTGTGGGTGCCCTGAGCTGAGACCCATGGGTGCCCTATGGGTGCCCTGAACTGCGACCCATGGGTGCCCTATGGGTGCCCTGAGCTGTGATCCATGGGTGTCCTGTGGGTGCCCTGAGCTGTGACCCATGGGTGCCCTATGGGTGCCCTGAGCTGTGAACCATGGATGTCCTGTGGGTGCCCTCAGCTGTGACCCATGGGTGTCCTATGGGTGCCCTGAGCTGAGACCCATGGGTGTCCTGTGGGTGCCCTGAGCTGAGACCCATGGGTGTCCTGTGGGTGCCCTCAGCTGTGACCCATGGGTGCCCTATGGGTGCCCTGAGCTGTGACCCATGGGTGTCCTGTGGGTGCCCTGAGCTGTGATCCATGGGTGCCCTATGGGTGCCCTGAGCTGTGATCCATGGGTGTCCTGTGGGTGCCCTGAGCTGTGACCCATGGGTGCCCTATGGGTGCCCTGAGCTGTGACCCATGGGTGCCCTGTGGGTGCCCTGAGCCGTGATCCATGGGTGCCCTATGGGTGCCCTGAGCTGAGACCCATGGGTGCCCTATGGGTGCCCTGAGCTGTGACCCATGGGTGCCCTATGGGTGCCCTGAGCTGAGACCCATGGGTGCCCTATGGGTGCCCTGAGCTGTGATCCATGGGTGTCCTGTGGGTGCCCTGAGCTGTGACCCATGGGTGCCCTATGGGTGCCCTGAGCTGTGATCCATGGGTGTCCTGTGGGTGCCCTGAGCCGTGATCCATGGGTGCCCTATGGGTGCCCTGAGCTGAGACCCATGGGTGCCCTATGGGTGCCCTGAGCTGTGATCCATGGGTGCCCTATGGGTGCCCTGAGCTGTGATCCATGGGTGTCCTGTGGGTGCCCTGAGCTGTGACCCATGGGTGCCCTATGGGTGCCCTGAGCTGTGATCCATGGGTGTCCTGTGGGTGCCCTGAGCCGTGATCCATGGGTGCCCTATGGGTGCCCTGAGCTGAGACCCATGGGTGCCCTATGGGTGCCCTGAGCTGTGACCCATGGGTGCCCTATGGGTGCCCTGAGCTGAGACCCATGGGTGCCCTATGGGTGCCCTGAGCTGTGATCCATGGGTGTCCTGTGGGTGCCCTGAGCTGTGACCCATGGGTGCCCTATGGGTGCCCTGAGCTGTGATCCATGGGTGTCCTGTGGGTGCCCTGAGCCGTGATCCATGGGTGCCCTATGGGTGCCCTGAGCTGAGACCCATGGGTGCCCTATGGGTGCCCTGAGCTGTGATCCATGGGTGCCCTATGGGTGCCCTGAGCTGTGATCCATGGGTGTCCTGTGGGTGCCCTGAGCTGTGACCCATGGGTGCCCTATGGGTGCCCTGAGCTGTGATCCATGGGTGTCCTGTGGGTGCCCTGAGCCGTGATCCATGGGTGCCCTATGGGTGCCCTGAGCTGAGACCCATGGGTGTCCTGTGGGTCCCCTGAGCTGTGATCCATGGGTGCCCTATGGGTGCCCTGAGCTGAGACCCATGGGTGTCCTGTGGGTGCCCTGAGCTGTGATCCATGGGTGCCCTATGGGTGCCCTGAGCTGAGACCCATGGGTGTCCAGTGGGTGCCCTGAGCTGTGAACCATGGGTGTCCTATGGGTGCCCTGAGCTGTGAACCATGGGTGTCCTATGGGTGCCCTGAGCTGTGATCCATGGGTGCCCTATGGGTGCCCTGAGCTGTGACCCATGGGTGTCCTATGGGTGCCCTGAGCTGTGGTCCATGGGTGTCCTATGGGTGCCCTGAGCTGTGACCCATGGGTGTCCTATGGGTGCCCTGAGCTGAGACCCGTGGGTGTCCTGTGGGTGCCCTGAGCTGTGACCCATGGGTGTCCTATGGGTGCCCTGAGCTGTGACCCATGGGTGTCCTATGGATGCCCTGAGCCGTGATCCATGGGTGTCCTATGGGTGCCCTGAGCCGTGATCCATGGGTGTCCTATGGGTGCCCTGAGCCGTGACCCCATGGGTGTCCTATGGGTGCCCTGAGCCATGATCCATGGGTGTCCTATGGGTGCCCTGAGCCGTGACCCATGGGTGCCCTGAGCCATGATCCATGGGTGTCCAGTGGGTGCCCTGCACTGTGATCCATGGCTGCCCTATGGGTGCCCTGAGCTGTGACCCATGGGTGTCCAGTGGGTGCCCTGCACTGTGATCCATGGCTGTCCCATGGGTGCCCTGAGCTGAGACCCATGGGTGTCCCATGGGTGCCCTGAGCCGTGACCCATGGGTGTCCTGTGGGTGCCCTGAGCCGTGATCCATGGGTGCCCTATGGGTGCCCTGAGCTGAGACCCATGGGTGTCCTGTGGGTGCCCTGAGCTGAGACCCATGGGTGTCCTGTGGGTGCCCTGAGCTGTGATCCATGGGTGTCCTATGGGTGCCCTGAGCCGTGATCCATGGGTGTCCTATGGGTGCCCTGAGCCGTGACCCATGGGTGCCCTATGGGTGCCCTGAGCTGAGACCCATAGGTGCCATGATCCATGGGTGTCCAGTGGGTGCCCTGCACTGTGATCCATGGCTGCCCTATGGGTGCCCTGAGCTGTGGCCCATGGCTGTCCCATGGGTGCCCTGAGCTGTGATCCATGGGTGTCCCATGGGTGCCCTGATCCATGACCCATGTGTGCCCTGCTCCATGTCCCTGCTCATGTCCCTGCTCCATGTCCCTGCTCCATGTCCCTGCTCCATGTCCCTGCCCATGTCCCTGTGTCCCTGCTCCATGTCCCTGCTCCATGTCCCTGCTCCATGTCCCTGCTCCATGTCCCTGCCCATGTCCCTGCTCCATGTCCCTGCTCATGTGCCAGGTCACCACCGAACTTCCCGGCAGCGGGAACTGCGTCTGGGAGGGTTTTGTGCCCCCGTGCTCGGTGGGACAAACCAAAGCACTGTGCAAAGGGAGGGGGGGGCATTCCCTGTGGAAAGGGAGGGAGGAGGAACGGCTCCGAGGGTCGCCCCGCGCTGACGCCTGTGCCTCGGTTCCCCTTTTCCAGCATGGCGATGGCGACGGCTTTGGGATCAGTCGCAGTTCCAATGGAGCTCAGCGGTGTCCGGATGCTCCCGTGCTGCCTCCACGCAGGTGCCCCAGAGCTGGGGCACAGTCACAGCAGCACACGTTGCTCCCGGTGCCCTTCGCAGGCTCTCGCTGCATGATGGAATGTTCCGGTTCATGGAATAACACTGGAATAACTGCCCTGTGCTTCCCGTCCCGTCTGCAGTCACCAGGGCCCCGCACCACTGGTGCTTCCCAGATGAACTCCGAGTCCAGGGCTGTGCTGGGGGCTTTATCCAGGGATTTAGGGGCTGAAAGTCCGACCACGAGGCGCCTCTTGGGGCTCGGGAAGTGGATGGAGAGGATCCTTCCCAGCCACTGGAATTGCAGAGTCCCCATCAAGCCTCAGCTCTACACTTCCCACCCCGTTCCTTGGGTCACATTCCCCATTTCACATAGGGGCTGCTTACCCAGGTCACAGCACCCCAGTGGCTGCCCCCACTGTTTGTCACGGCGGTGCCGTCACCACGGGGAGGCCTCCCCTTGCCCTTGGTGCTGCTCTGTGCTCCCGACCCCTTCCCATTCCCCCGCCAGGGAAGCTGCCGTGCACCCACACCAGCACCTGCAGCCCCATCCCAAGGAGGAGGAACTGAGCTCCAGTGGGAATCCTGGCGCTGTTGTGGTTGGAGCCTCAGGCAGTAACAGCAGTGAGTCACGTTCGTCAGGGATGTGGCAGTGATTCAGCTCTGGAAACATCAACACTTTGCATGGGAGGAAGGGAGATAGGAGGGAGCCCAGCTCCGGTTTCCATACTGGAAACAGGCAGAGACATTCCCAGTGCTGGGACTGCCCCTGGGTATTGCTCCCCCTGGACTGATGGGGCTGGGAGGGATGGAGGGGCTGTGGCCCCCTTTAGACACGTTTGCACCAGTGGAGTTTCCTGTATGGATCTGCTTCTCATCCCTGTCCCCGTCCCCATCCCTGTCCCCGCTCCCATTCCCATCCCCATCCCCATCCCAATCCCCATCACCATCCCCGTCCCTGTCCCCATCCCCGTCCCTGTCCCCATTCCCATCCCCATCCCCGTACCCGTCCCCATCCCCATCCCCATCCGCGTCCCCATCCCCATCCCCATCCCCGTCCCTGTCCCCATTCCCATCCCCATCCCCGTACCCGTCCCCATCCCCATCCCCGTCCCCATCCCTGTCCCCATCCCCATCCCTGTCCCTGTCCCCATCCCTGTCCCTATCCCCATCCCTGTCCCCATCCCTGTCCCTGTCCCCATCCCCATCCCCATCCCCATCCCCATCCCAGCTGTCTCAAGCCCTGTCTGATTTGATTCCCAGGGGATGTGGCCTCATGCCCACAGTGCCACCGGTGGATCTCACTCACCGGAATAGCTCATGGAAGGATTTAGTCCTTTAGGAACTGCTCAACAGCTCACCCAGAGCTGAGCATCCTTTGGGGAACTGTGGTCCAGGACCATTTCTTTTCCAATTAGGGTTCCCAGAGGCAGTGTGGGTTTATTGTGGATGCAGGATACACCAAATGTACCTAATAACTCATCCCGCAGGAAAAGCCACTTGTGGGAGCAACCTGGACCATGCTGTGGGTGCAGGAGCTGCGGGTCCCATCCTTTGAACGGGGCCTGAGCCTGGGGCTGAGCTCCTCTTCCCTCTCTGGGTGCAGGGAGCAATGGAGTTGCAGGAATGGCGATATCAGGGTCTGGGATTTGGTTACAGAGAGCACAGCAACATCATTGTGCTTGGGACAGGGGCAGGGAGCCAGGGGAGGGAAAGGAAAGGACCTTGGAACAGGGGCCGGAGCTGAGCCGTGCTCTGCATCCTCCCGTGCTGCTGTGCTCCCGCATCCCCTTTGCGCTCCCAGCCCTGATGGTGCAATCCTGCTCCCGGTGCTGATCCACACTAAAGAGTTACCCAAATACCCCCTTGGTGCAGGAGCAGGACGACGAACACCCTTTTACTGATGTGCTTAACACACACACACACCCCCCAGTGAATGGTGCCTCTGGAGAGCGAGTGGGGAACTGCTGCTTGGGGATGACTTGGGTTCAGTGGGGATTCCTGGACCCTGGAGACAACGGCAGAGCTTTTGTCTGGGAAAAGGGGCTGGGGGGGGAGTTCCCCCTGGGAATGCTGAAGGTCCCCTGACGGGCCATCACCCTCCTCTCCTCTCCTCTCCTCTCCTCTCCTCTCCTCTCCTCTCCTCTCCTCTCCTCTCCTCTCCCTTTCGGGAGCAGCAGGAGCAGGTCAGGCTGTGTCCGTGTCCTCGTGTCCGTGTGCTCATGAAGTACCTGCAATGCCACAGGGATTCCAGCTCAGCAGAACCAGAGTCAGAGCTGGGGCTGGAACCTGCCTCTGGCCTCCTCTCTCCTCCTCCTCCTCCTCCTCCTCCTCCTCCTCTTCTCTCCCCTTCCCCAGGCTGAGCAAGGCCAGGTCTCAGCTCCAGGAGGGATGCTCGGGTCCCGCAGTGCTCCCGAGCTCTGCTGTCCCGCACAAGGCTCCCGCCGGGATGGCTTCATTCCCCCCCGCTGGGACCAGCCCCACTCGTTTCAGGCAGCACCATTCAGTGCCCAGCACACGGCTCACAGAACCAGAGCAAATCCCTCCTGAGCCCGTAAAACCCCTTCGGTCTCAGCGAAAAGCCGGGAACAAAAAGGGATTTTTCTCCCCCCCCCGGGTATTTGCTGCACGGAACCGTTCTGAGCTGTGATGTGAAACCCAATCCCCCCAGGCAGGACGGGGCTGCAGCGGGTTCAGCGCTGCCACGCTTGGCCTTGGCTCTGACATCTCCCTTGTCCACCTTCGGCCCGGCGCAGGGGCATCGCCTCCCTTTGCTCTGCAGGCTCATCCCGTCCCCACACCACCTGCACGCTGCAGGGCAGGGAAACAGCACGAGCCACCCTCCCGTCTCCCGTTCCTGCCCCTGGAAGCCGTGGCCAAGGGAAGAGATCACAAAGCCCTTTCCCGCTCTGCAATTCCCAATACATCTCCGTCTGCATCAGTCACTGTGCCAAGGGAAGGAGATGAATGGCTGAGCCTCCCCCCTCCTGCTCCGAGCACAGGAACAACACAAGTGTGATAAAGGAACCGGCCTCCCCGAGCATCCTCCCACCTCCCACCATGGGCTCTGCTGGTTCCTTTCCAGCTCAGCGCTTTTTCCATGAGAAAATGCCCTGGGAAAGGGACTCTTCAGTGGGGGAGGACTTGTGTCCATGACGCCCTAAAGCAGAGGCACCAAACGCCTTTCCTTCCAGGCAGGAAAAGGGAATCTTCCTAAGACAGCAGAGGAGGCCCCTGGAGCTGCTCCTCAGCCCGGCGCATCCCATCCCATCAGTTAAAGAGCCCCCAGAAGGTAAATGAACACCCAGGAACACCATGGGTTAAAGTTACCTGGAGCACGACCCCTGCATCCTCTGGCAGGGCAGGGAGCTCTGGAAGAGCAAAGCCCAGTGGCTGGGAATTGAAGAAAGCCCAATTGTGGCTGCAGTGTGCAAAGGGAGCAAGAACCCCGTGGTGCTGAGTCCAGGGCTGGGCAGCAGCACCACAGGGACGGGGAGCTGCTGGAGCGAGGCCAGAGGAGGGCATGGGGATGAGCAGGGGCTGGAGCAGCTCTGCTCTAGAGCCAGGCTGAGAGACCTGGGCTGGGGCAGCCTGGAGAAGAGAAGGCTCCTGAAGGGGAGACCTGAGAGCAGCTCCAGTGCCTGAAGGGGCTGCAGGAAAGCTGGAGAGGGGCTTGGGACAAGGGATGCAGGGACAGGCCAAGGGGGAATGGCTTTAACCTGCCCGAGGGGAGACTGAGATGAGCTCTTAGGCAGAAGCTCTTCCCTGGGAGAGTGCTGAGGCGCTGGCACAGGGTGCCCAGAGAAGCTGTGGCTGCCCCAAGGCCAGGTTGGACACAGGGGCTTGGAGCATCCTGCTCCAGTGGAAGGGGTCCCTGCCTGTGGCTGCAGATGAGCTTTCAGCTCCCTCCCAGCCAAATGAGTCTGATCTTGATTCTGACTCTTCTCACATCCAACAGGTTCCGTTGCTGCTGGAACACCTGTTAGTGTTAAAAAGAAATCCCACCACTTTTCCCCCTCGGAACATGGGAGTGAAACCCAGGGCACGGAATTGTGTTGGGTTCTTAAGGCACACAGAAGTGACTAAAGAGGATTAAGGATGTAATTCTCCCTTATGAGGACTCACTGAAGAGACAAGAGCTTCGGTCAAAGGGGTTATTTAATAGGACTCCAAATGTACACACAAGTGAGCAAGGGCCTCCTGGTGCCCCCAGCTCCCCGTCCAGGGGTGCACACAGGAGATGTGCAGGAGGGGACTCACACCACGCGCCTGCCAGGTCAGGGGAGAGCTGCAGCGGTTCAGTGACCACCACCCATGCAGAGCCGTGCTCGTGCTGCACCTTGGGCCATGTCCTGCCCCAGCTCCAGCAGTGCCTGCCCCCGTGCTGCTCGTGGTCCATGAAGGCTCCTGCCGTGCCTGGGGGCCACCGCAGCGGTGGCGGCAGCGCAGGAACACCGGCTCCTGCTCCAAGTCCATGTGCTGGGGCTGTGGAAGCTCCGGATGAGGCCCCCGCGCTCAGCGCCTGCTGCTGGACCTGGGTGCTGCTTGCGAGCCCTCGGTGCTGCGGCCGCGGAACCCCGAGGCTGTGACCTCCTCCAGGAAGCTGCCGAAGCAAAGGGAAGGTGAGCGGGGAGCGGGGCAGCTCCTCAGCCCGCGGGGCGCAACGGCCTCGAGCCCTGGACCTGGGCTCAGGACTCATCTTCCCAAGGGAAAAGGCAGCGCCCCAGGAGCTGGTGAACAAAGGCAGGAAGAGCAGCTCCAGGCTGGGTTTGCTGCTCCCCCTCGGCCTTCCTGCGGGGAGGATGGGGCAGGAAGGGGCAGGGTGGAACTCTCCCGCTGAGGCATCCGTGCCACGGCACAGCCAGGGCAAAGCAGCCCCCTGGGTACCCTGGGGCACTGCCCAGCTCCTCAGCCTCACCTTCCTCCCATCCCCACCTTCCTCCCATCCCCACCTTCCTCCCATCCCCACCTTCCTCCCATCCCCACCTTCCTCCCATCCCCACCTTCCTCCCGTCCCCACCTTCCTCCCATCCCCACCTTCCTCCCATCCCCACCTTCCTCCCATCCCCACCTTCCTCCCATCCCCACCTTCCTCCCATCCCCACCTTCCTCCCATCCCCACTTTCCTCCCATCCTCACCTTCCTCCCGTCTTCACCTTCCTCCCGTCCTCACCTTCCTCCCGTCCCCACCTTCCTCCCGTCCCCACCTTCCTCCCGTCCCCACCTTCCTCCCGTCCTCACCTTCCTCCCATCCCCACCTTCCTCCCATCCCCACCTTCCTCCCACCACCACCTTCCTCCCATCCCCACCTTCCTCCCGTCCTCACCTTCCTCCCATCCCCACCTTCCTCCCATCCCCACCTTCCTCCCATCCCCACCTTCCTCCCATCCCCACTTTCCTCCCATCCCCACTTTCCTCCCATCCCCACCTTCCTCCCATCCCCACTTTCCTCCCATCCCCACTTTCCTCCCATCCCCACTTTCCTCCCATCCCCACTTTCCTCCCATCCCCACCTTCCTCCCATCCTCACCTTCCTCCCATCCCCACTTTCCTCCCATCCCCACCTTCCTCCCATCCTCACCTTCCTCCCATCCTCACCTTCCTCCCATCCCCACCTTCCTCCCATCCCCACCTTTCTCCCGTCCCCACTTTCCTCCCATCCTCACCTTCCTCCCATCCCCACCTTCCTCCCATCCTCACCTTCCTCCCATCTTCACCTTCCTCCCGTCCTCACCTTCCTCCCGTCCTCACCTTCCTCCCGTCCCCACTTTCCTCCCGTCCCCACTTTCCTCCCATCCTCACCTTCCTCCCATCTTCACCTTCCTCCCGTCCTCACCTTCCTCCCGTCCCCACCTTCCTCCCGTCCTCACCTTCCTCCCGTCCCCACTTTCCTCCCATCCTCACCTTCCTCCCATCCCCACCTTCCTCTCATTCCCACCTTCCTCCCATCCTCACCTTCCTCCCATCCCCACCTTCCTCTCATCCCCACCTTCCTCCCATCCTCACCTTCCTCCCATCCCCACCTTCCTCTCATCCCCACCTTCCTCTCATCCCCACCTTCCTCCCATCCTCACCTTCCTCCCATCCCCACCTTCCTCTCATCCCCACCTTCCTCCCATCCCCACCTTCCTCTCATCCCCACCTTCCTCCCATCCCCACCTTCCTCTCATCCCCACCTTCCTCCCGTCCTCACCTTCCTCCCGTCCTCACCTTCCTCCCGTCCCCACCTTCCTCCCATCCCCACTTTCCTCCCATCCCCACCTTCCTCCCATCCCCAGCCTCCTCAGACCAGCTCCAGCTCTAACTGAGCCCTGTGGAAACCTCTGGCACTGCCCATTCCCACAGCTGCCCCCCAGGCAGCACAATGCCGGAGCACATGCTCCGCTGCATCCCAGTCCCTGCAGGACCTCCCAAGGGAACTTCAGGGATTCTGGGGGCCAGCCCCCACTGAACGGCTCAGTTTGAGACTTAGGCACAAGTCTGACCTCTGAAGCCAAGTGAATGGCTCCACAAATGAGAATCTACAACGGTTCAGTGTGAGCCCAAATCTGCTTCCGCTCCTGTTCCATCCCTAGGAGCAGAGCCAGGTGAAGCACTGACAGCCTGGGGAGTCCCGTTCTGGAATGCTGGGGTGCAGCTCAAAAGCCTTCTATGGACACGGCTGAAGTCCCCAGCCCTGAGAGCCAACCCCTTTGGCAGCAAAGAATCCCGGCTGCGTGGGGCTGGCCTCGTCTGGAGCACAAACCAAGCATCCCCTCCTGCTGCTGCTCCAGCTCTGGGCTGCTGGAACACGATCATGGAAGCCTGGAGAGGTTTGGGTTGGAGGGACCTCAACCCCTGTAGGCACTGGGAGCTGCTCCAAGGTCTCCCTGCAGCCTTCTCTGCTCCAGGCTGAGCCAGGCAGGTGCAGACCCCTGCGTGGGGAAGGCCCCTGCTGTGGGGCACCCCCAGGTTTCGTCCCATGGGGTTTAAAGCATCCCTGCTCAGTTCCCCACAGCAGAGTGAAGGAATGAGTCAACCTAGAGACTGGCCGCATTGCCAGAGAAACCAGCCTCCTGGTAACACCAGAGCCTATGTGGGAGCGTTGCTGTGGCTCTGCAGAGCCTTCAGCTGCCTCCCGAGCTGCAGCCCTGGTGCTGGGGACTGCAGTGAGGGAATGCCATGGGACACAGCTCCATTGGGGGCCACTCATCACAGCTCCTGGGGCTGCACACACACAGAGAGGTTCAACCCCGTGTCTTGTTCTGGGGATTGCATCAGAACCCCCAGAGCGTGAGCTGCAGGTCAGGGAGGGGATGCTCCCCCTCTGCTGCGTGAAGGGGAGACCTCAGAGCAGCTCCAGTGCCTGAAGGGGCTGCAGAAAACCTGGAGAGGGGCTTGGGACAAGGGATGCAGGGACAGGACAAGGGGAATGGCTTGAACCTGATAGAGAGGGGAGACTGAGCTGAGCTCTTAGGCAGAAGCTCTTCCCTGGGAGGGTGCTGAGGCGCTGGCACAGGGTGCCCAGAGAAGCTGTGGCTGCCCCATCCCTGGCAGTGCTCAAGGCCAGGTTGGACACAGGGGTTGGAGCATCCTGCTCCAGTGGAAGGGGTCCCTGCCCGGGGCTTCAGATGAGCTTTAAGGTCTCTTCCACCCCAAACCATTCCATGATCTCGCCACCATGAGAATCATGCATTGTGGGGGGGCTCAGCTGGTTCCTAAGGGGGGTACAGGAGCACTGCCTGTGCTGGTCACTGTGATCACAGCAGTGGAGCCATCCCTCCTCCAGCTCCATTTGCAGGCATTCCTCAGGCATCCCAAGTTCCACACAGGGAACCTCTTGCTGCTCTTCCCCAGAACCCCAGGATCCTGCGAGGAACACGTGGGCACCCACCACTGCATCCCAGCTCCGGCTGGGAATGCCCCTGACAGGGTGAGCATCAAAGCACCTGCAGGACCTGCCCTGACAGCTCCATCTCCAACCCCTCCCTCTCTGTGCAGGGAGGAGGACCTGGGGCTGGTCCAGCCTCCCCCTACCCAGAGGCCAGTACCCAGGGAGGGCTGCACCAGTGCAGGGCTGACTCGAACTGGGTAAGTGGGTCAGGCTGGGTATCCCCTTGGATTAGCCACAGCAGCTCTGTGCTTAACCTGTGCTCTGCCTGAGTCAGCCCCATGCACCAGATGTTGATCCTCCTCCTCCTCCTCCCAGGCTTCCATTTGTGGTGGATTATTGACCATGGTTTAACCCTTCCTCCTCCAAACCCAGCAGAGGCTCCTTGAATCCCATTTTCTTTGGGAAGCAGAGGGAAGCTGGAGCCACTGGCTCTGGCTGCCAGCCTGGAGAATCAGGGAATCCTGGAATGGTTTGGGTGGGAAGGGACCTTAAAACTCATCTAAAGCCCCGTGCAGGGACTCCTTCCACTGGAGCAGGCTGCTCCAACCTGGCCCTTGTGTCCTAACTCCACCAGTAATCCCCCGGCCTCCCTCTAATGAACTGTTACTTATTCCTGCAGGATTAGGGTTGATATGTCACCATAAACAAGGAGATTGTTCTATTAATGCTCCGAGCAGCCCATGTAAGCACACTAATCCCCTGCTTTCATTGTTCTTACCCATCCAACTTCAATTGTGCTCAACATCTGTGGTGGGAGGGTGTGGGATGGCTTAAGGGGTATCCATTCTGCTGCTTCACAGAGCAGGAGACCCTGCAGGCCTCTGGAGCTGGTGATGGTGCTGGAGCTGGGGCAGCTGATCTGATTGAGGACCGTCTGTGTCGGCCTGTGTGGCACTGAGTTAAAGTGGGGGTGAGAAATGCTCTGCGTAGGGATGGGAGATGAACCGTGATGTGTTTGTAAGGAAGGTGCCAAGGCGGGAGCAGGCTGGACCCGAATCACTCTGTGACTCCAGGAAAAGCCAGGATTCCTCCCACCAGACACCTGGGTCCTCCCTCCCTTCGCTGCACTGTGCTTCTCACCCCACGGACAGGGTCACTGCTCTGCCTGCAGGAGCTGCTCAGGCCACGCTTCCCTTGGGAAAGGCTTGAGCTCACTGACTCAGATATTCCATTATCATTCCCGTGGCCTCTCAGCATCTCATTCAAACCACCAGAGAAAAGCAAATCCCTTGGGACAGGGCTATTCCACTTTGGAGTGGGACCCATCCCGGCGTTCCCAGGCAGGACCTTGTAGCTGTCAGCCCTAAACCAGCACCAGCCTTTGTTTGCTGCCCACTTTGAAATGCAGATTTTGATAGAGTCACCTTGTTCTTTCTGTAAGTAATTCAGAGGCTGCACCAAAACGTGGTCATGGGAGAAGCCCTCAACTGACTGATGCTTTTTTCAGCTCAAACCTATGGAGATGGAGGCCAACAACAGAGCTGCAAATCACAGAATCCCAGCCTGGTTTGGGTTGGAAGGGACCTTAAAGCTCATCTAAAGCCACGGGCAGGGACCCCTTCCACTGGAGCAGGATGCTCCAAACCCCTGTGTCCAACCTGGCCTTGAGCACTGCCAGGGATGGGGCAGCCACAGCTTCTCTGGGCACCCTGGGCCAGCGCCTCAGCACTCTCACAGGGAAGAGCTTCTGCCTCAGAGCTCATCTCAGTCTCCCCTCTCTATCAGGTTCAAGCCATTCCCCTTGGCCTGTCCCTGCATCCCTTGTCCCAAGCCCCTCTCCAGCTTTCCTGCAGCCCCTTCAGGCACTGGAGCTGCTCTCAGGTCTCCCCTTCAGGAGCCTTCTCTTCTCCAGGCTGCCCCAGCCCAGCTCTCTCAGCCTGGCTCCTATGGGAGCTGCTCCAGCCCCACAGCCTCCTCTGGACTTGCTCCAGCAGCTCTGTGTCCTTCCCACATGGAGGACCCCAGACCTGCACTCAGCACTTGAGCTCCATCAGGGAGGAGAGACAGCCCCTGCTCAGAGACCTGCTGCACACACACAAAGGACACAGCTGCCCCGGGGCACCCACCAGCCACCAGCAAAGCTGGGGCAGGCACCCAAAGCTCCAGCCACTGTGGCCCAGCCCTCCTGCTCACCCCACTGCTGACCTTCTCCTTCCATCGCTGCAAGGCCAGCACCAGGCAGGCTCACATTGATGCTGGTTCAAGTTTGATGCAGGCTGATGTCAAAAGCAGCCTCCAAATGCACTGGGACACTATGAAGTGACCCGAGTGGATCGGAACCAGGCTGTTCTGTGTCCCTGCAAGATGACGAGAGACTTCGCTTGTCTCTTCTCATCAAAGAGCAGCCAGGACATCTGCTCATCTCTTCTCCTTACTATTTCTAGGCTTGGCTACAACAGGATTTGGTTCAAAGGCTACTTTGTGAAGCAGAAGGTCGAGCAAGCTGGGTAATTTGGGCAGGAATCAGTCGATATGTGGGCTAATACAGACTTGCCTTTGTAACCCAGTTCAGAAAAGCAATTTACTTCTGGGTTAGCATCAGCTCCAACCACCTGACATGAAGCTAAAAGGGCTGATTTCAGAGCAGACACTGTGAATCTGGAGGCTTTGGGCATTTTAGGATGATAAAAGCCACTGGATTTCCTTGTGAGGGACTTCAGCTTCCCACTGCAGGCCTGTGCTTTGGGGTGAAGCTCTCCTGCCACCCCAGCCCAGGGCAGCTGCTGCACAACAGCTTCTCTCCCAGCACCTGGGTGTCACCAGCTCCGTGCTGCAGCACATGGGGGAGATGCCACATTCCTGCTGTCACCCTCCCTCTGACACCCCAGGGGCCACGGCCACATCCTTAGGGATGTGGTTGGAAGGAGCAAGAGTTCATCCTCCTGGGCTTGGCCAGCAACAAGCTGTGCTGACAGAAAGCAACCTCCCCTGGGCTCACTCAGTTGGGTAAACTGGGTTCAGGGGACATTGTTTGGACACCAGATATTCCATAGGGAATCATGGAACCACAGAGTGGTTTGGGTGGGAAAAGACCTTAAAACTCATCTAGATCCATGGGCAGGGACCCCTTCCACTGGAGCAGGTTGCTCCAAGCACTGTTGAGCACTGCCAGGGATGGGGCAGCCACAGCTTCTCTGGGCACCCTGTGCCAGCGCCTCAGCACCCTCCCAGGGAAGAGCTTCTGCCTAAGAGCTCAGCTCAGTCTCCCCTCGGGCAGGTTCAAGCCATTCCCCTTGGGAAGGCATTCCATACTGGCAGGAGCTGGAACATCCCAGACACAGGGACTGAGGAGATGAGTGAAGCTCAGTGTGGTCCGTGCTCAGATCCTAGAGGGACCAAGCCCTTACAAATGTCTGGCCTTCCAGGAAAGGCAACTGGAAGCACACAGCATTCCGATAAGGAAAGCTCTGTTCTCCAGGGAGCAATGCAGAAGACACAGCCAATACTCTGCAGGCTGGTGGGTGGCAGAGAGCCTGCAGTGGAATCACAGCACTTGAGCTAATCATAGGTACCTTCACTGCTAGCAAATGCACTTCTCCAGACTCCACCAGGGGCAATAAGAGCACAGCCAGGTCTATGCAGGTTTGAATCCCCGTGTGCTGCACCAGCTTCTCATTCAGAGCAGAGTACGTGGTGAATTATAAGCAGGAAAACCCACACACATCTGCTTCCCTGCCCTTGAGCTCCAGAAAACACACATTAAACCTTCAGCTTGGTGACATTAAACCTTCAGCTTGGCGACATTAAACCTTCAGCTTGGCGATACATCCCTCAGGCACAGTGAGCAGGGCTGGGCTTGGACCCTTTACACACAGCTCAAGCGGGATGAAGATCCCTCAGGAGCTGCAAATTCCTGCTCCTGTCAGCGGAACCCTGAGCAGAGAACCCGGGGTTACCTCTTGGTGTTGTGGATCGTGGTCCCACCGAGCACCACGCGGACGCCCGGGTTGGTGCGGTTCAGGTTGTAGACAGCCAGCGCCTCCTCGTAGGTCGCCCCTCCAATGATGAACACGATGATATCCTGGGGCCTGCATCAAGATGCAACCATGGCGATGGGATCAGACAACACCCAGGGATCAATCCTGCCCTCCCCAGGCAGTGCTGAGGCAGCGATCCTGAGCACGTCCCTCCCCAGCCCAGGAGGGATGGGACCACGCAGCCCATTAAATCCCTGCTCCAGCACTGGCTCTCCTAAACGTTTACACGAGGCGCACGCGGTCCTCAGAAGCCTCCTCAGCAGCACCCACCCGCTGCAGCCCGCGGAGCTCCTCCGTGACACATCCCCAATGTTTAATGCATGAGCCAGACGCCGGGGAATCAGGAGCAAGCCAGGAGTCACCCGAGGACAGCAGCGATGCTCCAGCCCTCCCGGGCTCGGTGTGAAGGGCACAGCTCAGCTGCAGGCGGCTGTTACCCTCCCTGGCCAGCCTACAGCCACTGGATGGCAGAGGGAAGCAGCATGAGGGGAGAGGAGGGGAAGGAGAGAAGTGCCTTTGCACAGCACAGCACAGCACAAACCCAGCCATATGCTGTGCACATTCTGCCTTCAAAGGAAACTTGCAGCTTCCCCCAGCACCCTCCCCAGCCTCTGAAGTTTTCCACTTGCAGGGATGTGCTTGCAGCCCCTAAACCAGCTCTGCTGCCAGCTACAAGCTGAGAGAACCATTCCTGCAGGATCTCCAGTGTGGATCCCATCCAAGAGAACCATTCCTGCAGGATCTCCAGTGTGGATCCCATCCAAGAGAACCATTCCTGCAGGATCTCCAGGGTGGATCCCAGCCAAGAGAACCATTCCTGCAGGATCTCCAGTGTGGATCCCACCCAAGAGAACCATTCCTGCAGGATCTCCAGGGTGGATCCCAGCCAAGAGAACCATTCCTGCAGGATCTCCAGCGTGGATCCCAGCCAAGAGAACCATTCCTGCAGGATCTCCAGCGTGGATCCCACCCAAGAGAACCATTCCTGCAGGATCTCCAGTGTGGATCCCACCCAAGAGAACCATTCCTGCAGGATCTCCAGTGTGGATCCCACCCAAGAGAACCATTCCTGCAGGATCTCCAGTGTGGATCCCACCCAAGAGAACCATTCCTGCAGGATCTCCAGGGTGGATCCCATCCAAGAGAACCATTCCTGCAGGATCTCCAGTGTGGATCCCACCCAAGAGAACCATTCCTGCAGGATCTCCAGCGTGGATCCCATCCAAGAGAACCATCCCTGCAGGATCTCCAGCGTGGATCCCATCCAAGAGAACCATTCCTGCAGGATCTCCAGCGTGGATCCCATCCAAGAGAACCATTCCTGCAGGATCTCCAGTGTGGATCCCACCCAAGAGAACCATTCCTGCAGGATCTCCAGGGTGGATCCCATCCAAGAGAACCATTCCTGCAGGATCTCCAGCGTGGATCCCATCCAAGAGAACCATTCCTGCAGGATCTCCAGCGTGGATCCCATCCAAGAGAACCATTCCTGCAGGATCTCCAGTGTGGATCCCACCCAAGAGAACCATTCCTGCAGGATCTCCAGTGTGGATCCCACCCAAGAGAACCATTCCTGCAGGATCTCCAGTGTGGATCCCACCCAAGAGAACCATTCCTGCAGGATCTCCAGCGTGGATCCCATCCAAGAGAACCATTCCTGCAGGATCTCCAGTGTGGATCCCATCCAAGAGAACCATTCCTGCAGGATCTCCAGTGTGGATCCCACCCAAGAGAACCATTCCTGCAGGATCTCCAGCGTGGATCCCACCCAAGAGAACCATTCCTGCAGGATCTCCAGTGTGGATCCCATCCAAGAGAACCATTCCTGCAGGATCTCCAGTGTGGATCCCATCCAAGAGAACCATTCCTGCAGGATCTCCAGGGTGGATCCCATCCAAGAGAACCATTCCTGCAGGATCTCCAGCATGGATCCCATCCAAGAGAACCATTCCTGCAGGATCTCCAGCGTGGATCCCATCCAAGAGAACCATTCCTGCAGGATCTCCAGGGTGGATCCCACCCTGTTGCTCATCTGCTTGAGTTAGAGCAGTCAAGTCTCTTCCCAACAAACCTGTTGCAGCCTCAAAACTCCCCTCTGCTTTCCAAGCAGGTACCTCTAGAACACAACCACTGAGGCGGTGGAAGCAGCAGCTTCATCTGCTCTGTGTAAGCTTTGCATCAGTGACAAAGCACATGGAGCATGAGACTGGGATGACCCTGGAATGCACCTGAACTCTGCTTCCTCCCTGCTGAGAAGCCAACTGGGCATCCCAGCAATGAACATCAGGGAATGGGCCTCTAGGGCTCCTCAGGTGAGCTCCCAGTTTAACAGCTGAATATTCCAGCACTTCACACAGGAGGAAAAAGCAACTTCCTTGAATAACCAGGAGCCAAAGTTTTGCCTTAGAAAACACCCATGGAAAGCAACCCCTGCTACAGAGGAGCTGGAGGATATGATTCAGAACAGGACCGCCCTCCCTGTCCTCCAGGGCAGAGTGTGTGAGCTCAGCTGAGAAAGCATCCAGCCAAATGGCTCCACATTCCATGCTGCAAGCTGCTGCTTCCAAAAAAGGAGACCCGATCCTCAGTGCCTGAGGGAACACCTCACCCATCCCTTCAGCTGGGTGTCAGCCAAAGACATGTCCAAAGGGTTCCAAATGCTTCTCCTCAGGCAGTCAGCAGGAACACTCACCTTCACAAGATCACAGGCAGAAAGACTGTGTCCAGCCACAGAATGCTCTAAACTAGATGAGAAACTAGCTCTAACCTGAGCTGTGATGGACGTTTAGACAAGGGAACTTCCTAAGACGTGTCAATAAGGAGGTAAATAACTGTGGTAACCTGGGAGGGACATAGGATGAGCTGAGCCTGGATCCCCAGGGACCTTTTCCTGCTGTTTCCCAGGCTGCTGCCTGGTTCTGGCCCTGGAGGCCCCAGGGTTGGTTTTAAGTGGAGCAGTGATGCTGATGGGCTGGGTGCAAACCTGCTGCTCACAGACCTAGCAAGGTGGAAGGGACTGCAGGCTTGAGGGATACAGGACCAGGATGAGGTTTGTGGGAAACAGAGGAGAAGCAAAAGGAAGCAGAATTCCTCACTGCTCTCTCCTAGGAACCCTGTTCAGTGCTCTGCAAAGAGCCCCTTTCCTTCCCGCTGAATCCGGACCAGGAGCTCTTCCTCCCTTTCAACAACAACACATTTAATACAGCAAGAAGGAAGTTCAAAAGAATCCTTTCCAATTCTTTGCTGCTCAGGGAACTGCTTCCCTTTGATCACAAACCACAAAGCTTTGGGCCTGGCCAGGCTGAACTCCTGCCACTCACTGCAGCACCAGCCTCTGAAGGTAGCGCAGCCCCGCTTGCCTTGTGGAAGGATGGAATCCTAATTCCTCACTCAAAGTGGTCTGGCACTAAGGCAAAACCAACAAATGGGCTTTTGCTTCCAAACCTGCTTGCTGAAACCTGGTTTAGATGAGCCTCCATCTTCATGGTATTGAAGAGTCAGAGCTAACACAGGGCTGCGGCCCCCACTTTATGCAGCAGGTAAAGACCAGACCCAAGAGTCTTTAGGTGCCTATTTTTGGTCAGCTGGGAGTTACAAACCCTCATTCTATCAGCTCCCAAGTCTTAAACCCAACCAGATCTCCCATTTCCACCAGGAAACAACCCTCCTAACACAGAAACCACCCTCACAACCACATGCCCTTAGGCTTTGGGTCATTTTGCAAACATCTGAGCCAGCAGCAGCACCAGCGGACCCGGCCACTGTCCCAAAACCAATCCCAGACCATAGGAAGACCTTGACGAATTTAAAGGAAAGACGTTTGGAAGCTCTGCCTTTGTATTTTGGGATTTACTTTAACAAAAGTAGGGCATTCCCATCTTTTAGCTAAGAGACAGCCTGTGGGGAAGAGAGGGAGGTGAATGCTCCATCTCCCTTCATCCAGCTTCTGGTTTCCTTCAGTTTGAGGTAGGGATTAACCTTTCTTTGCAGGTTATTTGGAGCAGGATTCTCAGGGGCAGGTTCCTGGGCCCCTTTGCCAGACACATTTCAAGAGGAAACCAAGTGAAAGAGCTCAGGAAAAGGGAAGGAGGAACTGAAAAGAGAAGCTAAAGGCAGAAGAGCATCGCTGTTTCTGGCTAGCTCAGGCTGGGGGTGCCTGGATGCAGTTCCTGCTGTTCTGCAGGTCTCAGTTCAGATCTACCACCGACTGCATAATCAACCTCCTCTGGCTGGGCTGAAACCCATCTCAGTCAAGGGCTGGCCTCAAGGACAGTGGTTCTGTTGCTGTTCACAACTATCAACCCCCCCAGCCACCCTACCCAAACCCCACATCTGATGTTAAAGGGAACATGTGGAGCAAGGCCGATGGGGTTTCTTTTTGGTCTACCAGGGCCATACTAAAGGAACTGTCTCTTGTCTGACTGCAATTCCTTCTCATTCAGGACTAAAATGACATTGGCAAAGATCCAGGGAATCTCTGGGCTGATTCTCCCCACGGATCACCTGAAGGAAGCAAAGCAATGGCAGGATCTCCTCCTCCAAGGAAACTACCACTGGGAGGTTCATTCCCAGGGAGGAAACTGCGGTGCCAAAGGAAGGATTTGTCCCAAATGCTGTCCGAGGAGGACTTATCCTCTCCCTACAGATTCATTGCCCTCACTCTGAGGCCTGTATTTACCTCTCATGACTCCAGTGACAGCAGATGAGCTGAGCTCCTGCAAAGTCAGCTAGAAGCAGCTAGGGCTCTTTTCAATCCCTGTTATTAGCCATATTCAGCAAGATCCTGTTCTCCTCAGGAATAGCAACTGGCTCAGAAGGGAGAGCTTTGCAGTTGGACTATTTTTGGGACTCTCCAAATAAACACCAGATGGCATGGACTGAAGTTAGGGGGCACGTTGGAATCCAGCATGTGAACATCCTGGCAGCAACGGCTCCATCCTTTACCTGAGCCCTTACAATGGCAATGTCACATCTTGGCCAGCAAGAAAAAGACAACCTTGATAGTCCTCTCCTTGGGAATACAAGAAAGACCTACACAATGAAGCCATTTCTCTGCCAAGCCTAAACCTTGTTCAGCTACAACAAAGCAAGTGGCCACACGGGAAGGAGCTGCTGTTAGTTCCAAGCTGTGCCCCAGCAGGCCCCACATACCTGTCACGGAGAGTGTTGGGACCCAGGTAGGGATACTGGCTGTCCTTGAGCTTGCCTTTGATGAGCTGATCTAGTGTCTCCTGCAGGAGAGGCTGGTGCTGGGTGTACACATTCTCAACCCCCTGCAGTGTGAGAGAAGCTCTTGTTAGGAATTCATCCAGCAAAGGCAGCAAGAGAAGAGAGAAGGTGGGCAAAGGCAGCATCTGATGGCTACATCATGTGCTCACCACCAAGCTCCAGCAACTAACTCCCATGGGCTTCAATGAGAATTATGCCCTCAAAGCCCAGTGCATTTCCTGGTGCACCTCTGACATCCCTGCTCTGTGAAACAGCCATCACTTCATCCAGGTCACATCCATACCTTCAGTCCTTTGAGGAACTGCTTGGTGATGGCTACAGCATCCTTGGGACTGAAGAGGTCACTGCCCCGGACCCGTTTCCCACCATACTCCACAACAGCAGACACCAGCTGTACAGAGAGAGGCAAAACCAGACCCCTGTTATCCTGGGAAGCAGCTTCCAGGCAGTTTTTGTCCAGTGAGGCTCAATGCAGGTACTGGAATGAGAACTGAGGAGTCAGGGAGATTGCTTGCAAGCAGATAATGCAGCAGAGAGGCAAAGAGGGAGAGCAGAAGCATTTCCCATACCCAGTGAGCAGCCAGTCTGCGTGACACTGCCTGCAGGAGGAAAGGGGCTTCATTTCCATAGTCTGCTGCAGTGAGAGCAGATCTTCCAGACAACGTGACATCATCCTGCTTCTCCTCCTCCTCTCCAGCTGCTCCCTACACTTGCCAAGCCACCCTCTCCCTCCCAGCCCAGCTCCTTTTGCAGTCTCCAGAAGTCCCTATTCAGCAGGAGAAAAAGGGTGGGGAGGTGGAGGGGAACGAGGAAGGCAGCATGTCCCAGGCCCCGTTTACCTGCCACAGAGCCCTGCACACTGCCACCTCTGCCCTACTCAATCCTTCATGGAATCATGGAATCAACCAAGTTGGAAACGACCTTTAAGCTCATCCAGTCCAACCCTTGCCCCAGCACTGCCAAGGCCACCACTAACCCATGGCACTGAGGGTATGGGAACACTTGCAGGGACGGTGACTCCAGCGCTGCGCTGGGCAGCCTGTTCCAATGCCTGAGCACCCTGTGGGGCAGGAATTGTTCCTCAGCTCCATCTAAACTTCCCCTGGTGCAGCTTGAGGCCGTTTCCTCTTGTCCCATCCCTTGTCCATAACACCTCTCACTTTGGAACTGGAAATTCAGCCTTTTAAAGGCTGAAACTCCTGCAGGCCCCAGCCAAGCTCCGGGTTGTGGTGCTATTCAACAAGAACTATGTCCAACCAACCAACTCCACTCCACTTAATCAGAACCCCCCTGTGCTGGGCAGCATCAACAGGAGGTGAGCAGCAGGGCAGGGAAGGGATCCTGCCCCTCTGCTCTGCTCTGCTCTGGGAGACCCCCCTGCAGCACTGGGTGCAGCTCTGGTGTCCTCAGCACAAGGACATGGAGCTGCTGGAGCAAGTGCAGAGGAGGCCACGAGGATGAGCAGGGGCTGAAGCAGCTCCCATAGGAGCCAGGCTGAGAACATTGGGGCTGCTCAGCCTGGAGAAGAGAAGCTGCGTGGAGAGCTCAGAGCAGCTTCCAGTGTCTGAAGGGGGCTGCAAGGATGCTGGAGAGGGGCCTTCATCAGGGACTGGAGCGACAGGACAAGGGGTGATGGGTTCAGACTGGACCAGGGGGATTTAGGTTGGAGATAGGGAAGTTTTGCATAAAGGGACACTGGGATGGGTTGAATGGAGAAGCTGTGGCTGCCCCATCCCTGGCAGTGCTCAAGACCAGGTTGGACACAGGGGTTTGGAGCATCCTGCTCCAGTGGAAGGGGTCCCTGCCCATGGCAGGGGTTGGAGCTGGATGAGCTTTAAGGTCCCTTCCAACCCAACCCATTGTCTGATTTCCCACCTGAGCCCCGGTCCATGCAGCTGGAGCAGAAATGCAGCCCTTACCTTGCGGTACTTGTCAGCCACCCCCCTGTTCCTGAGCTCTGTCATCAGCCCGGGCAGGCTGTTGCTGCTGTGGCGCTCGTAGTGCAGGGCATAGAGCATCACCAGGCGGGCAGCATCCAGCTCCGTCACCTTGGGGTTCTGCAGCAGGCGCCGCACGTTCTGCACCGGGACGAGGAGCAGCGTTAGCACACAGGCCTCCAAAGGACATGGGGTGAGGCTAACAGCAAGCCTGGCAACAGAGCTGCTCCCGGGGGGGGGTGCAGAGGGAGTTACACTGGGCCAGAACCACACAAGGTTTAAGGGAAGTACAGCAGAGCACAAGTTGCTCTGGGCTCTTTAGTGAAGCCTTGTGAAAGGGTTTAGATTCACAGATTCAGCTCTAGATGCTGTCATTTGTTTGAGTAGTTCCAAAACTCCAGGCTAAAATCCTGGCTTTCAGGAGGATCCCCAGGAATTTTACCTGGGTAAGGACAGGAATCCACCTGCAAGGGGAGGGAGGGAGTCCCACAGAGACTCTGGCTGCTGGCAGTGTAGTGGCAATGCCTATGGAAGCAGGAAGAGTGTGAAACAGAAAAGCTATTGTCCCTCTGAGGAGATGGGCCTCAAACCCTCCCATTCAGCTCCAAGGGCTCATGTACTATGTCAGGATTAATAAGAGACCAAGGGCAGAAGAACCAAAATGTGCTGGGGCCACCACAGGAACAGCAGTTGCTGAAGTTACAGCAGGGGGGGGAACAATTCTGCCTTTATTTCATGCACTGGCTTATTCTCCATTGTGTCTGTGGCCTTGCCCCTTCCACTGCCATTAGGAGACTGCAAGAGGGAGCAGCCTGGGGCAGTGCAGCTACAGAGATGCTGATTCTTATGGAGAAAGAGCCCCCATTCCAGCGTTTTGCATTTATTTCCTATAGCTGCTACATGTTTCCAGTCCATCTCAGTTAGAAATACAATGGAGGCCTTTAGGCAAGTGGCTGTGAGTAAACTGCAGGCAGCTTCTCTGCTTTAAAATGGCACAGATACCAAGCTAGTGCAGATCAAGACCTCAATTAGCCCCAAGGTGAGCTGCAGGAAGCACCCTGCCATGCCAGGGTGGCAGTGGGTGCAGGCTGACCTGCCTGGGGCTCTGGCCAGTTCCCAGCTCTCCTCCCCACAGCGCTGGTAATGCACCAGCATCATCCCACAGGCTCACATCACCCCTTTCTCCAATGAATCAGAGATAACTCAAGAACAGACAGGAGGAGACCAACATCTCCAAACTGCTCTCCAAAGCCAAGCCCCTACATCCCAGCATTAATGCTCTGTGCCTTGCCAATACCAGGTTACAGCACAGACACCATGGGCTAACGGGTTAGAACTCAAAGCGTCTGACTTTGAAACTGCAAAAGCTTGATCCAGAAACAATCATAGAGCAGGAGAAGCTCAGAGGCTGTGTTCAGCAAATGCATTTGATGGTTTGAGTCCCACTCCAGTACTTAGTCATCTAAGTTCTACCAAATATAAGCTATGGAACAACATCTCCATGCTCACAAGTGTCTGTAGCTGCAATGACTTCACCAGGCCTGGACTGATTCACATCAGCTCAGGAGCTGCTAATAGATTACAGCACTTGAAGAATCTAATATTATCTCCTCTAGCCACCCACTCGGAGCACAGAATAACAAAGCTGACATGGATTTCAAAGCTGTTGGAGACACTAATCTTTATTTTCTAGCCTAACTGTGTGAAGGAGTCCATTACGTGGTGGAACTTCTGCCTTAGCTACCAAACATGAAGGAGCTGGCTTTAATGCCCAGTTACTGGTTGAACTCTGCTGTACCACAGTCACACCAACACTGCTCTTTGCTCCGAGTAGGCAGCAACCACTCATCACTGCTGTCAGATACTAGGTCAGGTCATGGAATCCAACCAGCCAGCATGGGGTCAAGACTTCAGTCTTTCCTCAGCTATAACAGAAGCCTGTTAGGCTTTTTCAGCCCCCTCTGCCACAGATATCTTTTCTCTAAGAGGCTTTAAAATACATTTTCAAAGAAACAGATAAAAAAAAAAGGTGAGAAAATAAAAGGAAAAGGTAAAAGGCAGCTCCTCAGTCGATAGCCTGGTTTAGATTCCATTGCTCCTCCCCAAACCCAAGCCTCTGAACAGGGTTGTTTCCCTGGTGCCTGCCAGGAGCCAGCTGACTGCGTACAATGAAGGCACACTGCATTGTGAAATGGGAAGGCAGAACTTGCAAAGATGCTTCTCAAGCCAGTTATTAACTATGATTCATCCCTAGCTGAACCGAACAGGGATGAGAAGAGTCATTCTCCCATCTAATGGGCCAACCCTGCAGGATAGCTACAAGCAGAACTCCCACTGACTTGCAGCAGCAAACCTCCATCAAGAGGGGAGTTCCAGAATCAAACCAGCTCGGTTCAGACAAAGCATCAAGACAAGGAGCCCGAGGTACCTGGAGAGCACTGGAATGGTCATTCTGGCATGCCAGCTCCTGCTCCACCTCCGACACCTCCAGCAGGTTCCGCTCAGCAACCAGGCGTGAGAGCTCCCCCACCACGGTGACGTGCTTGGACACTGTGCCCGACATCTTCTTGAACTGAGGGTAGTTCTCCACGAAGGCCTGCCATAGGGAAGGCAAAAGAGCTGCCCTTCAGGAGGAAAGGGAGCCAGCAAGAAGCTGCTCGGCATCACGGAATCCCACACTGGTTTGGGCTGAAGCGACCTTAAAGCTCATCCAGTTCCAACCCCTGCCATGGGCAGAGACCCCTTCCACTGGAGCAGCTTGCTCCAAGCCCCGGTGTCCAGCCTGGCCTTGAACACTGCCAGGGATGGGGCAGCCATAATCAATCCAAGCAAGACAAGCTGTAGGGCTCTGGGGTTCCAGCAAGCTCTAAGGAGCAGCTTAGGAAGCAGGCAGGAGGAGCAGTGGCCTATGGAAGAGCGTGGCCTTCAGCAGAGAATCACTGTAACGAACACAGCACAAAAAGGAGGTTCCCACTCCCCAAAACTAGCACGCCACAGACACCTGGGCTCTGGGCACTGGTGGTGAGGGCTGTCAGTGCACAGAACGTGGTGACCTGCATGATTCTGCAATGCATGCCCAGTCAGTTATGTGGAGATTGTCGGTACCTTCATATCTGCTATGGATTCCAACTTCTGCTGCTCCTTAGGTTTCCTCCTCTGGAAATCCTCCATGAGGTTCTTGATGTTACTGCCAATCTCTGCAAAGTTCAGGTACATGTTCTGTGTGGAACAAGACAAGGAGCTGACAGAGCTATCCCAACACGAGTCCTGATGCAAGCAAACAAGGTGGCACTTGAGCACTGCCAGGGATGGGGCAGCCACAGCTTCTCTGGGCACCCTGTGCCAGCGCCTCAGCACCCTCCCAGGGAAGAGCTTCTGCCCAAGAGTTGATCTCAATCTCCCTCTGGCAGGGTAAAGGCAGTAAGATCCCACTAGGAACCTACATTGGCATAGAACTCATCATTCTCAGCAGACAGCACCACCTCCCGGAGGTCTTTGCTTATCCCCGGCACGCGGGAGAGGTCGATGCGGTTGTTGTTAATCCCCAGCAGCTCATGAACCATGGCCTGGTACGTCCACTAGCAACGAAAGAGAAAGGCAAATAGTAGAGACACCTTCCACCAGAGCAGGCTGCTCCAAGTTCCATCCAACCTGGCCTTGAACACTGCCAGGGATGGGGCGGCCACAACCAATCCAAGCAAGAGCAGGGTGAGCGCGTGGATGATCCAGCACCTCAATCCCAGGAGCCCATCAGCTATTAACATGTGCCCTTACCCAAGAGTGAGCCATTCACCTGGTTCAGGAGCGGGGTGATGGCATCATCAGAGCGGTCCAGAATGAGAAGCAAAGGAGGGACCTCAGTGCGCCGGAAGTCAAAGAGCTCGTACTCTTTGGTGATGACTTGCTGGGGAGAAAAGGTCCAAAAAGCCACCTGAGCTCATGTACACCTGCAAAATCTCCTCTTTGTTGGGATACAGGAGAACAAAAAAGGATGTCTGGTGAGAAGTAAGTGGTGCTGCTCTCTCGGGCTGCACTGCTGGTGAAGGAGGAACCCCTGCTCTCAAAAGCACCAGGGAACCTACTGCAACTGATGGTGATACTGAGGGGAAATGAGGCTCTTCACCTGCTCTTTGGCTGGGAGCAGGCAGAGATGAGGGATGTGACCTGCCCAAAGCCACGCAGCACATGACAGAACTGATGTGAACTGGCTGAAAAAGGGGATTTCTCTCAAATAGATCAAGAGGTAGAAAAAAGAAATGACGTTTTAGTCCCTGCCAAAAATACTGAACACCTCTGCAGGTTCTCACCGGACCTTCACACACTCAGCAAGCCTCTTTGCTGGCTCCGAAGAGAGCTGGTACCGAATCATGGGACACTTCTTCAGGGACAAAAGCAGAGCTGTCAGCCCTTGAGTTGTCCTGGACAGCTGAGCTGGATCCCAGTTGCGACCCTGCAAGGAAAAGCTCTGTCATGGATCCACCATCCCCAAACTCTTCCTCACCTAAAATCTGATTCCTAAGCCTTAAAAGGAGCTGTAGTTTGAAGGAGCAGGTACAGTAGAGGCCACACTCTGCACTCCCCAGTGTCTTCTCACACAGACCAGCTCCCCTCTTCCAGACCCACCACCCCCCCAGCGCTGTGGCTGCTGCTCTCCCTCTTACCCACACAACAGGCCCTGGGGAACTTCTATCCTACCTGGCAGCAGCCCAAGAGGTTGAGAGAAAAAACGTGTGGATTCACTGCAATGTAATCGCCGTAGAACTCCTGCCAACAGGGAAAGCAGGTACAGTCACAGGTCCTGCCAAGCCACCTTCAGCCCCAGGGGTGCATGTCCCAGCCCCAGCCACGTCCCATGTCCCACCCCAATCCCCAGCAATGCACAGACATGGACTTGGATCATTTCTCCTTTCTCCAGCTGAGCCACACAAGTCCCTGCACTGCTGCTGCCAGCTCCATGCCCATCTGCCATGTACACGTTTAGTGCGTGGAGCTCTTTGTCAGCACCACAGACGTGCAGCAGCCCCATGAAACACAGGCAGCAGCAGAGCCAGGAGTGGCTCTGAAGGCTGCAGGGCAGGGAGGAACCGGGGAGCTCTCCTTCTCCCTTGTAATCCACATCTGTGTTCATCTCTTCTCCCATGGGAGGCTGCTGAAGCACTGCTGCACGCTGTTCACGCTGTTCCAGAGCCACACTGCCCCACCTGAGCTTTTACCTTGTGTGCTGCTTTGGGGATAGAAGATCTACTAAAAAGAGCCAAAACAATCCCCTCACCTGAACTTCAGCCACAACCTCCTGTTCGTCAGCCTCAGCTAAAGACTTGACATCACTCTTACTGATCACGTTGCTGAAGTCTGGAAGAGAACAACGGGGAGAGAACAGTCAGGCTCCGTGTGGGACATGGAACACACAAGAACACCATGGAATGCTCTCGCCAGGCTTTCCTATGGCAAAACCGAGCCCAAAGCAGAAGCACCACGGCCCTTCTGGCAGCACCGCAGAGCGGCAATGACATCTAGAGGCCACTTCAGCTCATCTCCCCTAACATCATCCGCTGGGACCGGGGCTGGAGGACTCCCCTGCAGCACAAAACCTGCTGAAGCTGCTCTGCTTTGCTTTTATTTGCTTCATAACTTGTACCTGCTTTCGTGTGTGCTCTTCCTATCGCAGCAAGCAGGGACAGGCCAAGGGGAATGGCTTTAACCTGCCGGGGGGAGACTGAGATGAGCTCTTAGGCAGAAGCTCTTCCCTGGGAGGGTGCTGAGGCGCTGGCACAGGGTGCCCAGAGAAGCTGTGGCTGCCCCATCCCTGGCAGTGTTCAAGGCCAGGTTGGACACAGGGGTTTGGAGCATCCTGCTCCAGTGGAAGGGGTCCATGCCTGTGGCAGGGGCTGGAGCTGGATGAGCTTTAAGGTCCCTTCCACCCCAACCCAGTCTGGGATTCTACAGTTCTACAATACAGATGTGGGACAATGGGGCTGCTCCCATGGACAGGCCTTTACTAAAATGCTAAGAACACGTGGATTCTAGTTTTCATGCTCTTTAAGTCACCAAATTCTATTAGGGAAGGGTACATGGCTGTGAGATTAAACTGAAGCAACATAAGAGATCTTTACAAAGCAACACCATAAATCTGCATTCCTTCCATACAACTCAGCCCTAAACATTTCTGGGATTCTAATGCTTCACGTTGCTCTCTGGCAGGTTAAAGCCATTCCCCCTTGGCCTGTCCCTACATCCCTTGTCCCAAGCCCCTCTCCAGGTTTCCTGCAGCCCCTTCAGGAACTGGAGCTGCTCTCAGGTCTCCCCTTCAGGAGCCTTCTCTTCTCCAGGCTGCCCCAGCCCAGCTCTCTCAGCCTGGCTCCTATGGGGGCTGCTCCAGCCCTCGCAGCATCCTCTACTGCAGTCAGTGCCGCTGGGCAGCGCTGCAGGCCAGGGCACACACTCACAGATGAAGTAGATGCTGTACTTGGGCCTCCGCAGCTCCTGGATGAGGAACTCCACGTTCTCCTGCATGAAAACGGCACCAGGGAGGGGGCATTTAGGAAAGGCGGTGTGCGAGGGGCCGGGGCTGACCCGCACCGCCCCCGGGAGCAGGGCCCTACCTTGGTGGGCCGCAGGAAGCAGATGGCCTTGAGGTGCTTCATGGGCTCCCTGTTGGCGGAGTCCAGCCGCTCGAAGAGGTACACCTCCTTCTGCAGGATCTCGGACTGCGTGTACACCATGCTCACCACGCCGGTCTGCGGGCGGGAGCAGCGGCGCCGGTCACCGCGGGGCTGGGTCCCGCCGCTCCGCTCCCCACCCGGCCCCGCCGCTCACCGTCTCCCGGTCCATGAGCAGCACCTTCATGCCCGGCCCGCTGTCCTCGATCATCTTGGACACGTACTGCTTGACGGCCAGCACCGCGTTCATCTCGGCCCCGTTCGGCCCCGTTCGGCCCCGTTCGGCCCCGCTCGGCCCGGCCGCGCCGCGCTGCCCGCTGGGAGCTGTAGTCCGGCAGCGGGAGAGCGGCGCGATGGGGGGGAGGGGGTGCGCACAAGGACTTCAACTCCCAGCAGCCATCGCGGCGCCTCCCGCCGGCCCCGCCCCCGGGGCACCCGGAAGCTGCCTCAGGGGAGCCCGGCCCGGCCCGGCCCCTCCGCCGCTCGCCTCGCTGAGGGCGGCCCCTTTGGGCCGGCTGCGGCCCCGCAGGTTGGTTTGGAAGCGATGGAGTTTAAAGCTCGCCTAAAGCCACAGGCAGGAGGAGCTGCTCGAGCTGAGCTGGGAGTCACGGGGGTGGGGGTAAAACTAGAGCAAAGGGAAAAGGCACTTCACTGGGTATGGGGAGGAGGAAAACCCGGCCCAGAACGCAGTAACGCGGCTCCCCCCTCGCCCCCCGTTCCCCAGCACCCGCTGCAGCTGCCCCAGGCCAAAACAGACACCTGGAAACCTGGCGTTTGAGGTCCCAGTTCAACGTGTTCGTGGACAGACCCTGCTGGAAGGAGAGGCCGTACCTGTGCCGCCCGCACCTCCCTCGCAGAGGCAGCCAAAGGGGCCACCTGGGCTCTGCTCTGGTGCCGCTGGCTCAGGTCAAACGTGTCGTGCACTGCCCATCAGCCATGTAAAGGGCATGACCGACAGCAGGCGACGGTCAGGGAGCTCCCAGGTCCAAGGGGAGCCTCGGGAAAGGCCCAGGTTGGGTTTCCCTGCAGGTCTCAGGGCCAGCAAGAGGGTTCCCGAGCAGGTAACCATGAATTCAGCAGTTGGGATTGCCCGGGTGCTTAAACCAGCCCTGCAGGAGGCTCAGGCCTGCAGGACGTGACCCCTAACTAAAGCACAGGAGAAAAGGGGAGGAGGGAAACTGAGGCACGGAGCAGCCCGAGCTTGGGCTGCAGGAAGCAAGCAGATGTGGAGGGACTGGGTGGGTGCTGCTGTAGCAGGCACTGGTTGTGATGGTTCCCCTGAGCAACTGCATCCTTCTGTATTCAGCCGGGCTGGCAGCTTCATTCAGGAGCAGGGGTGATGAGATGAGGTGAGATGTCAACCACAGAGCGGCCTTAAGGCAGAGTGAGGAGGAGGAGGTGGAGCGCCAGGGCCACGAGCACGATGGTGGTGGTGCAGGAGGCAGCACTGGAAGACTCACCTGGAGGCAGAGGGAGGGCTGTGAGCTGCCGAGCCCTGGCAGGGGACCCCCAAACCCCTGCTCATACAAGCTGCTGCCAGCCACCAACCCACCAGAGCCATGGGCCACCTCCAGCCTGGCAGGGACCCGCTGTCCTCAGGGTTTGCAGCCCATCCACCCAAGTTCTGCCCTCTATGCAGTACCTGTCCAGGAGCACGGGTGCGTGTAGATCAGAGAGGCGTTGTTGGAGGACACGGGGTTGCTGACCTTGCAGGTGTAAGTATCTGGTGAGGAGCTGAGGAGCACGTGCAGCTCAGAAGCACTGATACGCTTCATCTGGATCTTGGAGTGGGAGATCCACTCATAGGTCACTGCTTCGAGCCCCACTGAGCACTCCAGGGTTGCTTCGCACTGCTCCAGGTCACCTCTGATCACTTTGGCATTCACAGTGGGCTTTGGGACCAGCTCTGCAAGAGGCACCAGGATGTCACAGCCTCCCCCTTGTCCCGTCGTGGGATGCTGTGACAGCCCTCCCATGTTCCCAGCTCACCGTACACCGTCAGGAGGACGCTCTCAGTGAGCCCCTTGCCCGTCTCATCCTCCATGTACAGCTGGTACACGCTGCTGTCGCTCTTCTGCAGGCGGCTGATCTTCAGGGTGTTGTTGGAGAAGAGCTCCAGGCGCCCCCAGTAGCTGTTGTTGCAGTACCAGACCTCCCCGCTGCCGTCCCGGCCGGCCAGTTTCAAGTTGTTATTGCGGCGCCAATGGACTTCGTGGTAGGAGATTTTGCTTTGCAGGCTCGGACTGAGATATGCCACCCCGTGAACGGCCCCAACCACCTCTAATGGTGGCTTCTGGTGTGCCTGGGATGCTGGGAAAGTGGAGACCAGAGCTGCTTGGCCAGCTTGGACAAGGGGTGATGGGTTCAGACTTCAACAGGGGAAGTTCACATTGGAGATAAGGAAGAAGCTCTTCCCTTTGAGGGTGCTGAGGCGCTGGCACAGGGTGCCCAGAGAAGTGGTAAATGCCCCGTTTCTGGCAGTGTTCAAGGCCAGGTTTGACAGAGCCTTTGGTGACCATGGTTTGGTGTGAGGCATCCCTGCACATGGCAGGGGCATTGGAACTGGATGATCTTATTGTCCTTTCCAGCCCAAATTCTATGCTTCTGTGTTTCTAAATTACAAATAACCCATTTGCTCACTGATTCATAGAATCATTATGGAATGGTTCTGGTTGGAAGAGACTTTCAAAGCTCATCCAGTCCCAACCCCTGCCATGGGCAGGGACACCTTCCACTAGGGCAGGCTGCTCCAAGCCCATGTGTCCAACTGTCGTGGTTTAAACCCAGTCAGCCACACAGTTTCCGCTCCCCCCTCCTCTTTCTTTCCTTCCTTCCCCCCCTCTCCCCCTCCCCGGAGGGATGGAGAGGAGAATCGAAAGAATATAACTCCCATGGGTTGAGATAAGAACAGTGCAGTAACTAAGGTATAACACAGATGACTACTGCTACCACCAGTGATAATAATGATAAGAGAAATAACAACAGAATACAATACCACCCCGAAACAAGCCCGACCGAGCAGTGAGTGCCCTTCTGGGTAGCTCCCAGTTACCTCCCGGGCATGATGTGCTGTGCTATGGAACACCTCTTTGGCTAGCTTGAGTCAGGTGTCCTGTCTCTGCTTCCTCCCCTCCTCCCTGACAGAGCATGAGGCTCACAAAGTCCTTGGTCAGAGTAAACATTACTTAGCAACAACTAAAAACATCGGTGTTATCAGTGCTGTTCCCAGGCTGAAAGTCAAAACACAGCACTGCACAGCTACCAAGAAGGAGAAAAATCGACTGTTACTGCTGAACCTAGAACACCAACCCGGCCTTGAACACTGCCAGGGATGGGGCAGCCACAGCTTCTCTGGGCACCCTGTGCAGCGCCCCACCACGCCTCTGTGTTCTCTCCCCCACGTTGCAGAGGCAGTTGGTTTCGGTATTTCCTCTTCCCCACACTAAGTGACCACAATGAAGTTGTTTTTTCCGTCTGAGTTCATTTTTGTTGCTCCCCCTCCCTGACCCAGAGCAGCTCCTCACCCCCAGCTCCATGGTAGCCAGTGGGTCATTCCATGGGCACAGCACCGGCATGGGAGGAGCTGAGGTGGAGCGGGATACAGGGAGGGTTTAGCCATGAATGCATCCCCAGGGTCCCCACGCAACCCCAAAGCCATCTCCCCCCAGTGCAGCTCCCTCACTCCAGGAAACCCGGCACCATACCTTGCGTGATGCAGAGGAAGAAAAGCAGCACCACTCTGCTGTCTGCATCCAAACCCAAACTCCAACGTGCAGTGGCTCCCCAAGGACCCCATGAACCAGCCTGCGCCATGTGATCCGCTTTGTAAACCCCAAAGGCACATGCGCAGTTTCTTAAAATGCTGTTCATGCGCAGCAGCCCCAAACCTCCCCGTGGACACCACGTACAGCACCCCAAGGACCCCGACTCCCATCACCACCACTGCGAAGGGAAACGAAACGCAGACCCCAGGGGTCTCCTCTTCCTTTACAGCTGCTGACACACAGGGATCCCATTTAGAGTCATTTAATGGTTTGGGTGGGAAGAGACCTTCAAAGCTCATCCAGTCACAACCCCCTGCCACGGAGAGGGACACCTTCCACTAGAGCAGGTTGCTCCATTCTTCTGTTCATGAAGCCTTTGCTACAATGGAGTCGATACCTGGTGCAGGGGAGGCATACTCAAACCCAAGCTCCTGCGCTGGGCTCTTGTCGTGGTTTAAACCCAGTCAGGTAACTTGTTCACTCACTCCCCCCCTTCTTTCCCTCCCCCTGCTCCCGGAGGGACGGAGAGGGGAATAGAAAAGAATGCAACTCCCACGGGTTGAGATAAGAGCAGTTTAGTAACTAAGGTGTAACACAGATCACTACTGCTACCACCAATAATAACAATGATAAAGGGAATAACAAGGGAAGAGAATACAACACCTCACCACCAGCCAACTGATAACTCACCCCCCAGCCCGACCAAGCACCGACCGATACCTCCTCCAACCCTGCAGTCTCCCAGCCCTTCCGGCTAACTCCCAGTTACCTCCTGGGCATGACGTGCTGTGGTATGGAATACCTCTTTGGTCAGTTTGGGTCAGGTGTCCTGTCTCTGCTTCCTCACGGCTTCCCCTCCTCCCTGGCAGAGCATGAGGCTCACAAAGTCCTTGGCCAAACCAAAACATCGATATCAGCTCTGCTCCCAGGCCGAAAGTCAAAACACTGCACTGCACCATCTACCAAGAAGGGGAAAAATGACTGCTACTGCTGAACCCACGACAGCTCTGTAATTCCTGGTTTTGCTATGTGATTTATTTTGCCTTGAGTGGAAAGTATTCAAAGCAGAGTTGTGCTGCTGAGATGCTTCACCAGAGACAGCCCTGCGGAAGGGGGCAGAGCATCGGTTCCAAGCTTGTACCAGAGCTGCATCCTCCTACTACAGGTCTTTCACCTCAAAAGAAGAGGATCTAACCAGCAAGATGATTTCAGGTACAGTAACAGTGTCCAGAACCTCCCAATGCTGCGGGGCAGAGGCTGCATCCCCACTGCTGCCACTCCATTGCAGCGTCATGGGGCTGGGACCCAGCATGAAGCCCCCCGGAGAGCTGGTGATGAGCACCAGTGCTCGCAGCCACGATGCCCATCAGTGCAGGAAACCCCCCAGTACTCTGCCCTGCTTTGGGATCTACAGCAAGGAGGAGGATGGGGTGGTCCTTAAAACCTCATCAAGGAAAGACCCAATCGTCCTCAGGGAAGTGGTGTGGACTTCAGTTTGCTCCTGTTCTCCCCATAGTAGGTGCTTGGAGATGGGAATGGATCCCCCAGTCCTGTCAGGGTCCCTCTGTTGAGGATGGAGCAGCTTCAGTGAAGAGCCAGGGATGGGGAAGGCACCGCTCACTTGTTCCACTGCTGGAAAAAGGTAAGAGAAGCTCAGCTGGTTCTGTGGGCTCAGGGGATAAATTACTCAGCACCACCAGAGCTCAGCCCACACAGCTTTAACAGGGAGAAGGGTTATTTCCTTTTGCTTTCTACAAGTTTTGTTGCTGTTTCTGTTTAGACAGCAGCCAGCCTGCACCTCATATTGCTGAAAGCTTGGAGACATTCCCCATGCTCCAGCAATACAAGGGCTACTGAAGTTTGCATGCGGAGATGATCCATGGAGGTGTTCAGAGGCATCACCCTTCCCCTGGCGGCATTAAGCTGAATAGAGCTTTCTCTCCTTACAAGCCACAACCTTTTCAGTCCCTGGATTTAGAAAACCCCACAGAAAACTGCAGGCAAACTTCAGTTGTGATCAAGTGCTGAGGAATGAAGAAGTGAGTTGAGGAAGTTTGGCTTGTGACTTGAAACATAAGCAGAGGAAGGGCAGGAAGCCCCAGCACCACTGGAAGGGCTGTAGGCTGGGAACACTTGTATAGTGTCAGGAGTCTAAGCAGAGTCGTTCAGTTGAAGAGAAATTAGAACAGAAACAGTGTGCATTCAGAGTCATGTCTTGGGTGTGAAGCTCCAAACGTTAAAGAAGCTTCGTAAAAGGAGTAGACCAAAAGGGTTGCTTTGCCAGTGCCTCTTGGAATATCGAGACATCGTGGATAACAGAGTGAGCTCCTGGATAACATCACCATTTGGAAAGTCACTGAACGCTAAGATTCAGCTCCCAGTTCACCACCACCAACCCCAACGTGCAAGAGCCCCTCGAGGGCTGGGGCGTTTTGAAACGGGTTTGGGCTGTGTTTCAGTTCCTGCAACGCGCAGGCAGAGGGCGCCTGCGGAGCGGAGCAGAGGCAGCTCCGCATCCTTCTCCTGCGAGCTGGACGCTGTGAGGACCCCAGGACACGCAGAATCCATCCGGCTTTACTGGTCCAGCTGTTCTGGTTGGAGGAACGGCGCCGAGATGCAGCAGAGCCCCAGGTTGCGTACGTTGGCTGGGTATGTGATGTGGTCCATGGTGTGGGGCTCATCCTCGGCATCCCCAGGCACAGAAGTTGCAGGGGTGTCTTGACAGCAACAGAAGCAAGACACATCTCTGTCTCTGTGCCTCAGTTTCTGTGCCACGAAAGGAATAGTCCAGCTGCTTTTTGTCACAAAACATCAGTAAAAGAGGGTGATAAATGGGCTTGGTTGTAAGCTGTAGCTGTAATGGAGAGATCTGCTTGCCTGATGGAACATCAAACCACAGAAAGAGGGGAGATCTAAGATGAAATATTAGGAAGAAGTTCATAGACTGGATTGTGTTGGAAGGGACCTTAAAGCTCATCTGCAGCCATGGCAGGGACCCCTTCCACTAGAGCAGGATGCTCCAAGCCCCTGTGTCCTTGAGCACTGCCAGGGATGGGGCAGCCACAGCTTCTCTGGGCCTTCTCCCTGTCCCTGCTGCTCACATGCTGGTGATGCAGCCCCCGCACATGGGTGGTTCCTGGGCTGCAAGTGCACAAAATGAGGTCACCCTCCTCTTCTGCAGCACCAGCTCTGCTTGAGTCATGTCCAGGCACCCAAAGGAGCCTCTGCTAATCGCCCTAAGAACAGCAGCTGGGATTAGGTGCTATTCCTAGAGGGACACAGCTAAAAGGGGCCGCAGGCAACGGAGCCAGCGCACCCTCGCTGGCACATCCCTATTTATAGACGACTGGATGAAGGAGTAAGTCCTGCCTTTCACTTCCAATTAACAACTCCCCTTTTCTTCATGGAGTAACTTCCACGTTCGTTGTCCTTTAAGCACTTTGATTATCAGCTGAAATCCCAGTTTACGTTGCATTTTGCTGACCAGAATCCTCTGGTTCCTCTTTCTACAGAGTGCTCAGAGGCCAGGAAGGTTTTTTGCCTGTCCAAATCCAGTGTGTGTGGTTTAGAGGAGGCAGGATTTCTGTAGGAAAACTCCAATTCCAGGCATCAGATTTTACTTCTCCTCTTCAAACTGACCGACACCTCATTTAAGGAGGTAGTGGGGGGACTCACAGCCAAAGGTACTGCTTTACATGCATAATAATTGCAAACTAAGTTAAACCCCAGTATTTAATTGCATCCTATTGTTTAGATCGTAAATGGTTTAGTGTCTGGAAAGTACCATTTTGTTCTCTGTCTGTTTGCTTTGGAAATGCTTTTGTAACCATGTCAGTGATGGTTTTTTTTCAGCTAAATAAGCCCAGAGTGTTGTCTCCTCCTTAAATACATCTTTGTCCTTAAAGGAATACTGCCTTCCTGCAAACTTCCTACAAGGAAAAGCCTTTCCACCCAAGAAATACCTTGAATTTCCCCGTTACACCCCCTCCATGTGTGTGTCGTGGGATCCAGGGACCACATCAACCAGTGACTTGAGTGAGTCCAGCTCTGGAAATGGGTTGAGAATGAACCATTTGCTCCTAGCAATGGGCACCTTCAGGTCAGCACCAACAAACTCCCCTTCCTCTTGTGTCAGGAAAAGGGCAGGAACATCTCTAAGTATAGAGGAGGGGGGAAAACCAGCTCACTGCAGGCAGAAGGGAGCTGAAATCCATGCAGACGCTGACAAATAAGAGGAGTTGCCTGGAAACAGTTGTGTCCTGTGATGAGTTTCCTCCTCTGGTTTTCATTAGTACAGAACCACTTCTTTACGTGTCCCTCTCCTGGGTGCAAGAACAGCATCCCAGGCCCTGGGCTGGTTTCTTATGGCTTGAGAGAATCCTGACCCTTTCCCTGTGCCTCAGGTCTTACTCTAAAGCAATGCTGGTGGCTGAAACATCTTGTGCCACAGCATCCAGGGCTCCTGCTCTTGGCAAAGGAATAAGGTTTGGATGAGTTTCCATCTTTGAAGCCAAAAATGAGTTGGCTTTCCTATTAGCTTTGTTTGTCAACTGCCATTTAACCCTCTGCTTTTCTCCTTGGGCTGCAGAAAGAACTCATCACACCACGAGTAAGCATGTCTGTCGTTCCTACTTCATTATCTGTCATGAGTAAATCTAGGTACCTCCATTTAAGTGCCTTGGGAACAATGTCTGCATCCATTCAGCTGCCCTGCAGTAAGTCTGGTGGGTTCCTGCTGGAACACAAGCACACTTCAGTAGGGGCAATGCTTTACTTCACCTCATTCTTTTGTCATAATCTGATTGTGTTTCCCTTTCAACAATAACAAGGGGTGAAAAAAGGGGGGGAATAAACAAGTAAAGGTGCTTTTGGGTCCAGAATCTTCTGCGGTTGTCTTATGGAAACTGTGCATGGATGTCAGTTATGTGCCTGGATATCTATGTGTATGGATGTCAGTTATGTGTATGGATATCTGTGTATGGATGTCAGTTATGTGTATGGATATCTGTGCATGGATGTCAGTTATGTGCCTGGATATCTATGTGTATGGATGTCAGTTATGTGTATAGATATCTATATCTATGTGTATGGATGTCAGTTATGTGTATGGATATCTGTGTATGGATGTCAGTTATGTGTATGGATATCTGTGCATGGATGTCAGTTATGTGTATGGATATCTGTGCATGGATGTCAGTTATGTGTATGGATATCTGTGTATGGATGTCAGTTATGTGTATGGATATCTATATCTATGTGTATGGATGTCAGTTATGTGTGTGGATATCGGTGCATGGATGTCAGTTATGTGTATAGATATCTGTGTATGGATGTCAGTTATGTGTATAGATATCTGTGTATGGATGTCAGTTATGTGTATGGATATCTATGTGCATTGATGTCAGTTATGTGCATGGATATCTGTGCATGGATGTCAGTTATGTGTATAGATATCTGTGTATGGATGTCAGTTATGTGTATGGATATCTGTGTATGGATGTCAGTTACATGTATGGATATCTGTGTATGTATGTCAGTTACATGTATGGATATCTGTGTATGGATGTCAGTTATGTGTATGGATATCTGTGCATTGATGTCAGTTATGTGTATGGATATCTATGTGTATGGATGTCAGTTAATGTATGGATATCTATGTGCATTGATGTCAGTTATGTGCATGGATATCTGTGCATGGATGTCAGTTATGTGTATGGATATCTATGTGTATGGATGTCGGTTATGTGTATGGATATCTATGTGTATGGATGTCAGTTATGTGTATGGATATCTATGTGTATGGATGTCAGTTATGTGTATGGATATCTGTGCATGGATGTCAGTTATGTGTATGGATATCTATGTGTATGGATGTCAGTTATGTGTATGGATATCTGTGCATGGATGTCAGTTATGTGTATGGATATCTGTGCATTGATGTCAGTTATGTGTATGGATATCTGTGCATTGATGTCAGTTATGTGCCTGGATATCTGTGTATGGATGTCAGTTATGTGTATGGATATCTGTGCATGGATGTCAGTTATGTGTATGGATATCTGTGCATTGATGTCAGTTATGTGTATGGATATCTGTTTATGGATGTCAGTTATGTGCATGGGTATCTATGTGTATGGATGTCGGTTATGTGTATGGATATCTATGTGTATGGATGTCAGTTATGTGTATGGATATCTATGTGTATGGATGTCAGTTATGTGTATGGATATCTGTGCATGGATGTCAGTTATGTGCCTGGATATCTGTGCATGGATGTCAGTTATGTGTATGGATATCTATGTGTATGGATGTCAGTTACGTGTATGGATATCTATGTGTATGGATGTCAGTTATGTGTATGGATATCTGTGCATGGATGTCAGTTATGTGTATGGATATCTGTGTATGGATGTCAGTTATGTGTATGGATATCTATGCATGGATGTCAGTTATGTGCATGGATATCTGTGTATGGATGTCAGTTATGTGCCTGGATATCTGTGCATGGATGTCAGTTATGTGCATGGATATCTGTGCATGGATGTCAGTTATGTGCCTGGATATCTGTGCATGGATGTCAGTTATGTGCCTGGATATCTGTGCATGGATGTCAGTTATGTGTATGGATATCTATGTGTATGGATGTCAGTTACGTGTATGGATATCTATGTGTATGGATGTCAGTTATGTGTATGGATATCTATGGGTATGGATGTCAGTTATGTGTATGGATATCTGTGCATGGATGTCAGTTATGTGTATGGATATCTATGTGTATGGATGTCAGTTATGTGTATGGATATCTATGTGTATGGATGTCAGTTATGTGTATGGATATCTATGTGTATGGATGTCAGTTATGTGTATGGATATCTATGTGTATGGATGTCAGTTATGTGTATGGATATCTGTGCATGGATGTCAGTTACGTGTATGGATGTCTGTACATGGATGTCAGTTATGTGTATGGATATCTGTGTATGGATGATGTCAGTTATGTGTATGGATATCTGTGCATGGATGTCAGTTACGTGTATGGATGTCTGTACATGGATGTCGGTTATGTGTATGGATATCTGTGCATGGATGTCAGTTATGTGCATGGATATCTGTGTATGGATGATGTCAGTTATGTGTATGGATATCTGTGCATGGATGTCAGTTATGTGCATGGATATCTGTGCATGGATGTCAGTTATGTGTATGGATATCTGTGTATGGATGTCAGTTATGTGTATGGATATCTGTGCATGAATGTCAGTTATGTGTATGGATATCTATGTGTATGGATGTCAGTTATGTGCATGAATATCTGTGTATGGATGTCAGTTATGTGTATGGATATCTGTGCATGGATGTCAGTTATGTGTATAGATATCTGTGTATGGATGTCAGTTATGTGTATGGATATCTATGTGTATGGATGTCAGTTATGTGCATGAATATCTGTGTATGGATGTCAGTTATGTGTATGGATATCTGTGCATGGATGTCAGTTATGTGTATGGATATCTGTGCATGGATGTCAGTTATGTGTATGGATATCTGTGTATGGATGTCAGTTATGTGTATGGGTATCTGTGCATGGATGTCAGTTATGTGTATGGATATCTATATGTATGGATGTCAGTTACGTGTATGGATATCTATGTGTATGGATGTTAGTTATGTGTATGGATATCTGTGTATGGATGTCAGTTATGTGTATGGATGTCTGTGCATGGATGTCAGTTATGTGTATGGATATCTGTGCATGGATGTCAGTTATGTGCATGGATATCTGTGTATGGATGTCAGTTATGTTTATGGATATCTATATCTATGTGTATGGATGTCAGTTATGTGTATGGATATCTATATGTATGGATGTCAGTTACATGTATGGATATCTGTGTATGGATGTCAGTTACGTGTATGGATATCTATATGTATGGATGTCAGTTACGTGTATGGATATCTATGTGTATGGATGTTAGTTATGTGTATGGATATCTGTGTATGGATGTCAGTTATGTGTATGGATATCTATGTGTATGGATGTCAGTTATGTGTATGGATATCTGTGTATGGATGTCAGTTATGTGTATGGATATCTATGTGTATGGATGTCAGTTATGTGTATGGATATCTATGTGTATGGATGTCAGTTATGTGTATGGATATCTATGTGTATGGATGTCAGTTATGTGTATGGATATCTATGTGTATGGATGTCAGTTATGTGTATGGATATCTATGTGTATGGATGTCAGTTATGTGCATGGATATCTGTGCATGGATGATGTCAGTTATGTGTATGGATATCTATGTGTATGGATGTCAGTTATGTGCATGGATATCTGTGTATGGATGATGTCAGTTATGTGTATGGATATCTGTGCATTGATGTCAGTTATGTGCATGGATATGTGTGTATGGATGTCAGTTACGTGTATGGGTACCTGTGCATGGATGTCGGTTATGTGTATGGATATCTATGTGTATGGATATCTATGTGTATGGATGTCAGTTATGTGCATGGATGTCAGTTATGTCAATTGGCCACTCCATAAGGTTTTGGGCAAAAGTTGAGTGAGTTTTAAGGCAAGAAAAGCTCTTTCTTGCAGAGGCCTTTAAGAGTTGTCTTTGCAGATCAGTCCAGAGCTATCCCATCGAGCCTAAGTTAAGCCGAACAGACTTTGTGTCTGCAATCCTTGTGTTTCCTCATGGAATCATGGAGGGTTTGGCTTGGGAAGGATCTTAAAACTCATCTAAAGCCACGGGCAGGGACCCCTTCCACTAGAGCAGGTTGCTCCAAGCCCCTGTGTCCAGCCTGGCCTTGAGCACTGCCAGGGTCATCATCCTACGTTCCTCTCCACCAGTGAAGTGGTTCAGCACCACTGGCTCAGCGGGGCTCTGCCTCACCTCACTTCTTCAGTGTCTCAGCACCGCTCACCATCTGCTGCTCTGCCTTTATCCCCCTCTCCTCCCATCCCTGATCCTCTTTGTGGCACTTCTTTATCCAGCGAGTCACCGCACGCTTTAACCTCCATCCGTGCAGCGCCGGGAAGCACCCCAACGGTGCTGCTGTGTCCCACTGTGGACGCCCCTGGAAGCGTTTCCAACCTGGTGGATTCAATGCTTCCTCCTTTGCACAAACACTGCAGCCGGGAAAGGGGAACAGAACCCCCCTGGGGGGCCGGGGGCACAAACTGTTCTTTCTTTGCTGGCCCTTTCTCGTCCCGGCCACCATAAACAATCCTTTTGTGTGCGATACAAACAAGGCTGGGCGCTGGCGGGGAACAAAGGCGCGATTCAGGCCGGGATCAGCTGAACCCTGCGCATGATGCTGCTGCTCCCGGACCCCCAGCGCGGCCGGTCCCACCCAGGCCTGCAGCAGGGAGATGGGGCAGAGCAGCAAATGGGGCCGCAGGGATGCGCTGGCAGGGGGGCTGGAGCATCTCCTATGGACAAGGAGCTGGGTCTGGTTCGTTGAAGAGCAGAGTGAGGGGGCTCCCATCAGTGCACAGCGATAGCTCGAAGGTGGTGCCAGGAGGATGGTGCCAGGCTCTGCCCAGTGGTGCCCAGGGACAGGACAAGGAGCGGCGGCCGTGAACTGAACCACACCAAGCACCACGTCACCACGAGAAGAGCTCAGTGCTGAGGGTGCAGAGCCCTGGCCCAGCCTGCCCAGGGGGTGCTGGGGGCCCCATGGACACGCTCTGGGTGATCTCCAGGGCTCCCTTCCAGCCCAAGCCCCAGGGTTCAGTGAGACCCCCAAGCCGTGGAGCCCCATTGGGATCTCCCACCACATCCCACAGCGGAGGCACCGGCACCACGGGCTCCTCGCACCGGGCACTGAGGAGCTCCACACTGGGGGCTCAAGCACAATGCGAGGTGGTTCAGGCCCCACACTGGGGGGGGTCATGGCTCACTTTGGGGTCTCAGAGCACAAAAAGGGGGGTTCATGCCCTACACAGGAGGCTCAGGCTCCCCACTGGGAGGGTTCAGGTCCCACACTGGGGAGGTTCAGGCCCCACATTGGGAAGGTTCAAGCCCCACATTGGGAAGGTTCAAGCCCCACCCTGGGGGGGTTCAAGCCCCCCGTTGGGGGATTCAGACCCCACATTGGGGGGTTGAAGCCTCCCATTTGGGAGGTCCAGGTCTCACACTGGGGGGTTTCAAGCCCCACACTCGGGGGTTCAGGCCCCACATTGGGATGGTTCAGAACCCACATTGGGGGATTCAGGCCCCACACTGGGGTGTTGAAGCCTTACATTTGGGGAGTCCAGGCCCCACACGGGGATGGTTCAAGCCCCACATTGGGGGGTTCAAGCCCCACATTGGGACGGTTCAGGCCCCACACTGGGGGGTTCAGGCCCCACATTGGAGGGTTCAGGCCCCACACTGGGGGGGTTCAGGCCCCACATTGGGGAGTTCAGGCCCCACACTGGGGGGTTCCAGGCCCACACTGGGACAGTTTAAGCCCCACATTAGGGAGTTCAGGCCCCACATTGGGGGGTTCAAGCCCCACATTGGAGGTTCCAGGCCCCACATTGGAGGGTTCAGGCCCCACACTGGGGGGGGTCAGGCCTCACATTGGAGGGTTCAGGCCCCACATTGGAGGTTCCAAGCCCCACATTGGAGGTTCCAGGCTCCACATTGGAGGGTTCAGGCCCTACACTGGGGGGTTCAGGCCCCACATTGGAGGGTTCAGGCCCCACATTGGAGGTTCCAGGCCCCACATTGGAGGGTTCAGGCCCCACATTGGAGGTTCCAGGCCCCACACTGGGGGGTTCAGGCCCCACATTGGAGGGTTCAGGCCCCACATTGGAGGGTTCAGGCCCCACACTGGGGGGTTCAGGCCCCACATTGGAGGGTTCAGGCCCCACATTGGAGATTCCAGGCCCCACATTGGAGGTTCCAGGCTCCACATTGGAGGGTTCAGGCCCCACACTGGGGGGTTCAGGCCCCACACTGGGGGGTTCAGACCCCACACTGGAGCTTCCAGGCCTCGCTCCGCTGCGCCGTCACGGCCCGGCCGCACGGGGGCGCTCTCCCCCTCCTTTCCTGCGCAGGCTCCGTGGAGCGGCCGGGGGCAGGGGGCGTGGCCGCAGCGCCGCACGCCATTGGCCACGCGCAGCCCGGAGGGGCGGGGCGGGGCGGCCGCGTGCGCCCGCCAAAGCGTTCCGGGCGGGAACGGGGGCGGTGCCGCGTGTCCCCCCCCCCCCCCCCTTCACCCCCCCCCGGGCGGCGGCGGCGGGGCCCGGAGCGCGGCCGCGCCATGGAGCCCAGCGCAGGTAACGCCGCGATCGCGCCCTGTGGGCCCCGAGAAGGGAGCGCGGCCCCGGGGGAGCCCGGCGGGGTCAGCGCAGCGGGCGGGGGTAACGCGGGGCCCAGCCCCGGCCCTCCGGGCACTTCCCGGTGCGGTCGCCGTCGGTGACCGGGGATCCATGGGGCTCCCCGGGGTGCGCCGAGGGGATGGGGCCGGGCCCGGGCCCCTTTGGGCTCCACAGCGGCGGCTCCGGAGCTGCCCGGTCCGGGCGGCGGGGGGGAAAGGGCAGATCCTGGGCCGGGTAACGCCGGGGGCGCCGCGGCCCCGGAGCGCTTTCGCCGTGGGTGCGGAGCCCGGCGGTGACTCAGGGGCCGGGGCAGCTCCGCAGTCCCCGCTTCAGGGAACGGCTCTGCCCCGTCCTGGGAGTCGCTGACGCAGGGAGCGCGGTAACGGGCGCGGGCCGGGGCCTCCCGGGTCACCGTGAGCCGCGCGCGGCTGCGTTTGCAGCGCCCGGGGGGGTTCAGCCTCCGGTTGCGGGGAGAGCGAAGGCGCCGTGGTCGGGTTGAAAGGGGCGGAGATGCTGAGCTTGGTTGGAGTTGTGTGGATCTGCCAGTGCAGGGACTCGGCTCTTCACAGAACCGTGGAAGGGATCGGGTTGAAGGGAGCTGGAAGCTCGTCCAGAGCCATGGCAGGGACCCCTTCCTCTGGAGCAGGATGCTCCAACCCCGGTGTCCAACCTGGCCTTGAGCACTGCCAGGGATGGGGCAGCCACAGCTTCTCTGGGCACCCTGTGCCAGCGCCTCAGCACCCTCACAGGGAAGAGCTTCTGCCTAAGAGCTCAGCTCAGTCTCCCCTCTCTATCAGGTTAAAGCCATTCCCCTTGTCCTGTCCCTGCATCCCTTGTCCCAAGCCCCTCTCCAGGTTTCCTGCAGCCCCTTTAGGCACTGGAGCTGCTCTAAGCTCTTGCCTTCATGCAGCAGAGGGGAGCATCCCCCCCATGTCCTGCTCATGCTCTGGGGGTGCAGCCCAGCACACAGGATCCATGTCAGGGTTTGAGCCATTGTTCTGCCTTCGGGATGGATCAGTAAATTGCTTTGTAATTTAGCCTGAAAAGCACAAAAAGAGGAATTGATGCGTGAGTGATGATGAGGATATGGGAAGAGCCTTGGACGTGATGAAGCTGCTGTGTTTGTGTTGGAGGGTTTTCTATGGCTTGGAGGCTGCCGCCGTGTTCATCATCGCAAGGTTTAGGCTGATCTGGGTGTTGGAAGGGGCAGGGTTGTATTTGGAGCAAAGGGAAGCAGGTGATTGCGGCTCCGCAATAGGGTCAAGTTTTATTTAGCAGCAGTTAAACACATGAAAACCATCCCGGTTTTATAAACTTCCCTGTGCCTCTTACTTAACCGTTGCTTCACTCGTGCCCTGCCTCTTGAGCAGCAGCGGGTGTTTAAATGCACCTCTTCGCTGGGATGCCATCGCTGTCCCGAAGCAGCCCAGGGCACACTGAAAGGCTTCCGAGCTCGGCTTTGAGGCTGGCGCTTCCCAAGGTGGTCAAAGAGCTGCTTGTGCCAAGTGGGAGATGCTGGAGCCTGACCATGGGCTGCGAATATCCCTCCTTTAGTGGGCTGGATTCCTCCTTGCAGGGCGAGTAAAGACACTGGGGCAGGCAAAGTTGTGTAGCTGGAAAAGCTGAGCCTGATGGCTGGAATTGTCTGCATCAGGTCACGCACGATGCCTGGGTTCTTCTCCATAGAGCCATGGAATGGTGTGGGTTGGAAGGGGCCTTAAAGCTCATCCAAAGCCGTGGGCAGGGACCCCTTCCACCAGAGCAGGATGCTCCAAGCCCCATCCAACCTGGCCTTGAACACTGCCAGGGACGGGGCAGCCACAGCTCCCCTGTGTTCCACCACCCTCCCAGGGAAGAGCTCCCTCAGCTCGGACTCTTTTCCTCATGCCCTGGATGAAGCGGAGCCGCTCGCTCCGTGCCCACCTCGCACAGCACCTAAGTGGGAGCTCAGCGCCGGGGAGGAAGGTATTAGGTCAGGTCAGGCTCCGCGCTAATCCCGGCTCTGTTTTGGCTCTTCTCGCCTGCGTTAGGTAACCTGCAGTGTCAGGTCAGGGGTGCTGGACGGAGGCAGCACCCCGGCGAGGAGGAGCAGGAAGCAAGGAACCTCCGTTGTGGTCCTTCAGGTCCGGCTGGCTTGGAAGCCCATCAGGTTTGCTCCGAGCTGTTGTGATGAGGCTGGGGAAGTGAAGGGCTTGGTGATGGCACCTCTGGCTTGCACCATGGGGCAGGGTTTGGTGCCCATCTGGAGGGGGTCAGTCCGGCTCCCTCTGTGGGTTCCCGGGTGGATGTGTGGTGCTGGAGTTCAGTGGGTCACATCCTGCTGCCTTGGGGGGGGGCTGCCTCCAAGTGGAGCTTTGCAGAGCAAGGAGGGGGATACAGGGCAGCAAAAGCTCCGGCAGGGGCAGGTCTCTGGATCTTGGCACCTCGGTTCCCATCTGAAGGCGCCCATTGGAGGCTCCCACTCGGAGGCCCCCCAGGTCCTTTCTGCCCCTGGAGCTGGTGGAGGTGCCCGGCCAAGGTCGTGCATTGACTTTGTGCTGCTGGATGGAGCCTGGAGCCTGGCTCAGGTCCTGCCCTCCTCAGCAGCCACAGGGAAGAGTCGGTGCAGTTCAATGCTCCTAAAATCCTTCTGGAAACACCTCTTTAAGTGTAGCAGAGGGCGCTGGATACAGGGAACCCACATCCCCTTTCATGATGAGTTCTGGCTTTAACCTTGTGGTGTTCTCCACGATCCCCTTGGTTTAGCGTTCCAATGAAAGCCCCTCAGAGTGATGATCCTGGAGCTGACATCCGTCATTCCCGTCCTGTGGCTTGGGTTTGTTTCCAGGGGAATGCTTGTTGAGGTAAATGCGTTGGGTGACTTCCCCTTCCTCGTGCCCCAGGAGACACAAGGGATGAAGCTGAGCACATTTCCTTGTTGGACCTTGCTTCCTCTTCACCTCCTCCCTCGGTCTCTCCGTTTGCCTGATGGAGCCGGGGCAGGGAGGTTCCTGCAGCAGCCACGGAGGACGTGGATGCTCTGAGGCTCTGCTTCTGCTGAGCTCCTCCCAACCCCCTCGGGTCTGCCCCTGGTGCTGGGTTATCCTGTGGAGAGGAGCGAGGCAGGGAGGTTCACGTGGCTTTGGTGTGTTCCTTCTGCCTTCGATCATGGAATGGTTCAGGTTGGAAGGGAGCTTAAAGCTCAGCACCCTCCCAGGGAAGAGCTTCTGCCTGAGCTCAGCTCAGTCTCCCCTCGGGCAGGTTAAAGCCATTCCCCTTGGCCTGTCCCTCCATCCCTTGTCCCAAGCCCCTCTCCAGGTTTCCTGGAGCCCCTTTAGGAGCTGCTCTGAGGTCTCCCCTTCCCGCAGCAGAGGGGCAGGATCCCCCCCAAGCTGCTGCTCATGCTCTGGGGGTGCTCCCAGCACAGGGGGGGTTCTGGGCTCAGGCGCTTGCTGAAGCCAGGTCATGGGGAGCCCAAGTCCTTCTCCTCCCTTCCTCCAGCCTCCACCCATCCTGTGCTCGTGTTTTAGGTGCGCTTTTGGCATCAAGTGTTTCCATTTCTGTTACTCAGGTTTTCCTTGTGCAGGGGTTAACTAAACCTGGCCCCTTCCTCACTGCCCCTTCCCAAAGGCTGGGTCTCGTGGCCGGTGCTTTCCCGGCCGGGTGGATGCAGGTCTGTGTGGATGGAGGATCCCCGCGGCGCTCCGGGATGCAGGGCTTTCACTCTCTGCTCCGTGGGTGTGGTGACCAAGCGAGAAACCCTGTTTGTGTAAGGCTCAGCCTTGTTCCAGCTGGGAGCAAGGTGTGACTCACGGCTCCGGGTAATCTCCCCTCTGCTTGCTCCATGGGAAACGTCGCGGTGCTCCGGCCCTGCGAGCTGGGGGAAGCTGTTACAGACCCATGGATGGGTTTGGGTGGGGAGGGACCTTAAAGCTCATCTAAAGCCCTGGACAGGGACCCTTTCCACTGGAGCAGCTTGCTCCAAGCCCCATTGAACGCCGCCAGGGATGGGGCAGCCACAGCTTCCCTGTGCCAGCGCCTCAGCACCACTGACTAACACAGGCTCAAAGCTGGGAGGTTACAGACAAATCAGTGCCCACCTTGAGGTGTTTGTAACAAAGGTGAAGCCATGGGCTGTTGGTTAAGTCCACAGCAGCGAGGAGAGGAGAGGAGGAAGGGGCCATGAGCTGCTTGCCACACATGGAGGAGCCGGGAGGGAGCAGTGCGATGGCCGCTGGCCCCCCAGGTCTTGCTCAGAGCTTCCAGCAAATGGTTTCAGGCTGATTCACTGGGGTTTGGGGTTTGTGTTGTCCTGTCCAGAGGGGAGGAGCGAGTTCATCGCTGCTGGAAGCGCTTCACCCCGTTCCGCTGTCATGCCCCAACACGCTGCCATACCGGGTCCTCCCGAGCTGGAAGGAACCAGCCCTCAGCAGTGGCTAACGAAGGAGGTGCTTCCACCATGAGAAAGCCTTTGCAGGCAGTGCAGGGTCTCGTACCAGAAAGCTCACCCTGAGAGATGCTGGTGCTGCCTCAACAAGTCCCCAGGCTCGCCTCGGGAACCAGGAGTCAAGCCCAGAGCCAGGCTCTTGGAGGTGCCGGGAGGGTGCCTGGATCTCAGACTAAAACCAAGGCAGCTGGAGGTGTCCTTCACCCTGGCCATCCTCTTCCTGCTCACTCGAGGGGCTGGACACAGCAACTGCATCAGGAAAGTTCAGTTTCAGCCCAAGGGAGCCGCTTCATTTAGTGTCAGAAGCCCTTGTGCAGCCTCACCTGGTCTTAAACTCTGGCTTTTAAGTCAGTGTTGTACAGGACACCAGCAGCGAGAGGACTTTCGTCATCAAGCGCATGTAAATACTCCCCTTGCACCACGTGTGTTCCATGGGCTTCCTGCTGCTTCTGCCAGCTGGACAGACTGAGAGCTGGGCTGGGGCAGCCTGGAGAAGAGAAGGCTCCTGAAGGGGAGACCTGAGAGCAGCTCCAGTGCCTGAAGGGGCTGCAGGAAACCTGGAGAGGGGCTTGGGACAAGGGATGTAGGGACAGGCCAAGGGGAATGGCTTGAACCTGCCAGGGGTTTGCTGCCCAGGACTCACCTATCTCCTGCCTCCTGCAACTCCTTCCAGTGTCTCATCAGGGTGAGGCTTAAGGAAGCTTTGGACAGCATTTTACAAGCATTAGCTAAGGAAATGTTGTGACATCCCTGCGGGGTCGGGGGTTTTACCTTGCCCGTTTCCATCCGTGCAGGCACCAGAATGGTGTTGCTTTTGCACCGAGGTTTCTGATGATGGCCAGCCCTTGAGGCTGACATTGCAGCAGCCTGCTCGGCAAACATCGCCATTCCCAGAGGTTTGGGAGTGTCGACGTTATCCCGTGCCTGCGGGGGACAGCCAGTGGAAGCGTGAGATGATGTAAAGAGGCTTCTGGGGATTGGAGCATCCTGAGCGGCTTTCAGGCCAGCTGAGGCGGTGGATGTGGTGAAGGTGCTGCTGGTGGCCTGCTCATGGTGATGCCTGGAGCTTGCGTTTAACAAGGGTGTTTCGAGAGGAGGAGAAGCTGCAATAGGGTGAAGGTGGGTTCCACGCTGAGCTTTAGCTCATTTCTTACCTTTATGGCACTTGGTGGCAGATTGGAGTCGTGTTCAAAGCCAGGTTGGAATGGGCTTGGAGCAGCGTGCTCCAAGGCAGGGGTTTGGAACTGGAGGAGCTTTAAGGTCCCTTCCAACACAAACCACGCCGTAACTGATGTGAAAGGAGCGCGGGTGCTGGCGCTTGGGACAAGGGAGAGGAAAGATCAGCCCTGCGAAACGCCGCTCCATGGGGATGGTGACACAGCAGATCCCGGGGGGAAGCGTGGTGCCGGGAGCTGAAAGGTGCCAGTGTTCCCTGCATGGCGGGGGTTGCTTGCCCCGGGAGCACCGGCAGCGGCTCAGCCCCGTGTCTCACCCGCATAGCTCAGCCCTTGCATCACGGCAGAGGCGTTGCTGGGCTCGGAGATTCCTGAGGGCCGAGGACACTGGGGTTCCTGCAGGCAGGAGTCACGCTCGGTTCACAGCAGCCCAGGCTCCGCTGTCGGCTCCAGGGCTTGGGCAGTGCCTGCCTGTGGACGGCTCCGAGCTGCTGGTGCTGCCGAGACCAGGAGCAGGTTTGTTTGCTCTTGAGCTTCTCCTCTTGGCAGGACAAGGGGCGATGGGTTCAGACCAGGACAGGGGAGGTTGGGGTTGGAGAGAAGGAAGAAGTGAAGGTGGTGGGGAACTGGGATGGGTTGAACGGAGAAGGTGGCTGCCGCATCCCTGGCAGCGTTCAAGGTTGGATGGGGCTTGGAGCATCCTGCTCTAGTGGAAGGGGTCCCTGCCTGTGCCTTCAGATGAGCTTTAAGGTCCCTTCCATGCTGGAGCAAACCCCATCAGCTCATAAACTCCTGCGGCTCCAAAGGTTTTCCCCTTTGGAAACAAGTCTTTGGTGAATTGTGGTTCCTGGTGGAGGGCAGCTCCTTGCAGGAGGTTGTGATGAGATGGATCATCCTCATCTGGGCTGGTTCATCCGCCACACCGTGGTTCATCCACCGTCCCTGCGTTCAGCCTCCCACCAGCACAGGGCCTCCACAGTGAGATCTGAGTGATCCACGGGAAGGAAGACGTGGAGAAAAGGAAAGGAGGAGATCAGGAAGAGCACAGCTCCATGGGGAGCTAGCTGGAAGGAGGGACCTGAGTTACCATGCCAAGAGCATGAGGATTACAACCAAGGATCTGAAGCCTTTATTCTGCAGTGACCAATCCAATGGATTGTTCCCTTGAAATCAGGGGGTTTTCCAGGTTTTAAAGCGGAGGGAGAGGGAAGGAATGCACCGGTTTGGTTGCAGGGAGGTGGCTGAAATGGGATAACTTCTGTCCACTGGGAAGCTGGTGATGGGGCCGGGAGTACATCTTGTATCATCCCCCTTCCCCAAACATGCAGCATTCCATGTAAACAGCCGCTGCCGCTCCACGGTGTCCGTGCCAAAGAGTTTTAGTGCTGGGGTGGGATAACAATGTGCAATTGTGTGATTCCCACCAGCGGGGTTGCTCAGATAGCAGTCTCTTCCCAGACACTGCTGGAAGGAGGCACCAGCTTCCCCACACAGCTCCTGTGGTCCTCGGTGGGATTTGGGGGCTGTTCGTGCGTGTGAGGCCAATCCCAGGTGTAAAAGCTCCTGATTCCCAGCACAGAGCCGCATTCCCAGCTTTCAGTGTGGGATGTTGCACCCATTGAGGTGCTGAAGAAGGGCACCGGAGCTGGTGCAGGGCCTGGAGCACAAGTGATGGGGAACAGCTGAGGGACCTGGGGCTGTCAGGTGGAAAAGAGAGGGCTCAGGGGGGACCTGATGGCTCCCTACAAGTGCCTGACAGGAGGATGGAGCCAGGAGGGGCTGAGCTCTGCTCCCAAGGAACAAGGGATGGGACAGGAGGAAACGGCCTCAAGCTGCACCAGGGCAGGGTTAGATGGAGCTGAGGAACAGTTCCTGCCCCAGAGGGAACTTGGAAGGAGATTGGGAGCGTGTGTTCAAGGCCAGGTTGGACACAGGGGCTCGGAGCATCCTGCTCCAGTGGAAGGGGTCCCTGCCCGTGGCAGGGGTTGGACTGGAGGAGCTTTAAAGTCCCTTCAACCCAAACCATTCCAGGATTGTGCTGCAGTGAGCTTCCAGTTAGGAACTGTTCCTTGTTTCCATACCCCTTGCTGGTGGTGAGAGGATGCAAACGTGCGGCTTCCAGTGAGGGCTGTTCCCTATGGTGGTGATGGGGCGAGAGCAGGAATTCCCTGCCCAGTTCTGCTGTCTGAAATGCCCTGGGTTTAGGCTCTAACAATGCTGAAGAATGGCATTGAACCAAGAAAGCCAGGAAATTCCGGATTAAAGCATGGCTGTTTGACTTGCTTGGGCTCCGGGAGCTTTGCCCGTCTTCAGCAATGGTCCTGAAAAGAGGCAGTTTATGGCACCAGGAGCTTTGCCCATCAGGAATAACCCCGGAAAGAGACCTTTTACCCCGGGACTCTGGAAAACAAAGAGGTTTCTTCCTCTTCCACCTGGCAGCGCCGGTTCCCCTCCCACCCTCAGCAGGACACCGCCTCCTCAACCCCTTCCTTCAGCTGGGGATGAGTTGTTTTTCCAGCAGCTTTTGGTTCCTTGAGAGTGGAATTTTGCTCCCAGTCCTTGATGTGCAATAAACCCAAGCTCCTGGAGAGCTCCTTGCCCGTTCCTGGCTCCGGCTGTGCCTTGAGGAATGCAGAAAATCAGGATTTGGATGGCCAGCAGGAGCACACACCTCAGCATCGCAGCTCCTTCTGATTCAAACTCCAGGCTCACGTAATATCCATGAGCCAGGCTGGGTTTGGGAAGCAGATCCCGAGTGGTGCATTCCTTTCTTCCTGCACCTGGGGGGTTATTGCCTATAAAGGGGCTTTGGATGCAGGGACAGGCCAAGGGGAATGGCTTTAAGCTGCCTGAGGGGAGACTGAGATGAGCTCTCAGGCAGAAGCTCTTCCCTGGGAGGGTGCTGAGGTGCTGGCACAGGGTGCCCAGGGAAGCTGTGGCTGCCCCAAGGCCAGGTTGAACACAGGGGCTTGGAGCATCCTGCTCCAGTGGAAGGGGTCCCTCCCCGTGGCAGGGGTTGGAGCTGGAGGAGCTTTAAGGTCCCTTCCAGCCCAAACCATTCCAGGATTCTGTGTTAGGCAGCATCTGTTAATTCCACCATTTGGGGCTTTTATTCTGCTCTGATTTTGGGGTGCTCAGCGGAGCCCGCCCATGCGCTCTGCAAAGGTGAAAGAGAAGCTTCCTGCTGTCTCCCTGCTTCCAAAGAAACTCCTTTCTTTTCCTTGCTACTTTCCCATCATTTTGGAAATAAAAGCTTCAACACCTTTGAAATGAGGAAGAAAACCCTGAATTTGCTAAGCCCTTGCTGTACCCAGCAGCATCAGCATCATGACAGCCCCTTCATGCAGGGAGAAAGCAGCACAAACTGTGGTTGTCCTACCAGTTATCCATTGTTGAAGTCCTAAATCCCAAGTGATTTTAGGGAGTGGGGGGTATTTCCCTTGCCATCAGGTGGCTCAGCTCCTGCCCGGCCCGGCTGGTGGGTTTGGCTTTGCAATGTGAGCTACAGGCGCTGTTGGTTTCATTCCTAGATTGATGCCGAGGTGCTGATCCGGGCGCTGCCGACCCCAAGCTGCCGGGAAGGATCCATGAGCCACGACCTCGGCTATGGACATCGTCCTGTCGGATTTTGTTCGCTCAACGGGGGCAGAGCCAGGGCTGGCCAGAGACCTCCTCGAAGGTAAATGGGGCTGGGAAGGGAAGCAGGGAGAAGGCAGGCGGTGGCTGATGGGAAGGACAAAGGCGTTGGGAGAGGTGTGGGAGCTGCCCGTGGTTGGGAATGTGGTGCTGGAGCTGTTAGAGCTGTGCCCTCAGCAGCGTGGCTGCTCACGCTCAGCCTTGGCTTCTTGTTACACATCCACCAGGGAATGAATTTTACGTGGTTGGAAGGAGGACGCATCAACCCGGAGCGCCCTGTCCTTCCCTCCATCCTCTCCCTTCGCGTGTGTTTGATGCAGGAGGCAAAAATGAGGGTTTCTGTTTCTTTATAGCAGCAATACCTTCACAAGGGCTGAAGGAGCAGCACTAGGTGAAGGCTGCCAGTGTTTTGGAAGCAATATAGGGATAATTATACAGGCAAAACCATGCTTTTACTGGTATATCTTGTTCTGCTTGTGGCGGTGGTTTGATTGTGCCGATAGAAAGTGCTGTTTGGTGGGTGCCAGTGACCTCTCCTGGCAGAGCATCCCCTTAGAGCCCCGTTTACACCGGGGCTGGAGGCTGCTGCCAAGCAGAACCAGTGGGTTTAAGATGATGGAGAGTGCTGAGATGCTCTGATGCTTCTTCCAAAGTACTGGGAAGTTGCTCACTCCTGATTGTGTTTAGCTGGAGGCTGCAGGTGCTTAATTTCCACCCTGTACTTAGTGATGGGAAGGGTAGAGGAGAAAGGACACCAGGTCTTAATGTTGGAGCTGTAAACCTGCTCGTGAGCGTTGCCTTTGGGTTCATGTGGACAGAAGGTGGTGAGTAAATACCGGAGTCTGTTGTGACGCTGGAGGACAGAAATGTTGCACAAGGAGCTCCCCATGAGCTGGCTTCAGTGTGAGCTGGGGGCCCAGAGCCCCTCGTGTGCTGGGCTGCACCCCCAGAGTGTGAGCTGCAGGGCAGGGAGAGGATTCTGCCCCACTGCCGTGTGAAGGGGAGACCTCAGAGCAGCTCCAGTGCCTGAAGGGGCTGCAGGAAACCTGGAGCGGGGCTTGGGACAAGGGATGCAGGGACAGGCCAAGGGGAATGGCTTGAACCTGCCCGAGGGGAGACTGAGATGAGCTCTTAGGCAGAAGCTCTTCCCTGGGAGGGTGCTGAGGCGCTGGCCCAGGGTGCCCAGAGAAGCTGTGGCTGCCCCATCCCTGGCAGTGCTCAAGGCCAGGTTGGACACAGGGGTTGGAGCATCCTGCTCCAGTGGAAGGGGTCCCTGCCCGTGGCTTTAAATGGGCTTTAAGTTCCCTTCCCACCCATACCATGCCACGATTCTATGATTTTGGGGCTTGGTTTTCCCACCTGGTAATTACAAAGCAAGCCCATGCTTGCTGGGTTTCTTCCCATCACCCCTTTTCTTGTATAATACAGGTCATGTTTGTCACTGATCCCAGCACCAGCTGATGCTCCCACGGCATCCGCACCAGCTCCCTGGTGCTGCCGCTCCGGATGCTGTAGCAAGAATGAAGTCAAGGCCCTGAAATCGTTGCTCAAATCCATGTTTTTAGGCACTTTGCTCCCCCTCCCTGTCTCAGTGCTCACAGGATCCATGGGGAGCTTGTTCCTCTGTGGAGCTGCCATTGGCTGTGCTGGGCTCAGGGCTTCACCCTTTCCCTTTGGCTGCTCCACGCAGGAATCTGGCACGCTGTGGGCTGTGGGCTGTGGTTTCCTGCTGGCTCCTGGGTTTAAGTTGCTTTGTTCCATCTCAGGGTTTCTAAGATTATCCTTTGGAAGGCACACTGGGGCTGGTGATAGGAAAGACTAAAGCAGATGCTGCTTTGAGCTCTCCCTCTCCTGCTCGCGCATGGGTGGATTATTTTGGCTCATTTCTGTGATGTGCTGCTGAGCTGGTGCTGTTTCTCCTGCAGCCTCGGTGGAGTTGACAGCTCCAGGGGTGGGAATGAGGGAAAACACGGAGATTTTCCTGGTTGGGTGGGTGTTAGCAAGAGCAGTTGGATAAAAGAGATGTGGGAAGTGAATTACTCAGGTGTGGAGTTGGAGGGGGATATAGAATTGTGGGATGCTTTGTGGCAAGGGACCTTAAAGCTCATCTAAAGCCGCAGGCAGGGAGGCTTCCACTAGAGCAGCTTGCTCTGAGCCCTGTTCAACCTGGCCTTGGACTCTGCTTCTTCAAGTCATCTTGGGTTCTGGCAAGGAGAGCTAGAGCATCACATGGGAGACAGGCTCCGGGTCTCTCTGTGGTTGAACTTCTGGCTCATGGTGTCCCCAAGGGACATTGGGCTTCCTGCTGGAGGAGGGAACCTCCCTTTTCTCTCATCCAAGCCCCGGCAAAACCTGCTCTGTGCAACAAAAACCTCCCTGAACACCGTGAGCCACCTCTCTTGGCAAGGTCCTGCACATGGGTCAGGGCTAATCCCAGGCACAGCTGCAGGCTGGGAGAGAAGTGATGCAGAGCAGCCTGAGGAGGAGGACTTGGGGGTCTTGGTCCATGAGAAGCCTCCCATAACCTGGCTACAGTGGGAGCTGGAGCCCAGAACCCCCCTGTGCTGGGCAGCATCAACAGGAGGTGAGCAGCAGGGCAGGGAGGGGATCCTGCCCCTCTGCTCTGCGAGACCCCCCTGCAGCACTGGGTGCAGCTCTGGTGTCCTCAGCACAAGGACATGGAGCTGCTGGAGCAAGTGCAGAGGAGGCCACGAGGATGAGCAGGGGCTGGAGCAGCTCCCATAGGAGCCAGGCTGGGAACATTGGGGCTGCTCAGCCTGGAGAAGAGAAGCTGTGTGGAGAGCTCAGAGCAGCTTCCAGTGTCTGAAGGGGGCTACAAGGATGCTGGAGAGGGGCCTTCATCAGGGACTGGAGCGACAGGACAAGGGGTGATGGGTTCAGACTGGACCAGGGGGATTTAGGTTGGAGATAGGGAAGTTTTACATAAAGGGACACTGGGATGGGTTGAATGGAGAAGCTGTGGCTGCCCCATCCCTGGCAGTGTTCAAGGCCAGGTTGGACACAGGGGCTTGGAGCATCCTGCTCCAGTGGAAGGGGTCCCTGCCCATGGCAGGGGTTGGGACCGGATGAGCTTTAAGCTCCCTTCACCCCAGCCCAGTGTATTATTCTGTGATTCCTGTGCTCACGAAAAGCACTGTAGAGTCCATCAGAGGCGTCCTTTCTGGGTGCTGGTGGACACCTGGGTTGTCCCATGGATACTGGGATCTACGAATCCCTTCAGCTGCCACCGTTCCGTGGGCAGTTTCCAAAGGTCAGGGGTTTTCTCCCTTTCGGAAGCGGCTGCTGCTGAAGGTGCTTGGGGATTGCAGCTGCAGTGGGGCAGCATTTGCGTCTCCTCCCTCCCTGACGTTCTGTAGCAGACAGTGGCGTGGCGGCACGTTGAGTTTTGACCTGATGGCTCATTCTCGGGCCTTGACACTGATTCATTCCTTCATTATAAAAAACCCCAACCAACCAAAAATAGCCCCTTGACTCAAAAGGTGAAGCTTAAAAATAACTTTCCATGTGGAGTCAGTCATTAAAAGCTGCCAATTGCATCTCTCAAAAGGATTTACATACCTGAGGAGTGTGTTTCCTTCAGGGAATTAGACGTAATGGCTCCTTTTATTGTCCATGAGCTATCACCTGAACCGGTTGGTGGTTCATGTAGCTCTGGATGTGTCTCTGCACACACAAGGTGTAAAGCATCCACATAACCTGTGGCAACAGAGCCAGCGCTTCCTGAGCACTTGAGGTTCATGGTTCCCTCTCTTGCAGAAGTGCAAATCCTGGGCAGAAATACAGTGAGAGTGGTGCTGCTCCCCTTGTTCCTGCTGGGCACCTTCCTGCTTCATAGCAAACTGCACTAGTACTGGTTTCAGCTGTGGAAGTAGCCTACAACTGCCTGTAAGGAGGTTGTAGTGAGGTGGGGGCTGTCTCTTCTCCCATGGAACAAGGGATGGGACAGGAGGAAACAGGCTCGCGCTGCACCAGGGGAGGTTTAGGATGGGTACTGGGAAGAGTTTATCCACCTAAAGGGTGCCCTGGGAATGGTGGAGTCACCGTCCCTGGAAGTGCTCCCAAACCGTGCAGATGAGGCCCTCGGTGCCGTGGGCTGGTGCTGGGGAGCGCTTGGCCTGGATGATCTTGAAGGTCTTTTCCACCCTGGTTGACTCCCCGGCTGTGTGGGCAGGACGTGGCTTGCTTTCTCTCTGCTGGGAGGGTGACCTCTCTTGCTACCTTCACATGCAGGCAAGAACTGGGATCTGAGCGCAGCCCTGAGTGACTTCGAGCAGCTGAGGCAAGTGCACGCGGGCAACCTGCCCCATTCCTTCAACGAGGGCCGCCCCTATAAACCCCCTGAGAAGGAGACGCCGCGCCCCGGGCGGCCGCCGCTGCAGCGGCAGGATGACATCGTGCAAGGTCAGTGGCACAGGATGGTCCAGAGCCATCCTATCTCCCTCCTGGTGCCTGGAACACTCACATGCTGCAGCCATGCTGGGGTGCATTGGGGGAGCGTGGCAGGGGGTCGACGGAGGTGATGCTCCCCCTCTACTCGAGCCTGGTGGGGTGCATCTGGAGTGCTGTGTCCTGAGCTGCTGGGGAGGGTCCAGTGGAGGGTCACAGGGATGCTCAGGGGTCTGGAGCATCTCCCTGATGAGGAGGGACTGCAGGAGCTGGGCCTGGGTAGTGCAGAGAAGAGCAGAGAGAGAGGGGATCCCATCAATGCACATCAATAGCTCAAAGGTGGTACCAGCAGGGTGGTGCCAGACTCTTCCCAGTGGTGCCCAGGGACAAGATGAGGATCAGTGGCCGTAAGCTAACAGACACCAAGTGCCACCTCAACAGGAGGAGGAACTTGTTGCAGTCGAGGGTGGCCCAGGGTGGTTGTGGATTCTCCCTCTCTGGAGCCATCCCAAAGGCAGCATGGGCACGTTCCCGTGTGCCCTGCGCTGGGTGGCCCTGCATTGGACTGGGTGACCTGCAGAGCTCCCTTCCAGCGCTAACCCTGGGCTTCTGTGATCCAGCTCCTTGCAACCAACAGCCACGAGCTGAAGGCAGGGATTTGGTCATTGCTCCTGCACCATTCACGTGGCTTCTCCCCTTCCTCTTCCCCTCAGAGAAGCGCCTGTCCCGAGGCATCTCCCACGCCAGCTCCACCATCGTGTCCCTGGCCCGATCCCACGTCTCCAGCAACGGCAGCAGTGAACATCTGCTGGAGATGCCCATCTGCACCTTCCAGCTGCCCGACCTCACCATGTACACCGAGGACTTCCGCAGCTTCATCGAGCGGGACCTCATCGAGCAGTCCATGCTGGTGGCCCTGGAGCAGGCTGGTGAGTGCTGTGCTTCGTGCCAACGCAGTGCAATGGTGCCAGTGTGGCAGCGGTGCCAACAGGAGCGAGCCTGAGGCCACAGAGAAGCCACCGCATGGCAGGGATGGGTGTTATTCCGTGCCTTTTCATAGCGTGGTGCAAGAGTTGAGTAAGAGTCTGCTGCACTTTGCCTGCAGACACTGAATGTGCATAAACTGTGGGTGTCCTCATCACAGGTTGCATTATTTCATCCCCACCCTGAGCTTCCCGGTGCCCAGCGCCATCCCGACAGTGTTCCTGAGAGAAGGGGGGGAAGAAATTCCAGCCTAACACACACAGTGGCTCATTGCAAACGTTAGGAAGCCATTCCAAACAGTTCAGATGGATGATGCTTTTTATGTGCTGCTTCAGCGCAGGAAATGAGATGAGACAGAGATGAGATCAGAGCTCTTCCCTGTGAGGGTGCTGAGGCACTGGCACAGGGTGCCCAGAGAAGCTGCGGCTGCCCCATCCCTGGCAGTGCTCAAGGCCAGGTTGGACACAGGGGCTTGGAGCATCCTGCTCCAGTGGAGGGGGTCCCTGCCATGGCTTTAGATGAGCTTTAAGGTCCCTCCAACCCAGACCAGGCTGGGATTCTATGGAAACTCTTCTGTTTGCCTGGGAAGGAGCTGCCTTACGAGTGCAGGTGGATTTGTTTTCCAACCTGCTGGTTTCCTCCTGGATAGTTGCTAAGTGATCTGTGAGTCAGATGGAGCTGGTGAATGGGTGCCAGAGAGAACCTAATCCACGTTCCCTGGCCAGCTTCCATGGGGTGGGCAGCAGAAGAGCCGCAGGCAAGATGTCAGGAGCTGTTACACCTCCTCTTCCCATCCCCGATGCACACAGAGAGCTCTTCCCTCCGAGATAACTCATATCCTTGATGCCAGATTTTAGCCCTCTCCTGCTCAGGTGGTGCTGTAATCCGTACTCTCATGTTTTGGAAATGAACACTTGATCCAGCCGCTCTCATTACAGCAGCGTTCGCTGCTCCTCCGTGTGCGTGATGCAAAGAAACCACCCTGATCCACACCCTGGATTCAGGGAAGGAGGGAACTGGGCTCTGGGCTTTCTTCATCCACGTGCTGGGGAAGCTTCACATTAAAGTCTCTTTGCATTAGAGAATCACATCCTATGGAATCACAGACCGGTTTGGGTGGGAAAGGACCTTAAAGCTCATGCAGTGCCAACCCCTGCCATGAGGAGGGCCACCTTCCACTAGAGCAGCTTGCTGAGGTTTGGTATAAATGGGTGTTTCTCTTGATGAAAGGGGTGTTCTGCATAGAAACTATTCCCATCCTCACTCAAAGGAAGGGTTTGAGTGTGGCGCTGTGATCTACGGTGACTCCCGTTACTCATTTAGTGCGCACTGTCCTCAGGGGATTAAAGCAGTGTTTTATAGCCTAATAAACGTTGAGATCTTCTCTCCCGAGATCCCTTTGCACCACTGTGGCAGAGTGAAGTGGCTGTAAATTGTAATGACAGCCTCTTGGAACGCTTTGAGCAGGCTGAGCTGGATGAAGAGGTCTTGGTGGAGCTGAAACCTTGGCCTTGGTGCTCTTTGTCAGAACCCTGGAGGGGGGAAGCCCAGCCCTGTATCTTGAAGCTGCAGGGTGGTTTGTTTCTCTTGTGGCACATTTGGAGGAGCAGTGCCTGAGGCTATTGGGGCAAACAGTCCAACCCCTGCTCCAACATCTTCTCCTAGACCCAGTTACTCCAAACCCCAGCCAACCTGACCTTGCGTGTCTGCAGGGTTGGGGCATCCACCACCTCTCCGGGCAGCCTTTGCCAATGCCTCCCCACCCTCAGCAGGAAGAATCCCCTCCTCCTATCCGGTCTGAGGGAGCATTTTGCCAGAGCAAGATTCCTGGTTGTAAGCTGAAGAGTTTGATGCCTTTGCCTTGGCGCGGAGCTCAGGCTTTCACCGCAGGCTCAGGGCCCACCTTCACAAGTCCCCCGTTGTATTGGCAAGAAAGGAGCTTCACACTTCAGCACCTTTAGTAGCCACCTGCAGGTAGACTGTTAGAAAGGGCTGAGCTGGAGATCAGCTTCCCTGCGGGAACGGCATGGGAGCAGCAGCCAGCGGGTTCCTTCTTCCCGGGCTGGACGGGTGCCACGTCTCGGAGCGGGCGGTCAGAGCCATGGGTGCGTTGGGAACGCATCACCCAGGCTTTGGGAAGCCTTTCAGGCCGTACATGAGCAGAGGCACGTGTGTACACGTAACCCCTCTTGTCTTACCTACCTGGCATCCACATAGCTTCACCTATAAGTCATTGCCTGGACTGGTTCCTTGCAGCAGGAGAGGTGCGTCTGGGTCCGCCTTGCTTGGACGAGCAGGCAAAACCTTCTCCGAAGCTGGGTGCTGGGCTCTGCTGGACCACTGCTGCGATGCCTTCAGCCCCTCTGCTGTCATCCTCAGCAGCAAGACCAAGAGGCTGAGTCCTGGCTGCCAGGAGGGAGATGACCAAGCTCTGGTCAAGATGAGCATGGCCGTGGGTTGTATGGTTTGGGCAGGCAGAGCAGCAGCAGGGTTGGTTGGAAGCTTTTGATTCCCATCCTCCCTAAACAGGGGAGAAAGCAGCTGCTGATGGAGTCAGTGGAGCTCTTGGCACTGCCAGATCCTGCCACAGAAGCGTTTGTGTTGTCTTCAGCAGAGATGGGCTCAGGATTAGAGATCAGAGGCAACCTCTGCCTCTTTCATAAATTGCTAATAGGTGAATCATCTCATTTTGGATGCGCAAAACGAGCTCACTTCAGCACAGATGCCACCTTTGCCAGCTGCCTTCCTCTTCCGGTCGCTTCTGAAGCCCACTTCTAGGTGCCCACTTCATCCTGCTCCTCTGCCTCCTCCAGTGATTCGGATGGGGGGAGGAAGCCCAGCCACTGCCCATAGGTTGTGGTGGGTGTTGGTGCTGGATCTGTCACGTCAGCACGAGGAGCACAGGGCCAGGTCATCCCTGGGAATGCTGCCTTCGTCACGTTACGGTGCTGGATTCCCTGGTAGCCTTAGGGAAGCCATTTGGGTTCTGGATGAGTCAGGCCTCGGGAGGAGCAGCGTCTCTGTTCCTGCCCATGGCCATGACCTATTTCCATGATTCCTGTTAGAAGAAAGGGCAGTGTTTGACCAAGCACACACCTTGGTGTGCTGGTTCCTGACCTCTGCAGGGACAGACACATGAACTGTAGCAAAACTGGGCCCCCAGAGAGTCACAGCATCAACCAGGTTGGAAAAGCTTCAAGCTCATCCAGTCCAACCCTTACCCCAGCACTGCCAAGGCCACCACTGCCCCATGGCACTGAGGGTGTGTGAGCACTTGCAGGGCCGGTGCCTGCAGCCCTGCCCTGGGCAGCCTGTTCCAATGCCTGAGCACCCTTTGGGGCAGGGATTGTTGCTCAGCTCCATCTAACCCTGCCCTGGTGCAGCTTGAGGCCATTTCCTTTTGCCCCATCCCTTGTTCCTTGGGAGCAGAGCCCAGCCCCTCCTGGCTCCATCCTCCTGTCAGGCACTTGTAGGCAGCCATCAGGTCCCCCTGAGCCTTCTCTTCTCTACCTGACCCCCCCCCAGGTCCCTCAGCTGTTCCCCATCACTTGTGCTCCAGGCCCTGCACCAGCCCCATTGCCCTTCTCTGCCCTGCTCCAGCACCTCAAGGTCTCTCTTGTAGCGAGGGGCCCAGAGCTGAGCACAGGATGCAAGGTGCTGGGTGCAGAGGAAGTCTCTTGATGCTGGTGGATGTTTCCAGATGAGCACAAGAGCGTTCACCAACCTCACTGCTCGATCACAGGAGCATCCTTCGTGCTCCTCACTCCAGTTCCTTTCCTCCTAGAGCTTCCAGGGCTTGCTCCCAGTAGCCACATGCAGAGAAATAATGTTGGTTTGAATACTTGCAGGGGCCTTTCCACGGCCTCGACAGGAGCAGAACGTTCTGCTCCTGGGTTTGGGGAATGTGATTGCTTCTCACATGGCCCCTCCCGTGTAAGCGGAGCTCTGCCCGAAGTGGCTTTGCCTCGCTGGGGACCTGCAGTGTGACCACACTGCAAACAGCAGATGCCTCCCCAAGGTGTGTCCCCTCCGCAGCACTCAGCTCGGCTCAGTGGGAGGCTGCACAACCTCCCCTGCCCCAGCCAGGAGCGGGGCTGCCCCTGCTGTGGGGCAGAGCAGGGAATTCTGCGGGAGCACCACAAAGCAGAGCAGCCGAGCGCTGCCGGCCGCAGCCTTCCCTTCCCTTCCCTTCCCTTCCCTTCCCTTCCCTTCCCTTCCCTTCCCTTCCCTTCCCTTCCCAGCTCCCTCAGGAGCAATGCTGGGGGAGAGCCGGTGGCTTTGCTGAGCAGGGCGGGTGTCCTGAGCCCGCTCTGAGCACTGCAGCCCCATGCTGGGACCGGCACGGAGCCGCCTGCCTGCCCTGAGCTTTGCTGCTCGGCGTCTGCCTGTGCTTAGGGAGGCTGGAAAACGGGTTCCTCTGTTTGGTTCTTGCACAGCTGCCGTTGCTGCAGCGGTGCAAGCCGTTCTAAGCAATCCTGTGCCTGGGAGCAGGGGGAAATTCATTAGGAATCGTAGAACCATGGCATGGGGTGGGTGGGAGCGGACCTTAAAGCCCATCTAAAGGCATGGCAGGGACCCCTTCCACTGGAGCAGGATGCTCCAAGCCCTGTGTCCAACCTGGCCTTGAGCACTGCCAGGGATGGGGCAGCCACGGCTTCTCTGGGCACCCTGTGCCAGCGCCTCAGCACCCTCCCAGGGAAGAGCTTCTGCCTAAGAGCTCAGCTCAGTCTCCCCTCTGGCAGGTTAAAGCCATTCCCCTTGGCCTGTCCCTGCATCCCTTGTCCCAAGCCCCTCTCCAGGTTTCCTGCAGCCCCTTCAGGCACTGGAGCTGCTCTCAGGTCTCCCCTTCAGGAGCCTTCTCTTCTCCAGGCTGCCCCAGCCCAGGTCTCTCAGCCTGGCTCCAGAGCAGAGCTGCTTCAGCCCTTGCAGCATCCCCATGGCCTCCTCTGGCCTTGCTCCAGCAGCTCCACGTCCCTCTGGTGCTGCAGCCCCAGAGCTGGATGCAGGATGCAGGTGGAAATGCTGGGAAAGGGCTGATTTTCTGCACGAGCCATTGAAACGCAACTTGTTGGAAGCCGGAATTGCTTCTCCCAGCCAAAATAAGCTGCCTGTTGCACGGGATCTGCTGCAGGATAAAGTCACAGCCAAAGGAGGCAGAGCTTGGGTTTGAGGGCACAGCCGAGCGAGACAAGGCTGGGTTGGGAGTTCAAAGTCCTAATTCAGCCCAGCTTCATTTCCTTGATGAATGTTTAACCTCCAGCCACACTGTATTTGATGCTAATTTTCTTCCCTGCTTCTATTTTTAGCCGCTCTTGGCTTGAATGACTACAAGTGCCTTTATATTGCCAAAGAGCTGTTAGACTGAAATGGCTTCAAGCGCTGTCACTTTGCATTTGCATTGGTAGAGCTGCTGGCGTCAGCAAAAGGCCTGGAGTGTTGTACCTACCCCAGGAGCAGGGGACAATGAGGTGGCTTCGTTAGGGGGTTGGTTGGAAGAAGAAGAAGAAGAAAAGAGAAGCAGTTATTAACTGGAAAAGTTCTTGAGCACCGTTTTGAGAGGCACTTGGAGGTGTTTGCAGCCTGATGGCTTTGAAATAAGAGGAGTAAGTCAGAGAACACTGGTTTGGGTTAAAATCCCAGCTGGCTTAGCTCCTCTTTGTAGTTCATTCTAATTGGCACGACCTCCCGTTCAGCCTGGCCATTCCCCTGCATCCCCATCAAGTGTTGCAGCTCCTATCTCCCCTCTTTGTTGCTTTGCTACCACCGTGCCTCCCTCCTTCCTCCCGCCCCAGGATGGGTATGGAACTGCTCTTCATCTCTTCCTGTGGTCCCCCTGCAAACTAAGCAGGTTCCATCCTCGCTGATGGCTTCTGGGGGGTGACACGGCCCTGTTGTGATGCCTTTAAATGCTTCCACAGGTCGCCTGAACTGGTGGGCAAATGTGGATCCCAGCTGCCAAAGGCTGCTTCCCCTGGCCACCACCGGAGACGGGAATTGCCTGCTCCACGCTGCCTCCCTGGGTAAGCTTGGCTTCCAGCACGGGTTCACTTCAGACCTGCTCACACACATCTCCCTTCTCCGGCTGAGCCTGGGAAGGACCCATCCTTTAGGAGCAGCACCCAGCATTTCCCAGCCATTCCTATGGGAAAGCAGGATGCTGCCGCTCATCCCAGCCATGGCAGCTGTAGGTGTGCGAGCAGTCACAATGCTCAGGCTCTGTGGGAGGGGAATGGCTTGAAGGAACCAGGCTGCTGATGGCCTGTGGGCTTCCAAAGCACTCCTCCTGTCCGTTTGGCAAGTCTCCCTGGATTCCTGAAGGAAACGTGCAGCGATGGAGCCACCCCTTCCCTCCTTGTGTGTGTTGGAGTTTCAAGAGCCCGGGTTCATCTCCCCTGCCTTCATCTTGGCACTTGTGACCGTAGCAAACGTCCCGAGGCTTCCAGACTGCTAAATCAGGAGGGTTTTGTGTTGGGATTCCAGAGCCGGTGAAACCACAGTTTCACACGCTCTGGTCTCCTGTTCCCATCAGACCCCCGTGTAAAGGAGCGTGTGATTTGGGGAACAAGGGGTTCCTGTGTCTGTGGGCTGAAACTCGAGGTGGCAGCATCTGGAGCTGCGGGAAGGCTCAGCCAGGTGGGAAACGCAGGCTTTGAAGCAGGAATTGGGGTATCCAGACTGAGGAACTTGCTTTTCCCAGCCTCTGTTTCCCACTTGCCCTGGTTCGTGGCAGATCGATGGAGCAATTCCAGCTGCTGCTCATCCTCTGCTCTTCTTTCCTCAATGCAGGAATGTGGGGGTTCCATGATAGAGATCTCATGCTCCGCAAATCCCTTTACACCTTGATGGATAAAGGCGTGGAAAGGGAAGCCCTGAAGCGGAGGTGGCGCTGGCAGCAAACACAGCAGAATAAGGAGGTAGGACCCAAACCAAAGCCCGTCCTCTTTGCAGAGGGGAAAGGTCTTGGTAAAACATCCTGTGGGGTGGGAGGTGCTTCCTGTCGTGATCAGGTCACGATGATGTTGAGCAGCTCCCTGGTTGTGCCACGATAAAATGAATGCTTCAAGCTCTTCCCTGTGAGGGTGCTGAGGCGCTGGCACAGGGTGCCCAGAGAAGCTGTGGCTGCCCCATCCCTGGCAGTGCTCAAGGCCAGGTTGGACACAGGGGCTTGGAGCAAGCTGCTCCAGTGGAAGGGGTCCCTGCCCATGGATCTAGATGAGCTTTAAGCTCCCTTCCAACCCAAACCATGCTGGGATTCTATGATCCGTCCCATTGTCTCTTGTCAATAAATGATGTCATCTCTAAGACTGGAAGGATTTAGTGTAAAAGTAAAGGTTTGCTCTCATCCCGTGGGTTCCAGTGTTTGCTTCCACCCCACAAAGAGCAGGCTTTCAGCCAGATTCTCTCCCTGGGCTGCCTTGAGAACCCGGGTGCAGAACTGTGCACATCCCCTGCATCACACAGTGATTCTTGTTGCCTAAATCCGTGGGGAGAAGCTGTGCCTGGGTGTCTAAAGCTGTGCTGCAGGGGCTGGGCGGTGTTTCCTGGCCTGACTTAGGGGCTGTTGTGCTCTTTTCCAGTCTGGCCTGGTTTACACGGAGGAGGAGTGGCAGAAGGAGTGGAACGAGCTGATCAAGCTGGCATCCAGCGAGCCCCGCGTGCACTACGGCACCAATGGCAGCGGCTGCGGAGGGTACGTGAGTGGGAAACTAGCACCTCGGGAGCTAAAGCACAGGGAATATCCCCCCTGAGCTCACAGTTCAGGCGGATCCTCAAGGGACAAGGCTGGGAATTGCTGCCTTGGAGGTTTAAGGGTCAGGAGAAAGCAAGAGGTCCCTAAAGCATCACAGGAAGTGATTCTAATGCTCCTTTTGCTGGGGTAACCAATGCATTGAGCAGCAGATGAAGGCTTTTCTCCTGTTCCATCATGATGGATGCTAAGTGAGGGTCATAAAGGGAAGCTGAGAACTTCTGCAGTGCCCACTCTGTATTTCAAGGGCACTTTGCTGTCCAGAGAAACACCAGCTTTAGATAAGAGGCTCCCAGAAGTGCCAAGCAGCAGCATGGTATTCCCTGGATACAAACCCTTGTCTTGGAATAAGACATTCGGGGGGGGGGGGGGGGGGATCTGCATCTAAAATGGCAACTTAAGAGCTGAGATCAAACAAGACAATGAATTTCTCCTTTCCCAAAGTGTGGAAAGCTCGGAGGAGCCCGTGTATGAGAGCCTGGAGGAGTTCCACGTCTTCGTCCTTGCCCACGTGTTGAAGAGACCCATCGTGGTGGTGGCAGACACGATGCTGCGGGACTCGGGGGGAGAAGGTGAGAATCCCGCTCTCTTCTGAAGGTCTTCATGAGCTGGGCATGCTCAGGCTGCACATTTCCTCACTAGGGCAGGTTTTCATGGGCTCAGGAGCCGTTTCCATGGGGTCTTTTTGCTCAGTGAAGCTCATCTTGAAGCAGACAGCAGAGATCAGAGATACCCCCAGAGGGCATGAGACCCAGCTCAGCATCACAGGCTGCTCTTTTCCTGTTCTTAAGCACATCTGCATGATGGGTTGGGTATTTTCCTGCCTCTTTGGCCCCCACACATGTGTGTAGAGCTGGAAAGTTCCCTGCTTGTTGCATTTGCCACTAGCAAGCTTAATTTCCTGTCTGAAAAGCTGAGTCAGTTGCCATAATTCTGGGTGCACAATTGAAGTTGTCTTGTGGTGGAGCAGTGTAAAAGGGCTTTTTATAGAAAATCCAGGTTCCTTTTGCAGCTGTGTTCCTCCTGGTGTGAAATCAGTGTCTATTTTGGGTTGTGGTTTGGGGCTTTTTGGTGGCTCTCAAGCTGACAGATAATTGCAGGTGAAACCTTAAATGAAGCACAGTTTGTTCCGGAGCAGTTGCAGGATAAACAGCCCTGAACTCTTTAACCCCTTGTGAAAAATAACCCTGATTTCTTCCCAGCGTTTGCCCCTATTCCCTTTGGAGGGATCTACCTTCCTCTGGAAGTCCCAGCCAACAAATGCCATCGTTGTCCATTGGTACTGGCTTATGACCAAGCCCATTTTTCTGCCCTGGTATCCATGGAGCAGAAGGAGACCACAAAGGATGAAGGTGGGTGGTAAGGTTTATATTGATCTGTCATTGAGGGCAGCCCTGGGAGGGAAGACTGGTACTGGTAAGGTACTGGTGAGGTACTGGTGGGTTACTGGTGAGGCGCTGGCACAGGGTGCCCAGAGAAGCTGTGGCTGTCGCATCCCTGGCAGTGTTCAAGGCCAGCTTGGATGAGGCTTGGAGCAAGCTGCTCTAGTGAAAGGTGTCCCATCTCATTGCAGTGGGCTTGGACTAGCTGACCTCTAAAGAGGTCTTTCCCAACCCAAACCAGTCTGTGATTCCATGAGGATTCTATGATCCCAAGCACGGGCAGTCGCTGCGTGACGCCGGTCGTCATCAGTAGTGGTGTTCTTGATGGGTACCAGAGCAAAAGGTTTGTCCTTTTGGGCATTAAAGCAGGCTCTTGTCCCTTGTGCAGCCGTGATCCCCCTGACAGACTCTGAGCACAAGCTGCTCCCTGTGCACTTTGCTGTGGATCCCGGGAAGGAGTGGCAGTGGGGGAAGGACGACAGTGACAATGTCAAGCTGGCCAGGTTGGTAATCCCCAAGTGGAGCGGGTTGTTGCTCTGTCCCCAGCTGGGATTTCATGTGTCTGGATGGAAGCTGAACCCCTCTTCAGTGGAGATGGAGCAACTTCATCTTTAACTTCATTCTCATTTGATGCCCTGATTTCCTGAGGGAATTGCTGGGGCTTGGTGGAGAAGAGAAGGCTCCGGGGGGACCTGATGGCTCCCTACAGCTGCCTGACAGGAGGATGGAGCCAGGAGGGGCTGGGCTCTGTTCCCAAGGAACAAGGGATGGGGCAAAAGGAAACGACCTCAAGCTGCACCAGGGCAGGGTTAGATGGAGCTGAGGAACAATTCCTGCCCCAAAGGGTGCTCAGGCATTGGAACAGGCTGCCCAGGGCAGGGCTGCGGTCGCCGGCCCTGCAAGTGCTCACACACCCTCAGTGCCATTGGGCAGTGGTGGCCTTGGCAGTGCTGGGGCAAGGGTTGGACTGGATGAGCTGAAAGCTCTTTTCCACCCTGGCTGATACCATGATTCCATGATTTCCATACACCTTGGGTAGGGCTGTGCTATCTCCTGAGCTTCATTGCTCTGAATCCATGAGTTCACAGTAAGCATAGCTCAGAAACGAGAAGCAGCAGCACAGCAGCCACTGTACTGACACCAAAAGCAAGGGGTGTTTTTCCATTCTTCTGTTCCTCCTGGACAATAACAACAAATATCCCTGAGCTGGGGCCCCTGGAGCTTTTCCTGAAGTGGTTTTTGTGGAGAGGAGGATCATTTGGAAACCAGCGCTATTTAAATCTCTGACATGTTATTTGTCTCATGGCAAGGAAGTTTATTTGTGGAGTTCAGCTTCTTTCATAGCAGCTTGATTCTGCCGTTCAGGAATCTTACTTCTTCATTTGGGATTTAATTGAAAGGTTTGGAAGGCTGCAAAAACGTTGCCTTTTGTCTCCTGCTGCATGAAAACATGCAAAGACAATAACTCAATGTGGGGAAGGGAGCCTCAGTTGTTAAACTTGCCTCTAACCCAGCCTTGGTTTCGATTGCAGTGTGACGCTGTCCCTGGAGGCAAAGCTGCACTTGCTGCACAGCTACATGAAAGTGAAATGGATCACGCTGCCTTGTGACACGCAGGTGAGGAGACAAAGAGGATTCTCTTTCCTCTTCAATTATTTAAAGCTCCTTTCCGCAGGGGGCAGAGGTGGGGTTCTCATCTGGCCTCTTCTTTACGTGAGCTTGGCTGTGCCCAGCAGCCCTTGACAGCCTGGGGTGTTGTTAATGCCTCCCCCTGTTTGAAAGGAGAGAACTCCCCAGCTTAAATAAGAGCTGCTTTGGGCTGTCTGCAGTGGTCAGAGTGTCCTCTCTGTAGTTCCAGTGGTGATGGTTTGGTTGTGCCCTCCTCACCATGGTGTTGCTTGGAGACCCCGTCCCCATCTCAGCCTCACCAATGCACCAGCCACTGACGTGGAGCAGCAGAAGATGCTGTGACCCCAAGGGGATGCCAGTCATGCCCATGGGGTGATCAGAGGAGGGGGGTGTTGGCTCCTCGTCGCCAGCAGCACCTCTTCTGCTCTGGCTTTGTCCCCCAAAACCTTTAGCGAGACCCAGACGGCTGCTGGGAACGTGCTGCCTGGGGTGTGTTTGAGCATCAGGAGGCGAGCACCCCCTTCTCTGTTCCACCTTCAGCTTGAAAAGCCTCATCTGAGGGACCTGATAGACCTGAACGTGTGTCCTCTTCCTCCCCAGGCACCTTTGGCACAGCCGGAATCCCCCACGGCCTCCGCTGGTGACGATGCTCGATCGGCTGCTGAGTCGGGAGAGTCGGACAAGGAGTCGGTCTGCAGCAGCTCAGCCAGCAACGGGGGCAGCAGAGCTTGCAAGGACAAAGAGAAACCAAAGAAAGACCGGGAAAAGGATAAGGAAAAGGACAAAAAACGGGTGGACTCGGTTGCCAATAAGCTGGGCAGCTTCGGGAAGACTTTGGGGAGCAAGCTAAAAAAGAACATGGGCGGCTTGATGCACAGCAAAACCACCAAGGGCGGCGTGAGCAACGGGCAGGGAGATACCTTGGAGAAGAAGAAGAAAGGTTCCTTGAAGGCGAGGAAAGGCAGCAAAGAGGAATCTTCCCAAGGAGATTTGTCAGCTCCTGTGGAGAAAACCTGCCCGCGTAAAGCAACCCCGGAAAAGGCATCGGATCCCTACAAGTACAGCAACGACGTGAGGCTGAGCCTGAGCATCCTGCGGGCTGCCATGCAGGGAGAGCGCAAGTTCATCTTTGTCGGCCACCTCAAGACCAGCAACCGGCACCAGTACCAGGAGGAGATGATCCAGAGGTACCTTCTGGATGCTGAGGAGCGCTTTATGGCTGAGCAGAAGCAAAAGGAAGCGGAGAAGAAGGCGCTGGGCAGCGCTGCCCCTGCCAAGAAGCTGGAGCCGGAGGTGAACACCCATAAGGGTGAGGAAGTGATGCTCAACCCCGCTTTCCCCCAGCCTCCCCCTGCATACACCATCCAGACCCCGGAGGTGGCCATAGGTGCTAAAATAGCAGCTTTTCCCTCTGGTTATTCGGGAGTTTTCACCTTTCCCAGACCTTCCATGGTCAACAGCATGGAAGGGTCGCATCCCCCCAGCTACCAAGACGGCAGGCGGCAGGTAGCGGGGGGGTCCTGCACCAACCTCCCTCCCTACGCCACCTTACCCAGGCACTGCACCCAGGCCCGGCCAAATCCCTACCAAACCAGCCCTTCCCACCTCGGGAGGTTCTCCCCCACGGACATGGACATCCATCCCACCTACCCACCGGAGTGCAACGGCTCCGCCTGCCTCCCCCCGCACAGCAACGGCTACCGGGACTACCTGGAGCAGGACGGCTCGCAGAGAGGAACCCCGGCAGACAGAGCTAAAAGCAGAGTCCTTCACAGTGTGCAGCAGACCAAATGCAAGCAGCCGAACTGCAGTTTTTATGGACATCCAGAAACTGGGAATTTCTGCTCCTGCTGTTACAAAGAGGAGCTGAAACGCAAGGAGCGGGAAGCTCTGGTGCACAGGTTCTGAGCGCTCTGCCCCGGCGCTGATCTTGAGACCCATAAAGATGGGGAATGCAATAATATATATATATTATGGTTTTTAACACACCCCCACCCTGCTCCTCTCCCTCTCTGTGGAAGGAGGGAGCAGGGATCTGGCTGGTTGGGATGAGAAGCGGCATTTGGCTGGTGTGATGGAAGTGATGCAGGAGGGAGAGGGGGTGAGGAAAACCAGCCTCCCCTCCGGAGTACCCTGCGAGGAGGAGGAGGAGGAGGAGGAGGAAGCTTTTCCAGAGGCTTCTCCTGCCGTTTGGGGAGGGAGCACAGGGTGGAAGTTGGGGGGGATCCTTCAGTAAACCAGACCAAAGCTTTGGGAGCACAGGGAGCAGAGCCCCGCCGGGCCCTTCCGCCGGCCTCGCATGTCACAGCCCAGAACCCAGCAGAAACAGCCCCAAAATTCCAGTTTGAACGTCACAAACCTTGGGATTGTGACCCTGGAATTCCAGCCGGTTTTGTTTGTGTTTCTTTTGGCTGGTACTGAGCAAAACGTGGTTGGAACCGGACATTGTTGGGTTTGGTTCTTCAGTTGAACTCACCCAAGCCCGGCCGCATTGGATGTCTCTGAGCATCCTTTAGAGTGGGCTCAGGGCTCTGCCCTTCCAACGGGCTCAACTTTGGGTTTAAAACGTTACTTTTCAACTCTTTCTTGGGGTGGGGGGGACAGAGGGGGGTGCTCACAGTGCTCGAGTGGTTTTGAGTTTCTTTTCCCTGCAGAAGTACTGTGCAAAGCCGTTGTGTCCGCGCTACGGCCGCCCCGGCTTAGGATTGAGACGAGAACCAAGGTCAGTGTCTCCAGCCAGCAATAACCATCGGTGTGGGGAAGTGGGAGAGGACAAGGAGCATCCCGGAGCGCCGGGAGGTAAATCCACAAGTGTCCGTGGACACAGCCCCCCCGCGATAACTCTTTCTACTTGAGCTACTTCTGTACTACCTCCGTTCTGCTGAATCGAATTAACTCGGCTCCATTTTGCTGAGCCACGATAACTGACCTTAGGCTGAGGAATATTAAAGGATATTTTTGATAATAGGGCTAAAAAAGAGTGAACCCTGAAGTCCAAGCAAACCTTTAACTCGCTCACACGCTTCATGTGGTCCCTTCCATCCCCTTCTCCCCCCATCCCATCCCAGCCCCGCTCCCGTCTCGCACGGTGGGTTGCATTGAGCACTGCGATGTTTGCACACATCCTTGGGGTTAGGTTTGGAACTGCAGCTCCCGCCTCCATCCTGGCTCAGCGTTTTCCTGCAGGGAATAAACCCTGCCCGAAACTGATCAGAGCTTTACAACATTCCCCCCTTTTCTGTTTTTGGGGTTGTTTTGTCCGAAGGCATCAAACTATGCAAATCCCTCCTAACCCACTGCCCAGCCTGGTGATAAGGGCTTAGAGAGCCAGGCAGAGGAGGCGAAAGTGTACTTAGCACTGGGGAATCACCCGAAGCCTTATTCTCCCAAGTACCCCAAGGCTTGGCTCTAACCTACACGTTTTACAGTTTAATGTGGCTAAAGAACCCAATGAAGGCCTTTTGTAGAGGAGGATGCGGGAATGTGGTCCTGCTGGATTGGATCAAGCCATGGGAGCTGCTTGTCAACAGCTTCTATCCTGGTGAGGGTTGAGCTGTGATTGAAGCAGTTCTCTTTGGGTTTATTCAATCCCCAAGGGTCAATGAGCCTTGCCCAGCGCGATGCAGAAGGAACAGGTATTAAATACTGAGGGCTCTGTGCCAGGGTTTTCCTGCAAACTGCAGGAATTCCGATGTATTCCATCACAGGGATGAGGATGTGGAGCACCGGTTAAGCGCTGCGGTTGCCCTGCAGCAATCTCTTGCTTCACCCCAAATATTAAGGCATAGAAAACCCCAAATCTCACTGTATAGGGGGGTCACTTGGTTTCTAGACCCCTTCCTCCAAGAGATTCCTGTTGTTTTGGAGTGGAATCCCTCTTTTTCTTGGGAGACCCCATCCTGATGGATGCTGAAGCTTGTGTGGTGGGGATTTTTGGACCTGCTCGTGATGATACTCCTGGCCTCTGATGGTAGCAAAGTGCTGCTGGTAAAGCAGTGGAGGTTTAGGGGAGCTTTGCTTTAACTTGTCCATGTGACAGAGTTGTGAGGAATATTGTCTTGAAGGGGGAAACACAGCGAATCCCAGCAGCAGGAATCCATCCTAGGGGAAAACCATCCCAAATCCCATGTTACCGGAGCTGCTGTCACTCTTCCTCCTCCTGAGGGGGAGTTCTGGGGGGTAAATCAAGTTGGGCCGGGTGCTCTGTGTTCATATTGGTGAGGTTTGACTGTATGGAGGTCTGAGGCCGGGATACGGGTACGAATGTGTCCCCATCCCGTGGGACCACCTGGGTTTTATGGCAGTTATTGGAATTTGGGTCAGAAAATGACCCAAGTGGGGCTCTGGTGCCGGGGACAAACCTTTGCAGAAGGTGTTCCTATGGAGAGCAGGGTTTTGGCTGTTCCCATGAGCCCCAAGCCCCGGTTGGGTTGAGCTGAACCAGTGGCACCTTCAGAACCACAAAGGATTTTTTCAGGTCATTTTTGTTTCCTTTCTGGTGAAACTTGGAATTTTTGCTTCCTCTTTCTTTGTTTTTTTAAGGGATTATTAAATACAAACTCTATTTATTGACAGAAGATATTCCCCATGGATTCAGGAACACCCCTGTGGTGCGTTCAGCCCCATCCCAAGGCCAGGTTGGACAGGGCTTGGAGCAACCTGCTCTAGGGGAAGGTGTCCTGGAGGAGCTTTAAGGTCCCTTCCAACCCAAACCATTCCATGATTCCCAGCGTGGGACTGGCACCATTGTGGGATTCAATGGGGAGGGAGCAGCTCGTGCTCCAAAGCACCTTTCCTGGAGGAAAAGCACCAAACCTGTCCTAAGGAGGGGTTTCTCCCATGGGAGAGGCTGTGACCTGACTTTAAGTGCACTTAATGGTGTGGTTGGAAGGAACCTTGGTGCCATCAGGCCCTGGGTGTGGGAAAACCCTTTGAAGAGCATTGGAGTTGCGTGAAGGAGCATTTGCCTTCACTGATCGCCCTGGGGAAGGCTGAGGGGGTGCTTTGGTTCCCCCTGACCCCACACAAAGTGACCTGAATTAACTCTGCAATCGTTTAATTCACCAAAATACTGCATTTTCGCCCGTTTGGTTCCATGGTCAATGAAAGCCTCGGTTGGTGATTTCTGTCCTTGTTCCTCCTCGGGAGCAGCGGCCGGCGTGGCGCGGGCTGGACACTGCATCCTTCCTTTGTGTTACCATAGACTCACTGACAATAAACCACGTTCAACTAACGAAGCCCTGAGCAGCAGCCGTGCCTCTTTCCTTCCCTTCATCCCGGGAATTCAGCCCCAGTGGGAGTGGGAAAGGTCCCCCTTCATCCCCCTGCTCTTCATCCCCCCCATCACATCAGTGGGGTTTCTTCTCTGTTGAGGGCAGCATCCTCCTCCCTGGGGATGAGAGATTCTGGCTCTTTAGGTACCAGAATCAGGCTTTCATTTAAAGAAGCACACCCTCCTCCCCCAAACCCCCCCCATCATCATCATTTGTGATCTGGAAGAGCCTTTTCCTGGCTGCAGTTGCAGGGGAGGCTTCAGCTGGTTTGATTCCCAAGGAAATCCAGCCCTTTTGCTGGATGCTGAAGCTTTAAATGCTTCCGAAAGAGGAAAATTCACCGGGATGAACGCAGCCTTGGGGCTGTGTTTGGGGGCTGCTTGGAAATGCAGATCCCGGGGCAATGGAAACTTTTGGGGCTGGGAGAGCCCGGAGCGCTTTCCCACCGGCTCTTTTCATTGGAATTCTTTATCCCAGCTCCCAGGGTTTTCCTTTCCTCCCAGCGCCACGTCTGTGCCGGTGCCGGCTCTCGGGGTGTCCCGGGGTGACCCCGAGCCGGCGCTGCCCTTGGAGAGCAGCCCTGGCTCCAGTCCCTGCACGCAATTCCTCCCATCTCCCAGTGCCGGATCCAGGCACTCGGCCACGCTCCTTTGGGATGCGCAGGAGGGAGCAGCCTGGGGTCAACCGCACCCAAACCCGCGCCTGGCTCCGGGTTCACCCCGTGTTGCGCAGCAGGAGCTGAGCCCGGGGGCTCTGGGCGCGCTTTGGGGGTTCCATGGCGCTGGGGGTGGCCGCGGGGAGCGGGGCCGCTGCTGTTTCCGGGCTGGGAGGAGAACCCGTTCCTGGGCGCTGAGTCACGGAGCGGCGCGTCCCGAGGAGAGGCCGCGGGGGGAGCCCTGCCCCGCGCGGGGCCTGGTGGGCACCGTCACTTGTGGGTGCTGGGTGCACCCCATCCCGCAGCGTCCAAACCTCCGGGGGCCTGGCGCTGTTGGATGCACCCCAACCTGCACCATCCATCCCTTATGGGGTGCTGGGAGCTGTATGCACCCCAACCTGCGCTATCCATGCCCCACAGGGTGCTGGGTGCTGTGCGTACCCCCTCCCGCACCATCCATCCCTTGAGGGGTGCCCTGGGCTATGGGATCCCCCTCCAATCCCATCCTTACGGGGTGCCGGAGGCCAGGGGCTCATCCCACTTTGTGGACGGGGAGCGGGCAGGGAATGGCCTGGGGCCAGGCAGGGTGCGGGCAGGGAGCGGGCAGGGTGCGGGCAGGGTGCGGGCTGGGAGCGGGCAGGGAATGGCCTGGGGCCAGGCAGGGAGCGGGCTGGGCGCTGGCAGCGCTGCCCTCCTGCCGCCGCCGCCGCCGCTCCGCCCCGCCGGGCCCCGGGCGCGGAGGGCGGGAGGCCGGGACCGGAGCCGGAGCTGGGGCCGGGGCAGGCGGCAGCGCTCGGGGCCCCGGGGCTGCTCCGCTGCCGCCGCCGCCGCTCCGGGCCCGCCCGGGCAAAGTCCCCGCGCCATGAGCGGCCGCCGCCCGGCGTTCCCCGGCCTCCCAGGTAGGGCCGGGGCCGGGGCCGCGGGGTTCGGGGGGGCCGCGTTGCCCCTGGGCACCCCCGCACCCAGCGGCCTTCCCCGCAGGGGAGCTGGTGCTGGAGGAGGCGGCGGGCGCGCGGCAGCGCTGCGGTAGCGACGGCTCCGTCCCCGGGACGCTGCTTTGCACCAACCGCCGCGTCGCGTTCGTGCCCGCGCAGGTGCGGCCGGGAACGGGAAAGAGAAAGAAAAAGGGAACGGGATCGGGAACGGGATCAGGAACGGGAAAGGGAACGGGAGAGGAACAGGGAACGGGAGAGGGAACGGGAGAGGGAACGGGACAGGGAACGGGGCAAGGGAACGGGAAAGAGACAGAGAAAGGGACAGGGAGTGGGGCAGGGAATGGGACCCCGCGTTGCCGCCCGCCCCCCGCCCGGCCCAGGGGACCCCAACCCTCATCGTGCTTCATCCCCATCCCAGCCCCATCCCGGACCCCGTTCCACAGCTTCCCTCCCCCATCCTGACCCCATCCCAGCCCCATCCACCACCCCATCCCAGTGGCACCCCAGCCCCATCCCAGCCCCATCCCGGACCCCATCCATCCTCACCGGCTGCAGGACCATTGCGTTCACCTCGTTGCAGGACTCGGTGGGAGGGGGGTCAAGGGCTCAGCTCCAGCAGGGACAGGGCAGCGGGGTCCGGGTCCGGCCCCTTCGCCCTTCCCAGGGGGCAGCTTCCAGCTCTCCCCCCTCTCCCGTAGGGCCCCGGCTCCCCCCGGCCCTTCCTGCCCAGCGAGCACGAGGTGGCGCTTCCCTGCATCCGCAAGCTGGTGGCAGGTAACGGCGGCCCCGTGCGATGAGTCGGGCAGGTCTCAGCGCGCACTGACCCCGTCTCACCCCCCCAGCCAGCAGCTTCACCAAGCCCAAGGTGCTGACGGGCGCCTCCACGCTCAAGTTCATCCCAGAGGAGCTGGCCCTTTTCTGCCGGGATTTCCGCCTCCTCCGCTTCCACTTCCATGAGAACGGGCTGGCTCCGCAGGCGTTCCGGGTGAGCAGGGTGGGATGCGGTGGTGATGGCGGGGAGGCTCCTGGGGTGCTCCACAGCCTCCAGGGCAGAGGCTTTGGGGGGCTGAACCCCATTCCTGCTCCTTGCAGGTCGCCAACGCCATTGCCCAGGCGCGGGAGGAGGCTGCGTGGTTGGGGGATACAGGTGAGGGATGTGATGGAGCCCGGCCGGGGGACGGCGAGGGTGAGGATGAGGAGGATGAGGACGGCTCCTCTGCCACGCTGCTCTTCGAGAGCCTGCGGGACTGGGAGAAGGAGCTCAAGCGCCAGGGAGCCACAGGCTGGAGGGTGAGCGCCGTCAATGAGCGCTTCGACATGGCCCCAAGGTGCGTGCTGGGGACACGCACACGCTGTGGCCCCAAACCAAGGCGGGACAGGAGCACCCACGCTCCCTCCGCCACCCATAACGGGACGGGGGGGACACCCGCAGCCTCCCCCGGTACCTGTGGGTGCCCAGCGGGCTCCTGGACCACGACCTCAAGCGGCTTTTCGCGCACTTCGAGGAGCGCCGGGTGCCCGTGAGTGCGGCGGGGGGCGCTGGGGGGGTGTTGGGAAGGGGTTTGGGGGGTGACAATGGGGGGGGGGTCCCCGTGTTTGTCCCACAGCGCCTCTGCTGGCACCACCCGGGCGGCAGCGCCCTGCTCAGAGCCGCCGCCTTCCACGCGGGGTCGGAGCCGGGCAGCGAGGACGCGAGGTGAGTCCCGATGGGGGAGAAGGGGCGGGGGGGTCCTGGGGATGCTGCCCCCAGCCCGTCCCCACCCGGGGGTCCCTGTGCCCCACCGCAGGTGCCTGGAGGCGCTGCTGCTGGGGGGCCGCGGGCCCTGCGTGCTGGTGCGCACCGCGGAGCTGCCCGGCCCGGCCGACATCCAGCTCGCACACCTCAAGCTGCGGGCGCTCTGCCTGCCCGGTGAGCAGGGGGGGGGCAATAGCGGGGACCCCCCAGCCCCGACCATGGGGGTCCTGACCCCCCCATCCCGCCCAGGCGCCGCGGCGGAGGAGAAGTGGCTCTCGGCGCTGGAGGGGACGCGGTGGCTGGACCACGTCCGGTGAGCGAGTGATGGCAACGGGGGGGCTTCAGCTCCTGGGGCGCGCACTCGAAACACCCACGATGGATGGAGCGTGTCCGCCCCCAAACCTGCTGTCTGTGGGGTGATCACACTGCCCACAGGGACCCATTTTGGGGTGCCCTGACCCCCCCTTTCCGTCCCTAAGGAGCTGCTTGAGGAAAGCCGTGGAGGTGGCATCGCTGCTGGCTGGGAGACGCTGCACCGTGCTCCTGCAAGGTAGCTCCATGAGGAGCCCCGGCATGGGGGGACACTGGTGGAGACCCCCCCCATCACCTCACCCCTCCCCAGAGCCGTCGGACCGGGACCTGAACTGCCTGCTGGCCTCGCTGGTGCAGCTCCTGGGGGACCCCCATTCCCGCACCCTTCCCGGCTTCCAGAGCCTGCTCCAGCGGGAATGGGTGGCAGCCGGACACCCCTTTCCCCATCGGCTGGGGCTCCTCCGTTGTGACAGCCCCTGGGAGGAGGTGAGGCCCCCGCTGCTTCCCACCACCCACCCCTGTCGTGGGGGGAGCTGTGTGACCAATGCGGGTCCCCCCATTGCCAGGCTCCCGTTTTCCTGCTGTTCCTGGACTGCACGTGGCAGCTGGTGCGGCAATTCCCGGCGGCGTTCGGCTTCACCGAGGCCTATCTGCTGGCCCTGCACGACAGCAGCTTCACCCCCTACTTCAGCACCTTCCTCTTCAGCTGCCAGCGGCAGCGGGGCCACGGCAGCCTGGTGAGGGGGGGGCACCGCAGCAAGGCCCCAGGAACGGGCTGAAGGGATGGGCTTGGAGGTGGAGCCTTCCCATCCCGCTTGGATGGGCTCAGGGATGGGCTTGGGTTCAGAGATGGATCCTACCCATCGCGCTTGGTCGGGTTCAGGGATGGGTTTGGGGATGGATCCTCCTCATCCCACTTGGCTGAGTTTAGGGATCCGTTTGGAATGGATCCTTCCCATCGCGCTTGGCTGGGTTCAGGGATGGGTTTGGAAATGGATCCTCCTCATCGCACTTGGCTGAGTTTAGGGATCGGTTTGGGTATGCATCCTTCCCCATCCTGCTTGGTCGGGTTCAGGGATGGGTTTGGGGATGGATCCTCCCCATCCCACTTGGCTGAGTTTAGGGATCGGTTTGGAATGGATCCTTCCCCATCCTGCTTGGTCGGGTTCAGGGATGGGTTTGGGTTCAGAGATGGATCCTCCCCATCCTGCTTGGCCGGGTTCAGGGATGGGTTTGGAGACAGATCCTCCCCATCCTACTTGTCTGAGTTTAGGGATCAGTTTGGAATGGATCCTCCCCATCCTGCTTGGTCGGGTTCAGGAATGGGTTTGGAATGGATCCTCCCCATCCTGCTTGGCCGGGTTCAGGGATGGGTTGGGTTCAGAGATGGAGCCTGCTTGGCCGCATCCCTCTGTGCCTCAGTTTCCCAGCTTGGGGCTTGCTCCCACCTCAAGCTCCCGTTTCCCCCCTGCAGCACCGGCCCCGCAGCCAGAGCTACCACCCGGTGAGCGGGGGCCGGGAGCCTGGCTCCACGGTGCTGCCGGAGGTCTGGGAATGGGGCCTGCGCTACAGCCGGCAGCAGCGGGAGCGCTTCCGGAACCCGGCGGGAGCTGCCTTGGGAACCCCCGGCACTGCAGAGCCTCAGCCCAGCGTGAGTCAGGGCTCGGCTCTGGGGGGCTGCTCCATGGGGAGGGCACCCACATGCTGCATGAGACACCCCCCTCCTGCCCTCCTGGTGGATCTGGGGCGCTCTGCATGGAATCCTAGAATGGGTTGGGTTCAAGGGACCTTAAAGCTCATCCAGCTCCAACCCCTGGCGTCCAACCCCATGTCCATCCATCCCGAAACCGCGTCCATCCATGCAACCCCATATCCATTCACCCAATCTCACATCCACACATCCAACCCCATGTCCACGCATCCAACCCCATGCCCATCCATCCAACCCCATGTTGATCCATCACAAAACTGTGTCCATTCACCCAATCCCACATTCACCCATTCAACCCCATATCCACCCATCCAACCCCACATCCACCCATCCCAAACCTGTGTCCATTCACCCAATCTCACATCCACCCATCCAACCCCATGTCCACACATCCAACCCCATGTCCATGCATCCAACCCCATGTCCACGCATCCAACCCCATGTCCACGCATCCAACCCCATGTCCATCCATCCAACCCCATGTCCACCCATCCAACCCCATGTCCATCCATCCAACCCCATGTCCACCCATCCAACGCCATGTCCACCCATCCAACCCCATGTCCATCCACCAAGACCCCAGGTCCACCCATCCAACCCCATGTCCACCCATCCAACCCCATGTCCATCCACCAGGACCCCATGTCCACCCATCCAACACCATGTCCATCCATCCCAAAACTGTGCCCATTCACCTAACCCCATGTCCACCCATCCAACCCCATGTCCACCTATCCAACCCCATGTCCATCCATCAAACCCCATGTCCGCCCATCAAACCCCATGTCCACCCATCCAACCCCATGTCCATCCATCCAACCCCATATCCATCCATCCAACCCCCTGTCCATCCATCCAACCCCATGTCCACCCATCCAACCCCATATCCATCCATCCAACCCCGTGTCCATCCATCCAACCCCATGTCCATCCATCCAACCCCCTGTCCACCCATCCAACCCCATGTCCACCCATCCAACCCCATGTCCATCCATCCAACCCCATGTCCACCCATCCAACCCCATGTCCATCCATCCAACCCCATGTCCATCCATCCAACCCCATGTCCACCCATCCAACCCCATGTCCATCCATCCAACCCCATGTCCATCCATCCAACCCCATGTCCATCCATCCAACCCCATGTCCACCCATCCAACCCCATGTCCATCCATCCAACCCCATGTCCATCCATCCTTCCACTGCAGCAGGTTGCCCCAAGCCCTGTCCACCCTGGCCCTGAACCCCCTCCTGGTGCCGTGTGCGCCCCCGGAGTTGCCCCATGCCAGGTTTTGCCCCCATTCCCCGTTCCCTCTGGCTTCCCCCCCCGATCCCTGTTCCCTCTCTGTTCCCAGCCTGCCAGCCCCTGGCCGGGTGCGGGGCCCGGGCCCGTGTTCGTGCTGACCAAGGGCGCGCTGTCAGCCCAGCCCCTGCCCTGGAGGGGCGGCCGCTCCCCCCCGCACCGCTCCCGCTGGGCCCCGAGCCTGGAGAGCCTGGGGGAGCCGGGGGGGGGGCGGCCGCCCCTGGGGCTGCTGCTGCCCTGCGCCGCGGGCCCCTCCGTGCGGCTCTGGGCACGCTGCTACCTGCGGGGGCTGCCCGAGGCTCAGGTACCGCGCACGGGGGGACCAGGGCACGGCCCAGCCGCACATCCACCCCTCAACCCCACGTCCATCCATGCAACCCTGTATCCATCCCCCAACCCCACGTCCATCCATCCAACCCTGTATCCATCCATCGATCCAACCCTGTATCCATCCATCCAACATTTATCCATCCATCCAACCCTGTATCCATCCATCCAACCCTTATCCACCCATCCAACCCTGTATCCATCCATCCAACATTTATCCATCCATCCAACCCTGTATCCATCCATCCAACCATTATCCATCCATCCAACCCTTATCCATCCATCCAACCCTTATCCACCCATCCAACCCTGTATCCATCCATCCATCCATCCAACCCTTATCCACCCATCCAACCCTGTATCCATCCATCCATCCATCCAACCCTTATCCATCCATCCATCCAACCCTGTATCCATCCATCCAACATTTATCCATCCATCCAACCCTGTATCCATCCATCCAACCCTGTATCCATCCATCCAACCATTATCCATCCATCCAACCCTTATCCACCCATCCAACCCTGTATCCATCCATCCATCCATCCAACCCTTATCCACCCATCCAACCCTGTATCCATCCATCCATCCATCCAACCCTTATCCATCCATCCATCCAACCCTGTATCCATCCATCCAACATTTATCCATCCATCCAACCCTGTATCCATCCATCCAACCCTGTATCCATCCATCCAACCATTATCCATCCATCCAACCCTTATCCATCCATCCAACCCTTGTCCACCCATCCAACCCTTATCCATTCACCCAACCCTTGTCCACCCATCCAACCCTTATACATCCACCCACCCCCACGTCCATCCACCCACCCCCATGTCCATCCATTCCCCCCCACATCCCCCCTTTCTCCCCCCCATGTGCCTCCCTGTCTCCCGCAGCGCGGGCGCTTCGCTCCGTCTCCGGCCGGGCTGGCGGAGGAGCTGCTGCTGCTGCAGGACCGGCTCAGCGCCCTCACTGCCTGAGGACACGGGGCCGCCATGGGACCCCGGGAATGGGCCCCCGCCATGGGGAGGAGCCCGGGATGGGATCCCCAGCACCCGCTGGATCCTTGCCTCCCATTAAATTCCTGCTACCTCCGCCGAGCTTTGGCTGCTCGGGGCTGGATGTGCACGTGCGGAGCCTGTCAGAACGGGGTGTGTGCGTGTGTGTGTGCGCGTGTGTGTGCGCGCGTGTGTGTGTGCGTGTGCCCGCGTGTGCATGTGTGTGCGTGTGGGGGGGTGTGTGTGCGTGTGCGCGCGTGTGCATGTGTGTGCGTGTGAGGGGGGTGTGTGTGCGCGTGTGTGTGTGCGTGTGTGCGCGCATGTGCATGTGTGTGTGTGGGGGATGTGTGTGTGTGCGCGTGCGTGTGTGTGTGTGCGGGGATGGATGTGTGTGTGTGCACGTGTGGGGGGGTGTGTGTGTGTGTGTGTGTGCATGTGTGTGCGTGTGTGTGGGGATGTGTGTGTGTGCGCGTGTGCATGTGTGTGCGTGTGCATTGGGGGGGATGTGTGTGTGCACGAGTGGGGGGGGTGTGTGCGCACGTGGGGGGTGTGTGTGTGTGCGCGCATGTGTGTGTGGGGGGATGTGTGTGTGTGCATGTGTGTGGTGGGGGGTGTGCGTGTGTGTGCACGTGTGGGTGTGCACGTGTGGGGGTGTGGGGGTGTGCGCGCATGTGGTGTGCGTGTGTGGGTGTGTGTGGTGGGTGTGTGTGTGTGTGTGCATGCGTGTGGTGTGTGTGTACGGGTGTGGTGTGCGTGTGTGCGGGTGTGGGTGTGTGAGGGTGCGGGTGTGGGTGTGGGTGTGGGGTGTGTGTGGTGAGTGGGGGTGTGAGCGTGGGTGTGTGTGGGTGTGAGAGTGCGTGTGTGTGTGGGGTGTGTGTGTGTGTGTGCTGCAAGGGGGGTGCAGGGGGGGACCCAGGCACTGGGATTCCCCTGGTATTGGGATCCTTTGGCACTGGGATCTCCCGGCACTGGGATTCCCTGGGGATTGGCACCCCCAGCACTGGGATCTCTCTGCACCGGGATCATTCAGCATTGGGATTCCCCTGGTATTGGGATCCCCCAGCACCGGGATCCCCCAGCACTCAGATCCGGGCACTGAGACCCCTGCCCCTGAGGGCGCTATCGCCGCTGCTCACGACAGGCGCTATCGCGACAGAGCCGCGCGCCCACACCCAACATGGCCGCCGCGCCTTCCCCGCGCGCTGCCGTGACGTCACCTCCCGTCCGCGGGAGGAGTAGGGGAAGGGGAGGGAGGGGCGGGGCTGGCGCCCGCGGTGACGTCACAGCGTACGGCGCCGTTGCGTGACGGCGGCGGCACCGCGAGGGCGGGAGAGGGAAGGGGGCAAAGATGGCGGCGGGGCCGATCTCGGAGCGCAACCAGGGTGAGCGCGGGGCCGGGATGGGGCAGGGGGAGTCTGTGAGGGACCGGGGATGGGGGTCTGTGAGGGGAGGTGAGGGGCAGGGGATGGGGGTCTGTGAGGGGAGGGGCCTGAGGAGCAGGGGATGGGGGTCTATGAGGGGAGGGGGGGTGAGGGGCAGGGGATGGGTGTCTGTGAGGAGTCGGGGGGGGGGCGAGGAGCCGAGATGAGGCTGTGAGGGGCCGGGGGGTGTCAATGAGGGACCGGGAATGGGGGGCTGTGAGGGGCGGGGGGGTGAGGGGCAGGGGAGGGGGGGCTGTGAGGGGCAGGGGCTGAGGGGCAAGGGATGGGGGTCTATGAGGAGCAGGGGGGTGAGGGGCAGGGGATGGGGCTGTGAGGGGCGGGGGGGTGAGGGGCAGGGGATGGGGGTCTGTGAGGGGCAGGGGATGGGGCTGTGAGGAGTGTGGGGGGCGAGGGGCAGGGGATGGGGGTCTATGGGGGGTGAGGGGCAGGGGATGGAGCTGTGAGGGGTGGGGGGGGGGGTGGGGGGGCGAGGAGCCGAGATGGGGTTGTGAGGGGCCGGGGGGAGTCAATGAGGGACCGGGAATGGGGGGGTCTGGGAGGGGCGGGGGGGGGGAGGGGCGGGGGGGGGGTCTATGAGAGGAGGGGGGGTGAGGGGCAGGGGACGGGGGTCTATGAGGGGCGGGGGGGGGGAGGGGCAGGGGATGGGGGTCTGTGAGGGGCGGGGGGGTGAGGGGCAGGGGATGGGGGTCTGTGAGGAGTTGAGGGGCAGGGGATGGGGGTCTGTGAGGAGTTGAGGGGCAGGGGATGGGGCTGTGAGGAGTGTGGGGGGCGAGGGGCAGGGGATGGGGGTCTGTGGGGGGTGAGGGGCAGGGGATGGAGCTGTGAGGGGTGGGGGGGGGGTGGGGGGGCGAGGAGCCGAGATGGGGTTGTGAGGGGCCGGGGGGAGTCAATGAGGGACCGGGAATGGGGGTCTGTGAGGGGCGGGGGGGGGAGGGGCAGGGGACGGGGGTCTATGAAAGGAGGGGGGGTGAGGGGCAGGGGACGGGGGTCTGTGAGGGGCGGGGGGGGGAGGGGCAGGGGATGGGGGTCTGTGAGGGGCGGGGGGGGAGGGGCAGGGGATGGGGGTCTGTGAGGGGCGGGGGGGGGGAGGGGCAGGGGATGGGGGTCTATGAGGGGGGGGGTGTCTGTGAGGAGCCTCTGCGCTGCCTGTGCACACGGGGAGCCTTGGCCGGGGCGGGCACAAGGCGGGCACTGGGTACGTGCAGTAACGGGAGCTGGGATGGAGGGGTCTGGGTTTCCTTAGGGAGCAGGGGAGCACAGCGGGCACTGAGCGCTGCGGGGGTCTCTCTGCCTTTGCCTTGGGTGCTCTCAGCCTCAGCCCCTGTCGGGTGCTGCCAGGCTCACTGGGGTTTGCTTCCCCCCCCGTGCAGACGCCACGGTGTACGTGGGGGGGCTGGATGAGAAGGTGAGCGAGCCGCTGCTCTGGGAGCTCTTCCTCCAGGCAGGCCCCGTGGTCAACACCCACATGCCCAAGGACCGGGTCACGGGGCAGCACCAAGGTGAGATCCCCCTGGAGCATGGCAGGGGGGAAGGAGGGTTCTGGGGGAGGGAGGTGAAGGGCCCTGGGGGGGATTATCTCCCTTTAAGGAGGGAGTTGTGGTTCCTCACCCCTCACTCAAGCGGCTTTGGAAGCTCTCCTCAAGCTCTGCCTTGGGGCTCATTGCAGGCTATGGGTTCGTGGAATTCCTCAGCGAGGAGGACGCGGATTATGCCATTAAGATCATGAACATGATCAAGCTGTACGGGAAGCCCATCCGAGTGAACAAAGCCTCAGCCCACAACAAAAACCTGGACGTGGGGGCCAACATCTTCATCGGCAACCTGGACCCCGAGATCGACGAGAAGCTGCTCTACGACACCTTCAGCGCCTTCGGGGTCATCCTGCAGACACCCAAGATCATGCGAGACCCCGACACGGGCAACTCCAAGGGTTATGCCTTCATCAACTTCGCCAGCTTTGATGCCTCGGATGCTGCCATCGAGGCCATGAACGGACAGTACCTCTGCAACAGGCCCATCACTGTGTCCTATGCCTTCAAGAAGGATTCCAAGGGCGAGCGGCACGGCTCGGCCGCCGAGCGCCTGCTGGCAGCGCAGAACCCACTCTCGCAGGCGGATCGGCCCCATCAGCTCTTTGCTGATGCTCCTCCTCCTCCCTCTGTCCCCACCCCTGTTGTCACCACGCTGGGACCCGGTGTCACCCCTCCAGGTGGGTAAATGGTGGGGAGAATGGGTTGGGTTGGAAAGGAGGTTAACCTCATCCAGCTCCAAGCCCTGCCATGGGCAGGGACACCTTCCACTAGAGCACCTTGCTCCAAGCCCCATCCAACCAAGCCTTGAACACTGCCAGGGATGGGGCAGCCACAGCTTCTCCCTTCAATCCATTCCAGTGTCCCAGCACCCTCACTTCTTCCTTATCTCCAACCTAAATCCCCCTTGTTCCAGTCTGAACCCATCACCCTTTGTCTTATCACTCCAGTCCCTGATGAAGGTCCCTGTCTGGCATCCTTGCAGCCCCCTTCAGACACTGGAAGCTGCTCTGAGCTCTCCACAGCTTCTCCGGGCTCAGCAGCCCCAGCTCTGTTGTTGTTGCCTCCTGTGGAGCTGCTGGTGAATTATTGGCACCACTTTTTGGGTTGCTTTTTCCACTTCACCACATTCCTGCTTTTTCTCTTCCCAGGTCTCCCACCCCCAGGATCATTCCCGCCTCCGGTGCCACCCCCTGGAGCGATGCCTCCCGGGATGCCTCCTGCCATGCCACCCCCTCCTATGCCACCTGGCGCCGGTGCCCCCGGGCCCCCTTCTGGGGCTGCACCCACCGCGGGGCACCCACCTCACCCGCACCCCTTCCCTCCGGGTGGATTGCACCATCCAGGTAAGCCTGAGCACCTTTACATGGATAAACTCTTCCCAATGTCCGACCTAAACCTCCCCTGGTGCAGCTTGAGGCCATTTCCTCTTGTCCCATCCCTTGGGAGCAGAGCCCAGCCTCCTCCTGCTCCATCCTGTCAGGCAGTTGTAGGGAGCGGTAAGATCCCCTGAGCCTTCTCTTCTCCATCGAAACCCCCACCACCTCCCCAGTTCTTGGGAGTGGGATAAATTCTCCTCCCAATCCCCCTCTCCTCCTTTTGCTTCCCTGAGTTTCCCCTTGTATAAAATGGGATCGTTTTGGGGGCTCCCAACTCCACATCCTTGCCTGGGATGATGCTCTCCGCAGCCTGGTGAAGGAACAGGGAGAGGCTGCGTAGAACGAGTGCGTCACCTCCCCGGTGCTGCGCCTGCTTTCTGGAATCCTCTGCTGGGTGTTCTAAACTGTGTTAAAAAATAGCCTGGAGCAGGGGTCCGGCAGCATTTGGGAAGCTCTTTCGTGATTTAGGAAGTTGTGCCTTGCTGGGAAGCATCCACTTGGGTCAAGTTTCCTTGCGCTGTGAAGGTGCAGGTTGCAGGAGGGCAGGGTCTGGTGCAGGTGTTGAAGGTCTTGGGTGCTTTTCTGGTCCTTTAAAACCCCAGAAATCCCAAATCCTTGTCCCACAAACCCCAACCCCTTTGTTAACATCCTGGACAAAGCTCCAGATCTTCCTCATTTTCCTCTGGTGTGAAATAATTCCAGTAAGTGGGAACCTTCTTCTCACAGTCTGCAGTTCTGCCAGGCTAATTCCAGACACGAGCACAGAATGTTTCTTGGATTTCCTGCCATTTTTAGCTCTGTCTTCCCGGGGAATGAGCAGTGTGGATGTGGAGGCTCTGGGTTTAGATGCAAATGGAATTTGCTGTTTAATTTGGGGTTTCTTTGCATTAGTCCTGCCTGCTCTGAACCCAGCCCTGCGCCGGGCCCTTCTCCCCCCCTGGCTGATTAGGGGGCTTTGTGTGCTGGTGGCTCTGGCTTTGTGAGGGACCAGATGGCTGCTGCTCATTCCCGATTACAAAAGGGATTTCCAGGCTTTAGAGGAGCCAATTACACCCAGCAGAGGGAAGCCTGAGGGAGCATTTCCACACCGAGGCCTTGCAGAGCCACGATGAGGAGAGGGGAAGAAGTTGTGGTTTGTTGGGTTTGAGAGGGAGAAGAGGAATAGGGGAAGAGCAGGTTTGGGGGAGCCAGGTTTCTGTGCTCGGAGCAGAGCAAGCTTCAAGTGCAGGAAGCCTGCCCCAGATCCCTGAGGGAAGTGCTTCCTTACTGAGCCCCATCCCAGGGCCATGCCACACTGGGTGTCACCACACACAATGACATCCAGGTGGCATTTATTGGGTCTGTTGCCTCCTGTGGGGGAGCTTTGCTTTTCCTCCTCTTTAATCTCCTTTTCCATGGAATGATTTGGGTTGGAAGGGACCTTAAAGCTCATCCAGTTCCAGCCCCCTGCCACAGGCAGGGACCCCTTCCACTAGAGCAGCTTGCTCCAAGCCCCTCTGTCCAACCTGGCCTTGAACACTGCAGGGATGGGGCAGCCACAGCTTCTCCCTTCAACCCATTCCAGTGTCCCACCACCCACATGTGAAGAACTTCCTAAGATCTCCTCTAACTCTTCCCTTTTCCAGTTGGAAGCCATTCCTCCTCATCCCATCCCTCTATCCCATGTCCAAAGCTCCTCTCCAGCCTTCTTGTAGCCCCTTTAAGCACTGGGAGCTGCTCTAAGCTTCTGCCCTTGCCGTGGGCATCCCTTAATGTGTTATTCCCACAGGAATCCCTCCCATGCAAGTGCACCATGGACCACCAGGGATGGCCCAGCATCACCCAGGACCCCCGGGCTCTGGGGGCCAGCCCCCCCCACGGCCCCCGCCTGGCATGCCGCACCCTGGGCCCCCACCCATGGGTATGCCGCCCCGAGGACCTCATTTTGGGTCGCCCATGGGTAAGTGGGTGCCTGCAGGAGGTGGTGTGTGTGCGTTGCTGTGGGTGGGATCAGCGCTTGGTGCCCATCGTTCCAGGCTCAGTGTGGGTGGATGGGAAGGAGGTGATGCCGGAGGCGTCCTGGAGCAAGAGCTGCTAAGCCAGGGTGTCTCAGGGCATTCCCTGTGCCCGTTGTGATGTGGGGATCTGCACTACGGTGATGTCCCCTCATCTCACCTTGGGATAGCAGCAGGGAGGGTTCCTGAGGCCTGTGGGGTCCTCGGGGAGACTCCCCCGGGATCTGCTGGTAGAGGGGGAATGTTGGCCTGAACCACGGGCACCCCTGGCTGGGGTTTGGGGGGGGATTGGCTGTTCCATGTCTCCCCACGGTGCTTAACTCCTCTGCTCTGTCCCCACAGGTCACCCAGGCCCCATGCCCCACCACGGCATGCGTGGGCCTCCTCCGCTGATGCCTCCCCACGGCTACAACGGGCCCCCTCGCCCACCACCCTACGGCTACCAGAGGGTGCCCCTGCCCCCCAGGCCTGCACAGAGGCCCCCTGGGGTGCCCCCACGGGGACCCTTGAGGGGTCCCTTGCCCTGAACATGGCTGTGACGAGGCCCCCTCCCTGCTGGGGACCCTCCTCAATGTGTCCTCAAACTTTCATTCCTCCCTGTGCTAACACATCCTCATCCAGGAGGGGCAGGGGGCCCCCTCCCGGTCCCACCTCCCACCTCTGCCTTTCCCTCTCCACATCTTGCTCCCCGTGGGTTTTTATAGTGTTCATTTTCCCTCCTTTCCCACTTCTCCCAACCCTGAAGCTACTTCACCGTGCTTTGAGGAGGATTTTGGTTTTTTTCTATGTAAAGCAGTGAGCTCCCCTTTACAAATAAAGCGTTCTCTGAAGCAGGGGCTCTGAGAGCAGGAGGAGGCTCTGCCTGTCTGGCACTGAGGAGCTGCTGACTCGGGAGCAGCCACACGTGATAAGTGATGGCCAGAGAAAGCCGGTGCTGGGAAATGGGGAGGGAAGTGGGAGAGCTCTGTCACTCCTGCTCCCATTGCCTTTGGCACGTGAGGAACCACTGCAGGATCTCGAGATGAACTGGAAGGGCTCAGCACTGACCTCAGCTGCTCTGTTGTGGAATCCCAGAGTGATTTGGGTTGGAATTCACCTTAAAGCTCATCCAGTTCCACAGGCAGGGACACCTTCCACTGGGAGCAGGTTGCTCCAAGCCCCATCCAGCCTGGCCTTGAACACTGCCAGGGATGGGGCAGCTTCTCTGTTCAACCCATTCTGGTTACCCACCACCTTCACAAGGAAGAGCTTCTCCCCAAGAGCTCATCTTCATCAGCTCAAGGCCATTCCAAGCACAAATCCTTGTCTTCCCTGTTGAAGAGGGGAATTCCCATGGTCCAGACAGGCTGGGAGGAAGTGATGATGTCTGTAACCCTCTCAGTTGTTTCCAGTCGGGAAGAGTCCGGCTTGGCCTGGGGTGTATGCATGAGGGGATGGAGGCTGTGTGCAGCTTGTGATTGCCACGGTGCTGAGCTCCCCAGTGCTCCTGGTTTTATGCCCGTGGCAAATCCAACACGATTGGAGGCCCTCAGGACAGGAAGGAGCCATTCCCTGCCACCATGCATTTTGCTCTAGTGATGCCCATTAAAGCCTCAGGGCTGAGCCTGAGCTCTGGCTGCTCGGACACAGCAGACACAGCAGGGAGGGGGACCCTGGTGACTGTGGCACATGAGTCACAGCCTGACAGGCCCGGGGGGGCCATAGGGAAGCTGTGCTCACCAGTGCAGCCCAGGCCAATGCGGCTCCGTGCTGGGGCGCGTGATGAGCCGCGGGTACGGCAGCAGGGGCACAGCATCAGCCTCTCCTGCATCCCCCCTTGTGGGGGTGCTCCCAACAGGAGCTCAGTTCCTCAGCTTCCAGTCCCTGTGCTGGTGCTGCTGGTGTGGGCTGGTCCCTGGCCCCATCTGCCTGGTTTGAGAGCCGAGTTCCTGCTGTCCCAGGCTGGGGTTGGCACCCAGGACACTGCCCCTCATCCTCTCCTTAAGGGATGCACAGCCCGGGCGCAGTGAAACCAGTGCCCGGATCACAGCTCTGGGGCTGTAACGTCCTGGAGGCTGAGGCTGGCCCACCTCATTGCATGTGGGAGGCAGGAGCAGGAGGCTCAGGATCCTGATTTCCCACCGGCAGCCGGTGATCCAGGGTTAAACTGGGGTCGGTTTGGCCCACAGAATCACCATGGAGTGGTTTATGGGAAGGAAGCTTACCCCTCGTCCAGTTCCACGGGCAGGGACACCTTCCACTGGAGCAGGATGCTCCAAGCCCCATGAGCAGTGCCAGGGATGGGGCAGCCAAAGCTTCTCCATTCAACCCATTCCAGTGTCCCAGCACCCTCCCAGGGAAGAGCTTCTGCCTAAGAGCTCATCTCAGCCTCCCCTCGGGCAGGTTAAAGCCATTCCCCTTGTCCTCCCCCTGCATCCCTTGTCCCAAGCTCCTCCAGGTTTCTGTCCCCCATCCCTCCCTGCAATAACCACGCTCCTCCTCACCCCCCTCTCAGCCCCCTCCGATGCTGGAGGCATTTGTGCCCTGTTCCTGCGGAGCGCCCGGCTCTGGCAGCGAGGATTTGATCCCGATCCATCCGAATCCAGCCCCGAGGAGCCCGTGACTCAGATGTTCCAGCCTGCGCTGCGGTCGCCATAGGGGGGGGGGCGAGCGATCCCGAATCCCACGTGAATCCCTGCGGAGGGGAACTGGGATTGGGGCAGCTCCTTGTAGCCCCCCCTCCATTAACCACAGTTACCTGTCGCCACTTGGACCCCGCGGCTCCAACACGGGAACCCCATTCCCAAGGGAGCTCCCTGGGAGCGTAGGCACCCTGGGGGAGGCTTCTCCCTCCCATTGCCTCCAGTCGGGAGCCGAGGCGAGGGGGGACCCCCCCATCCTGCCGCTGTCCCCCCCTCCCCGGCGCAGTGCTGCAGCACAGCCCTCCCCACCGCCTCCCTCCCTTCCCCGGGCTCTTGCAATGGACTCTCCCAGCGCTCGGAGGCTGCGGCGTTAACACGGGACCCGGGAGCTGTTTCCTTGCTGGATCCCTCTTGGAGCAGCTTTTCCTTCCTCTGTCAGAGCATCCTTCCTTTGCCGGAGCATCCTTCCTCCGTCACAGCATCCTTCCTCCTCCTGGAGCATCCTTTCTTGCTGCACAGGAGGCAGCCTCCGGAAGAAGGGCTGGAGCGGAGACAGGTAAGGAGAGAAAGAAATTCCTTTTATCAGGCAGATCCCCCTCCTCTTCCCACTGCTTTCCATTAGCATCCTGCGAGCCGGCATCTGATGGATCAGGGATTCAGCTTCTCCTTCCCACTTGCTGTGGCCATTTTGTCCTGGAAAACCTTGCCTCCAGCCTTGTTCATGTCTTTTTCCATGCGTGTTGAACAGCCTCTCCTTAGCCCTTCCCGCGCCGCCGGAGGGCCGGGAATCGCTGCCGATGGGGATAGGGATTTCAGCACAGGGATGGATGTTTAATGTGGTGGCTTTGGGGAGTCAGTCCTGGGGGGGGGTGTTGGGAGATGACCTTGGACGTGGGTGATTTAAAACTCTTCTTCCTTGTCGCCATGTTCTGGGAAAGGCTGAGGAGGGGAGGACGCGGAGCCCAGCATGAGACCCCCGCCGTGGGGAGGTTCTGTGCATCCATCGGATGCTCCGCATGGATGCGTGGTCCAGAGCCCCATAACCTTGGCTCAGGCCGATGGTGACTGTTCCAGCTCTGCCCATCACGGGGCCGAGCTGTGACCTTGCTCCCTGGTCCATCCTCTTCCTCACGGGGTATCCGGCCTCTCTCCGCTCCCCTCTTCCTTTTGCTGGCTCCTGACACATCCCAATCCATAGATCAGCATCGGGAAGCACCGCAGGAACCTGCAAATGGCATGGAGCAAAATGACCTTGGCCATCAACCAGCTCCTTCCAGGGGCCTTGGGGGTCAGTGGGTTGAACCCAAGGAGGGGATCCGGGATGGGATCCCTGGGATGTGGACAGGGAAAGGGCTGCTCCCGGCCAGCCGGAGGGGAGAGGGCAGGGGGTTATGGATAGATTGATGCTGCTCCAAAGCACCTGCAGGGCTCCACTGGGGAGCTGGGGCCGTGCCGTGCCGCAGCACCGGCCCCGGGTGCGCAGAGCCGCTGGGGGCTCCCATCCGGGCTAATTATAGCCGTGGATTTGCCTGGCTCACGGAGGGAAGGACGCGCGGTGCCGGCTGCGTCCCTGCCCTACGGCTCAGCTCCTGCTGCGCCCCACAGCCGGGGGTCTGCGGGACCGGAGCGCTGGGATGCTCAGGGGATGCTCTGCCTGCCCTTGGCCTTGGAGGGCTGGGACTGGGGTGCAGGGCACCAGGACAAAGCCTCTGGGATGTATCCGGATGCCCTTTTCCTCCCTGAAGGTGCTGAGGGTGCCCCCAGCTCTGCCCTGGGGTGCCTGGTTCATCTCCCACCAAACACAAGCCACAGCCAGATCCCTTCTGGAAGCCTCCCCATGGCACCTGCAGGGGGATCCCTGGCATGGATCTGAGCCTGGGGGTCACACAGGGCTCCCCAAAGGGGGCTCATGGAAGCTGTCCCTGCCTGTGGCAGGGGACTGGAGCTGGAGGAGCTTTGAGGTCCTTTCCAACCCAATCCATTCCCTGGTTCTGTGAACAAGCGCCGTAGCTTGTGCTCAGCCACGTTATTTGACATCAGAGAATCCACCTTGGTCAATGGGTGTCTAAGTCCTGCTGAATTCGGGCACCCCCCTGAGAGCTTTGATTCTCCAAGCAAGAGGAGAGGGCACAGAGATGGTGTCCCCAGACCCCATCTCCTTCCATTCCAAAATCCTCCTATTCCCACCCCAGATGAGGGGTGCTGGTGCGGAGCAAACCCGGGGATGAGGTGGGGTGCAGGCCCATTCCCACCCTGTCCCATCCCCTGCTTGTGTCCGGGCTCCGCAGGTCAGCCGGTACCACGCGGATGGGTAGCGCCGTCCCTCGTCTCCCCGCATCCCACCTCGGTCCCCGGGCGTGAGGACACAGACACAGGCCCCCCCCCCCCCCCCTTCCTATTCCCCATCGCATCCCGGTGTCCCGGCTCATCCCAGCACCATGGATGAGAGCTTCCGGGACCGGACGGCGTTCATCCGGGGCGCCAAGGACATCGCCAAGGAGGTGAAGAAGCACGCGGCCAAGAAGGTGAGCAGGGGCATGGACCGCGTGCAGGACGAGTACACCAAGCGCTCCTACTCGCGCTTCGAGGAGGAGGAGGACGACGAGGACTACGCGCCGCAGGACGGCTACTACCGGGGGGGCGAGGGCGGCAACGACGAGGAGGGAGCCTCCAGCGACGCCACCGAGGGGCACGATGAGGAGGACGAGATCTACGAGGGCGAGTACCAGGGCATCCCCCGGCGCCACTCAGGGCAGGGCGAGCGCCTGGGCACCGACGCGGGCACGGCGGCGCTGGCGGACAGCGAGGGGCAGCGGCGCAAGGACCGGGAGGAGCTGGCGCAGCAATACGAGCTCATCCTGCAGGAGTGCGGCCACGGCCGCTTCCAGTGGACCCTCTACTTCGTGCTGGGCCTGGCGCTCATGGCCGATGGGGTGGAGGTGTTCGTGGTGGGCTTCGTCCTGCCCAGCGCCGAGAAGGATATGTGCCTGTCCGACTCCAACAAGGGCATGCTGGGTGAGGGGGGTCGGGTGTGGGGGGACAGGGGGTATAGCGGGGGACATGGGATATGGGGGGATATGGGATATGGGGGGACACATGGGATAGGGGGGATATGGGGGGACATGGGATATGGGGGGACATGGGATACAGAGGGGCATATGGGATATGGGGGGACACATGGGATATGGGGGACATGGGATATGGGGGGACACATAGGATATGGGGGGACATGGGATACAGAGGGGTACATGGGATATGAGAGGACATGGGATATGGGGGGACATGGGATATAGAGGGGTACATGGGATATGAGGGGACATGGGATATGGGGGGACATGGGATACAGAGGGGTACATGGGATATGAGGGGACATGGGATATGGGGGGACATGGGATATAGAGGGGGACATGGGATATGAGGGGACATGGGATATGGGGGGACATGGGATATAGAGGGGGACATGGGATATGGGGGTATATGGGATATGGGGGACACATGGAATATGGAGGGGTACATGGGATATGGGGGGGCATATGGGATATCGAGGGGCACATGGGGTATGTGGGATCCAAAACATATGGGGTTTGGAGGGGAGAGACATGGGGAAGTTCCCAGGCAGATATGGGCTGATGGGGAGATGTGGACATGGGATATAGAGGAGTACATGGGATATGGGGGGACACAGGAGAGACAGGGGGACACAGAGGAGGACATGGGGGGGCACATGGGGGTGCTGGGAGGTTGGTCCATGTGGGGCTCAGAGCGGCACAGGGGGAGGATGGGGGTCACAGAGGGATGCAGAGGACACACTGCGGGGGTCACATTCCCCCTTCTCCACGGCACCTCCTTGCCCCACAGCCACCGCAGAGCAGAGGGGACCACGCAGGTGTCCCCGTGCCCCCCCAGCACTGATGTCTCTGTGCGTGTCTGTCCCCCCAGGGCTCATCGTGTACCTGGGCATGATGGTGGGTGCGTTCCTGTGGGGCGGCCTCGCGGACCGCCTGGGCCGGCGGCAGTGCCTCCTCATCTCCCTCTCCGTCAACAGCGTCTTCGCCTTCTTCTCCTCCTTCGTCCAAGGCTACGGCACCTTCCTCTTCTGCCGCCTCCTCTCGGGCATGGGGTAAGGGGGATGCACCCGACCCCGTCGCCGTTGAACCCCCTTTGCTGGGGTGCAGGGTGACCTGTGCTGTGCTCCCCCCCTTCCCCAGCATCGGGGGCTCCATCCCCATCGTCTTCTCCTACTTCTCGGAGTTCCTGGCGCAGGAGAAGCGCGGGGAGCACCTGAGCTGGCTCTGCATGTTCTGGATGATCGGGGGCATCTACGCCTCTGCCATGGCCTGGGCCATCATCCCCCACTATGGTGAGAACACCCCCCAGCACCAGCCCATGTCCCCCATTGCGGTGGGGCTCGGCACCGTCACAGCATCCTGTCCCATTCCCATAGGATGGAGCTTCCAGATGGGCTCAGCCTATCAGTTCCACAGCTGGAGGGTCTTCGTCCTGGTCTGCGCCTTCCCCTCGGTGTTCGCCATTGGGGCGCTCACCACCATGCCCGAGAGCCCCCGCTTCTTCCTGGAGGTGGGACCCAAACAGGGACCCCTGAGTGGGTGATGGAGATGAAGGGACCCAAACAGGGACCCCTTAAGTGATGGAGATGGAGATGAAGGGACCCAAACAGGGACCCCCAAGTGGGTGATGGAGATGGAAATGAAGGGACCCAAACAGGGACCCCTTAAGTGGGTGATGGAGATAGAGACCCATGCAGGGACCCCTTAAGTGATGGAGATGGAGATGAAGGGACCCAAACAGGGACCACTTAAGTGGGTGATGGGGATGAAAGGACCCAAACAGGGACCCCCAAGTGGGTGATGGAGATGGGAGGAGCTGGTCAGAGACCCCCAAGTGGGTGGTGGGACCCGAACAGGGACCCCAAAGTGGGTGATGCAGGAGGGCCCCCGGGGTGAGCGTAGTGCTGCCTTGCAGAACGGCAAACACGACGAGGCCTGGATGGTGCTGAAGCAGGTCCATGACACCAACATGCGAGCCAAGGGCCACCCCGAGCGGGTCTTCTCGGTAAGGACCCCCCATTGCTGCAGGAGGGACTGCACATTCCCACCTCCAGGAATCACACTGGGGTGGGGGGAGCTGAGGCCCGGGGCCAGAGCTTCCCTTGTCCCCGTGCTGTGCCCCACAGGTCACCCACATCAAGACCATCAAGCGGGAGGACGAGCTCATTGAGATCCAGGCGGACACAGGGACGTGGCACCGGCGCTGGCTTGTGCGGGTGCTCAACCTCTCACAGCAGGTGAGGGCCTGCCCCCCCCCCCCGTGTCCCCCCCTTGTCACCCTCCTGTGTCCTCTCTTGTCACCCCATTGTCCCCCATTGTCACCCCTGTGTCCCGCAGGTCTGGAGCAACTTCCAGCAGTGCTTCGCACCTGAGTTCCGCCGCATCACCCTGATGATGATGGGAGTGTGGTTCACCATGTCCTTCAGGTGCGCTGGGATGGGATGGGATGGGCAGCAATGGGATAGGATGGGATGGATAGGATAGGATAGGATAGGATAGGATAGGTTGGGCAGTGATGGGAAAGGATGGATGGGATGCAATGGGAGGGGATGGGATGGGATGGGATGGGCAGCAGTGGGAAAGGATGGATGGAATGGGATAGGATACGATGGGCAGCAATGGGATAGGATGGGATGGGGTGGACAGAGTAGGATAAGATAGGGTAGGATAGGACAGGACAGGACAGGATAGGATAGGATAGGATAGGATAGGATAGGATAGGATAGGATAGGATAGGATAGGATAGGATAGGATAGGTTGGGCAGTGATGGGAAAGGATGGATGGGAGGGGATGGGATGGGCAGTGATGGGAAAGGATGGATTGGATGGGATGGGAGGGGATGGGATGGGCAGTGATGGGAAAAGATGGATGGGATGGGATGGGATGGGATGGGATGGGCAGTGATGGGAAAGGATGGATTGGATGGGATGGGATGGGAGGGGATGGGATGGGCAGTGATGGGAAAGGTTGGATGAGATGGGATGGGCAGCAGTGGGAAAGGTTGGATGCAATGGGATGGGATGGGCAGCAGTGGGAAAGGTTGGATGCAATGGGATGGGCAGCAGTGGGAAAGGATGGATGGGATGGGATGGGATGGGATGAGATGGTTTGGGATGGAGCTGGCTGCACTGGGAGCACCGCCCGGGCTCACCCCTGTCTCCTGCAGTTACTATGGGCTGACCGTGTGGTTCCCGGACATGATCAAGCACCTGCAGAACATGGACTACGCCTCCCGCACCAAGCTCTTCACGCGCGAGAGGCTGCGGCACTTCACCTTCAACTTCACCCTCGAGAACCAGATCCACCGCGGCGGCGAGTACTTCAACGACAAGTGTGTCCTGGGGACCCTTCCCGCTGCTCCTGCCCCATCCCTGCTCATCCCAGCTCATCCCGGCTCATGCCGCCCCTTCCCGCCCCACCAGGTTCATCGGCCTGAAGATGAAGTCGGTGACGTTCGAGGACTCGCTCTTCGAAGAGTGCTACTTCGAGGACGTCACGTCCAGCAACACCTTCTTCAAGAACTGCACCTTCATCTCCACCATGTTCTACAACACGGGTCAGCGGGGCCAGGGCTGGAGATGGGCCCCAAAGGGGTGGAGATGGGATGGTCTCCAAACAGGGAGGTGGTGGAGATGGGAGTTGGGGTGAGGATGGTCCCCAAAGGCATGGAGATGGGATGGTTCCCAAAGCAGGAGGTGATGGAGATGGGAGTTGGGGTGAGGATGGTCCCCAAAGGCATGGAAATGCCACCAAGATGGTCCCCAAAGCAGGGGATGATGGAAATGGGAGTCAGGGTGAGGATGGTCCCCAAAGGGTTGGAGATGAGGGGATGCCACCAAGATGGTCCTCAAAGTGATGGAGATGGGATGGCTCCCAAAGAAGGAGGTGATGGAGATGGGAGTCGGGGTGAGGATGGTCCCTAAAGGGATGGAGATGGGGGTGATGCCACCATGATGGTCCCCAAAGCAGGGGAGTGATGGAGATGGGGGTCGGGATGAGGTTAGTCCCCAAACGGAAGGAGATGGGGGGGATGCCACCAAGATGGTCCCTAAAGTGAAGGAGATGAATTGGTCCTCAAAGCAGGGGGCGATGGAGAGGGGGGTGACACCACCACGATGGTCCCCAAAGTAAGGGTTGATGGAGATGGGGTTGGGTTAAGGATGGTCCCCAAAGGGATGGAGATGGTTCCCAAGTAGAGGGTGATGGAGATGGACCTGACCCCACCAAACCTTCTCCATGCCCACAGATCTCTTTGAGTACAAGTTCATCAACAGCCAGGTGGTGAACAGCACCTTTCTACACAACAAGGAGGGCTGCCAGCTCGACTTCAGCGACGACAACAACGCCTACATGATCTACTTCGTCAGCTTCCTGGGCACCCTGGCCGTCCTGCCCGGGAACATCGTCTCTGCCCTCCTCATGGACAAGATCGGCCGCCTTCGCATGCTGGGTGGGCATCAAGGATGCTGAGATCCATAGATCCCTAGAATGGGCTGGAAGGGACCTTGAAGCTCATCCAGCTCCAACCCAGGACACCTTCCACTAGAGCAGGTTGCTCCAAGCCCCATCCAACACTTCCAGGGTTGCCCAGAGAATGGTGAATGCTCAAGGCTTGGAGCAACCTGCTCTGCTGGAAGGTGTCTCTGCCTGGGGCAGGTCAAGATGGCCTTGAAGGTTCCTTCCAACCTACCCAATGGGTCTACGACCATGGTTTCCTATGAGTGAGGAGGATGCTTGTTCCCATTGCATGCCCCTGACGTGTCCCATGTCCTTTGCAGCCGGGTCCAGTGTCATGTCCTGCGTGAGCTGCTTCTTCCTGTCCTTTGGGAACAGTGAATCAGCCATGATCGCGCTGCTCTGCCTCTTCGGTGGCGTCAGCATCGCCTCTTGGAATGCCCTCGACGTGCTCACTGTGGAGCTCTACCCCTCCGATAAGAGGTGCGGGGCCTATGGGTGCTGGGGGTGAGGTTTTGGGTCCTGGGTGCAAGGTTTTGGGTGTTGGGCACAAGGTTTTGGGTGCTGGGTGCCAGATGTTGCCATGCTGGGGGTGAAGTTTCAGGTCCTGGGTGCCAGGTTCTGGGCATAAGGCTTTGGGTGTTGGGTACCAGATGTGTTGCTGGCTGCCAGAGGCATTGCTGCCTGCCAGATGTTGCCGTGCTGGCTGCCACATCTGGGTACCACATTCTGGCTGCGCTGCTGGGTACCATATCCCAGGTACCCCTGCCCCAGCGCGCTGGGCCTGGTGGGGACCTCACCTCCATGGGTGCCCCCTCACCACCATGGGTGCCATCCCAACACCCTGCCTCCCCGCAGGACGACGGCGTTTGGGTTCCTGAACGCTCTCTGCAAGCTGGCGGCCGTGCTGGGCATCAGCATCTTCACCTCCTTCGTGGGCATCACCAAGGCCGTGCCCATCCTCTTGGCCTCGGCTGCGCTTGCCCTCGGCAGCTCCTTGGCCCTCAAACTGCCTGAGACCCGGGGGCAAGTCCTGCAGTGATGGGGGGGGACCCCCCTAATCCTTCCCTTTACCTCTCCACCCCCCCCCCCCATTCCCAAATCCCAGCTCCCCTTCCGGGGGGATTAGTCTCGTTAGACACTGTGAAACGTCTTCTTGGAGCATTTGGGAACTTCATTTGCACTTGGACCCCCCCATATTCCTGACACCACACCCCCCCCCCCCCGATTTCCTCCCTTGGTGTCATCCCTCTGTGAATAGCTGCTCGCTCCTGGGGGGGCTGGGGGGACCCCAACATCCCTGGGAGGAGGAGGAGGACGAAGGCTCCATGCCTCAGTTTCCCCATCTGGAAGGGCAGGGGAAGGGGTCCCCATTGCACCCCCAAACCCAGCAGGATGGGGAACAGAAGGGGGGGTACTGCAGTTTGGGGGTGCACAATGCTTGGGGTGCACATCCCTTTGGGGCATGGAGCAATTTGGAGTGCAGTGACCCCCCCCCCCCCCAAATACAGCTCGGTTTGAGGGGTTGCAAGGGGGTCCCAGCTGTGTTTTGGGGTGCAGGGGGGTGCAGCCCCCTCAAACTGCCTTTATTTAGTGACTTTGAGCTCATTCTTAAAGGATGCTCCTGCTTTGGGGTGCTGATGGGGGGGTGCACCCTGGACCCCCTTCCCCCCCCCAGCACCCCTTTACCCCCAGCCCAAAGCACAAAGCCACCAGTGGTTTGCAAAGCACAAAGCGCCCCCCTAAATAACGGGGTACATGGGGGCCCCCCAAAAAAGTGGGGTACAGGGGGGCCCCTGTCGCTGTGCCCCCCCCAGCAGAGGATGGGAAGTGTTGGTCTATGCAAAAGCACTTTGGAAGCCCCCCCATCACGGGAAGCCCCCGACGATGTAGAGCAGCCCCCCCCAAGCAATCGTGTGCTTCATCGCCTCCTCCTCCTCCTCCTCCTTCCCCCCCGCCCCCATCCCTCGGTGTAGCTGGTCCTGGGGGGGCCCGACCCCCCCCAAGTTCTGTCCGTTCGCAGTTGTGCCGTGCTGTAGTTTTTAGATGTTTGTAAATTAATTAAAACAACGGAAAACCAACGGAAAAGTGCCCAAAATGACCCCAAATCCCCCCCCAAAATACTCCCAAAATGACCAAAATCCCCTCCAAATGACCTAAAACTCTTCAGATCTCCCCAAAATCCCTCCCAAGTGATCCAGAAGTCCCCAAATCCCTCTGAAAAGACCCCAAATCCTTTCCAAAAGACCCTAAATTCTCCCAAATGACCCCAAATCCCTCTGAAAAGGTCCCAAATGGCTCCAAAATGACCCCAAAGGCCCTAAATCCCCCCCCAAATGACCCTAAATCCTTTCCAAAAGTCCCTAAATTCTCCCAAAGGACCCCAAATCCCTTCCAAAACATCCCAAATGGATCCAAAATCCTTAAATCCCCCCCTAAAATGACCCCAAAACCTCTCCAAAACATCCTAATTTCTCCCAAAGGACCCCAAATCCCTCTGAAAAGGCCCCAAATGGCTCCAAAATGACCCCAAAGGCCCTAAATCCCCCCCCAAATGACCCTAAATCCTTTCCAAAAGTCCCTAAATTCTCCCAAATGACCCCAAATCCCTTCCAAAACACCCCAAATGGCTCCAAAACGACCCCAAAGTCCTTAAATCCCCCCCAAAAGACCCTAAATTCTCCCAAACGACCCCAATTCCCCCCCCCCCCCCCAAAAAGTTTACAATCCTCCCATACTGACCCAAAACTCCCCATATCCCCTCTGCAATGATGCTCCACCTTCCACTTCCCAGTTGCTCCCATGGGAGAGTTTATTTGTGTGTGTGTGTGTAGGGGGTGGGCTTCACCCCCCATTCCCAATCTGTTTCATGGGGGGAGCAATGGGGGGGGGGGGTGTCACGGGGACACCCCCAAACCCCCCTTACAGCTGCCCCCAGTGGGCTCGGTGCACGGAGGGGGGGGGTCCCCGTTACACGTGGGTTCACCACGGGGAACGGGGGGGTCCCTTTAGGGCTCCCCGGCGCCGTCCCCGCGCTGCTCGCGCTTGGAGCCCCCGAGGCACGGGGGCCGTGCGGGGACGCTGGGGTCGCTCTCCCATTGCTGCGGGGTGCGGGCCACAATGGCGAGGGCGTGGAGCGGTCCCGCGAGCTCGGCGCTGAGCGCGGCGTGCACCAGGCGGTGCCGCTGCAGCGGGGGGAGCCCCTCGAAGCGCCCGCTCACCACCACCACGGCCAAGTGCGTGCCGGCCCCCGCGGCCCCGCCGTGCCGGGGGCTCTCGTCCAGCACCTGCAGGTGCGAGGGCTCCAGCGCGGCCGCCAGCTTGGAGCGCACGGTGCGGGCCAGGGGACCCTCGGCCATGGCCGCCCCCCCAGCAGCCAGCAGCGAGCCCCGCATCCGGCAGCGCCTGCAATGGGGCGGGGGGGAGAAACAGATCCCAGTTATGGGGGGGCAGGAGGGGAGGATGGGGGTTGCCTGGGGGGGTTTAGGGGGCCCTTCGGGATCAGAGCCCAGTTACGGGGGGGCAGGAGGGGAGGATGGGGGTTGCTTAGGGGGGGTTTAGGGGGCCCTTCGGGATCAGAGCCCAGTTATGGGGGAGCAGGAGGGGAGGATGGGGGTTGCTTAGGGGGGGTTTAGGGGGCCCTTCGGGATCAGAGCCCAGTTACGGGGGGGCAGGAGGGGAGGATGGGGGTTGCTTAGGGGGGGTTTAGGGGGCCCTTCGGGATCAGAGCCCAGTTACGGGGGGGCAGGAGGGGAGGATGGGGGTTGCTTGGGGGGGTGAGGATCAAACCCCAATTATGGGGGGGGCAGGAGGGGAGGATGGGGGTTGCTTGGGAGGGGGTTAGGGGGCCCTTCGGGATCAGAGCCCAGTTATGGGGGGGCAGGAGGGGGGATGGGGGGTGCTTGGGGGGTGGATCCTTCAGGACCAGACCAGTTATGGAGGAGGCAAGAGGGGAAGATGGGGTTTGCTGGGGGGGAGGGTTTAGGGGGCCCTTCGGGATCAGAGCCCAGTTATGGGGGGGCAGGAGGGGGGATGGGGGCTGCTTGGGGGGGTGGATCCTTCAGGACCAGACCAGTTATGGAGGAGGCAAGAGGGGAAGATGGGGTTTGCTGGGGGGGGGGGGGTGAGGTTCAGATCCCAGTTGGGAGGGAGGGGCAGGAGAGGTGGTTACTTGGGGGGGAGAATCAGATCCCAGTTATAGGGGGGTCAGGAGGGGAGGATGGGGGTTGCTGGGGGGGGGGTGAGGATCAAACCCCAATTATGGGGGGGGCAGGAGGAGAGGATGGGGGTTACTTGGTGGGGGGATTTAGGGGGGCCCTTCAGGATCATACCTCAGTTATGGGGAGGAGGCAAGAGGGAAAGATGGGGGTTGCTGGGGGGTGAGGATCAGACCCCAGTTATGGGGGGGGGGCAGGAGGGGCCAAGGGGTTTGCTTGGGGGGAGGGTGGTGATGATGAGACCCCACTTACGGGGAAAGGAGGGGAACTGTGACTCGGGGCGGGGGGCTGTAGAACCAGGCCCCATTAGTGGGGGTGGGGGAGGAAGGGGTGCAGGAGGGTGCAAGGCCCGGCTTTGGGAAGTGGGGTGGGGAGCAAGAGGGGCCTGACCCCCCCAAACCCCATTTACCCCACACGGTGCCCCCCAAACCCCGTTTACCCCACACGGTGCCCCCCAAACCCCGTTTACCCCACACGGTGCTCCCCACCAAACCCCATTTACCCCACACGGTGCTCCCCAAACCCCATTTACCCCACACGGTGCCCCCCACCAAACCCCATTTACCCCACACGGTGCTCCCCAAACCCCGTTTACCCCACACGGTGCCCCCCACCAAACCCCGTTTACCCCACACGGTGCTCCCCAAACCCCGTTTACCCCACACGGTGCTCCCCAAACCCCATTTACCCCACACGGTGCCCCCCACCAAACCCCATTTACCCCACACGGTGCTCCCCAAACCCCATTTACCCCACACGGTGCCCCCCCGGCCCTCACCACGCACGACTCGGGCTCCACTCCGGCGCTGAGCACGCTGGGAAATGGAGTCACGCAGTCCCGCCCCCGTCACGTGACCGCGGCAGAACTACAGCTCCCAGGAGGCTTTGCGTCCGGCCCCCACAAACCCCGCCCCATTGCCGGGAGGCCACACCTTCCCCCTTCGGCCCCGCCTTTCTTCCCTATGATTGGCGGAGAGCTTCCCTCGGCCCGCCCCCTCATGCCCTTATATGGCGTGGCGGGTTGAATGAGAGCGGGGCGTGGGTATTGGCGCTACGGGATCGGGATCGGGATCGGGATCGGGATCGGGATCGGGATCGGGATCGGGATCGGGATCGGGATCGGGATCGGGATCGGGATCGGGATCGGGATCGGGATCGGGATCGGGATCGGGACCTCCCTCGTTCCTCCCCCCGGGGCCGGACCCTCCCCTCCGCCCCGAATGAACTTTTCTCCTCCTCCTCCTCCTCCCGCACTCCCTGCCCGTTCCCGACCCCGCTTTTCCCGTCCGTCTCCCCGGTATCCTGCCCAGCCCGGGGCTCCCCGCTCCATTCCCGGACCTCCTGCTCCTTTCCCGGACTCCCCTCTCTAGACTGGGAATCTTGTCTCACCCTTCTCCATACCGGAGCTCTTCCCTGCATCCCACATCCCCCGCTCCATCCCGGATAGTCCTCCCCATCCTTGGATCCCTTTCTCCATCCCGGGGATCCTCCCTGGATCCCGGATCACTCTCTCCATACCCGGACCCCATTCTTCACCCCCGGATCCCGCCTCCATCCCGGACCCCCTTCTCCATCCCCGGCTCCTCCCGCTCCACCCCGGACCTCTTCCACCATCTCGGAGCTCCCCACCTCCATCCTCGCTCCCCCTTCTCCATCCCCTGCCCATCCCGGGGCTCTCCTCTCCCTGTCGGGGCTCCCCCCCGTCCCCCAGCATGGCTTTGGCAGCGGGGCCGTGGCCGGAGCCTCCTCTTCCTCCCGCTCCTCCTCCTGCCCCCGGCGGCGGCGCGGGGCGGGCGGCGGGGCCGTGCCGGGTGTGCGGGGACCGGGCGAGCGGGAAGCACTACGGGCAGGTGACCTGCGAGGGCTGCAAGAGCTTCTTCAAGCGCTCGGTGCGGCGCAACCTCGCCTACAGCTGCCGGGGGGGCCGGGACTGCCCCGTGGAGCAGCCCCACCGCAACCAGTGCCAGTACTGCCGGCTCCGCAAGTGCCTCCGCGTGGGGATGCGGCGGGAAGGTGGGGCGACCGGAGGGGAGAGGGGTCGGGATGCGGCGGGAGAGGGAGAAGGGATGGGAAGGGTAAAAGGGTGGAGAGGAGATGGAGAAGGGATGGGAAAGGAGAGAGGGTGCAAAAGAAGAGGGTGGCAAATAAGGAAAGGGGACGGAAAAGGAGGAGAAGGGATGGAAAATAAGGATAGAGCATGGAAAAGGAGAGGGTGGAAAAGAAGGGGAGAGGGTGGAAAAGGAGAAGGGATGGAGAGGGGGTGGAAAAGGAGAAGGGATGGAGAGGGGGTCTAAAAGGAGAAGAAGAAATGGAAAAGGAGAGAGGGTGAAAAAGAGGGAGAAGGGATGGAAAAGAGGGTTACAGCATGGAAAAGGAGAGGGTGGGAGAGGAGAAGGGGTGGAGAAGGAGGAGAGAGGATGGAGAAGGGATGGGAAAGGAGAGAGGATGGAAAGGGAGGAGAGGGGATGGGAAAAGGAGAGAGGTGTAAAAAAAGGAGGGAATGGAAAAGGTGAAGGGATGCAAAAGGAGAAGGTGGAAAAGAGGGAGAAGGGATGGAAAAGAAGGATAGAGCATGGAAAAGGAGAGGGGATGGAAATGATGTGGTGGAAAAGAAGGGGAGAGAGAGGAAAAGCAAAAGCAGGGATGAAAAGGAGGAGGTGGAAAAGATAAAGGGATGGAAAAGAGTGGGTGCAAGAGAAGGATAGAGGGTGGAAAAGAGGGACAGAGGGTGGGAAAGCCAGCACAGAGGGGAGGTAAAACTAGGGGAGAGGCTGGAAAAGGCCGGGAGAGCAGGAGAGAGGAAAGTGAGAGTGGGAGGAAAAGGTGGGGAAGAGCCAAAGGGAGCAAAAGAATGAAAGGAAAGGGAAGAAAAAAAGAGGAGGAAAAAGAGGGAAAGTGAGAAGGAGAAGTGAGGGAGGGGATGCGAATGGTGTGGACAAAGGGAAAGAGCAAAGTGGGAGCGGGAGAGCTGGAAAGAGAAAGGAAAAGAGCAAGGAAAAGGGGAGAGAAAGGAAAAGAAAGTGAAAGCGGGTGGGAAAGGAAAGAGAAAGGGAAAAGGAGGAAAGAGAAAGGGAAAGCTCCTCTCCCTCTTCTCTTTCATTCCCCCTCCATTCTTTTCCCTCCCTGAGCCCCTCAGTTTGGGAAGAGAGCCCCAAATCCAGGGATCCATCCCTGAATCCCCCTGGCCCAGCCCCATCCTTCTGCTGTAGTTGTTGGCTTTTCCCATGGGAAAGGCTCTGCCACGGGAACCCGGCTATTCTCTCACCCAGTTATATCCTCTTTTCACTTTGAGCCCAGTTCGGGCTCGGGTTTTAGCTCTGGTCTATGCTGAGATGGGGTCAATTGACTTCTCCTCTCCATTAAATGTTAAAAAACTCGGGAATAATACAGATAATTCTTTAAAAGATTAAGAATTCCACTTTTTAGGAGCAGTATCGGTAAATCTGACCTAAATTAGTCCAAATACCTCACATAAAACCCCATTTCAAGCTTCCAGCGACATCCCTGTGCCTCCAACCAGCCCCAGCACCGCATATTGGGTTGATCTGATTGCGGGTTTAGCCCCAAAAGTAGGTTTTGGGGCAGTTTAAGCCCCAAATGGGGCATCGGGGCATCCTCAGCATCAAATCTCTGCCGTGCAGCATCCTCCCCGATTGAATATGGACCCGGCGGGGGGAGTCCTGGTTTCTCGTCAAGGTGCTTATTTATACACTCAGTGTTTAGAAAGGATTATAACAAGGGCTTAGGCTGGGTTTAGCTGCTTAAAGCAGGGATTTATCCTGCATCGGTGGCAATGGCACCCAGAAAAATCACCTTTTTTAGTATCCAAACCCAAAGAAAAAGGGCAAAAACCGACAAGTTTGTTGTTTTTTTTTTTTTTTTAAGCAATAAAAATAATAGCAAATAAATCAGAACAATTGGGATAAAGGGGAAAATTCCCACTGGGAGGAGGGGAATGGCCAGCCTGGCTCGCACAAATAAATGGGATTTAGGTGGGAGAAGCTCAGGGATCAAGTCAGCTCAAGCCTAACTCTCAGTTCTCCCTGTTTCTCCCCCAAAAGTCCAGTTGGATAGGTTTGGGGGGATTGGATTTTGGGAGCAAGACCCAGTCGTAGCAAACCTCTGCCTGCTTGGTGCAGCCGGAGCCAGGGATCAAATCCCAGGGATAAAAAGCCCCAGTCCAGGCAAATTCCCTGAAGGTTTTGGGGCTCGGGTTTGGGGGGTTATTTTGTTGTTGGTTTTCATCTTTAGTTCAGAATTGCCACAAGATGCTGGTTCCCCATGGGATCTGAAGGGAAGGGACCTGCCACGGCATTATTCCCGAGGCAGGGACCCTCATTCCCTGCATCCCTCTTAGCTCTGTTTTTGGGGGGCTCCCAGTTGTCCCCCGATGAAGCTGTTGGGTGAATGCTCCATGTGCCCATGTTCAAGCTTCCCATCCCCTTCACTGGGGCTGGCTGCTCCGTGCCTCAGTTTCCCCACCCGCTCAGGGATGCTCCAAACCCACCAGTTCATCACGATTCCCCTTATCCCGGCTTTTCCAGCTGGGAATCGGCACCGAATCTGGCACCAAATCCAGCACTGAAAACTCAGGAGCAGTGTGCTGCTCTGGAGCATTGGGGTGGTGTAAAAGGGGTTCAAGGGTGACGCAAAGGGGGGTCACGGTGATGTAAAAGGTGCTCAGGGTGATGCAAAGGGGTTTGGGGCATTGCAAAGGGGGTTTAGGGGTGCAAAGGGGGGGTGAGGAGAGGGTGCTGCTGAGCAAAGAGAGCATTTGGGGGGAGTCTGGGGCTGCACGTCGAGGTTTGATGACAGCAGCCCCCGACCCCCCGATTCCACGAGATCCCAACCCTGCAGGAGCTCCATTCCCTGGGGACCCCCATTCCCGAGTCCTATCGCTGGTGACACTGGGACCATCGCGCTGCATTAGGCTATGCCAGGCTCAGGGCCAGGAAGAGGAAGAGGAAGAGAAGGTGGCCGAGGCCCCCCTTCCCACAAGAAAAACCAACAACAATCCAATTGGGGTGGGAGTTAACCCCATAGTGGGAAATCTCAAGGGATGGGACCTGAAGGGGAGCTCCTTCCCCCCCCTCCTCCCCAGCATCTCTGTGGGTACCCTCATTAGCACCAGCAAGGGGGGGGTTGGACAGACCCCAGATGCGATGTGCCTGTGGGAGCTGGTGGAGCAAGGGCATCACACGGAGTAGGGGGGGCTGTCCCCATCCTGGGAGGCACATCCCCTGCTCTAACGGGCCGAGGCACCCCAAGGGACCCCTTTAGCCCGCACCCGGGGCGCACACAGGGACACGCAGGGGTGTTGGCACGGGGGGTGCTGACCTCCTGCTCCTCTCCGCAGCGGTGCAGCGGGGCCGCGTGGCTCAAGGTCCCCCCAGCCCCGGGCAGTGCCCTGCGCTCCCCGGGGACCCCTACGGTGGCCGCGGCTGCTTGAGCGGCTTCATCTCGGTGCTGCTCCGAGCCGAACCGTACCCGCCGGCTCGCTACGGCGCCCAAGCCCTGCACCCCGGCGTCCTGGTGGGCATCGAGAGCATCTGCGAGCTGGCGGCGCGGCTCCTGTTCAGCGCCGTGGAGTGGGCCAAGGGCATCGTCCCCTTCTTCCCGGAGCTGCCGCTCTCGGACCAAGTGGCGCTGCTGCGGCTGGGCTGGAGCGAGCTCTTCGTGCTGAACGCGGCGCAGGCGGCGCTGCCCGTGCACGCCGCGCCGGTGCTGGCGGCCGCCGGGCTCCACGGCGCTCCCGTGGGCGCTGACCGCGTGGTGGCCTTCATGGACCACGTCCGGCTCTTCCAGGAGCAGGTGGAGAAGCTGAGGGTGCTGCAGGCGGATGCCGCCGAGTTCGCCTGCCTCAAGGCTGTGGCCCTCTTCAGCCCCGGTGAGGGAGGCGGGGCTTAAAGGGGTGTGGTTCTGTGGGTGGGGCTTGGTGGGGTTGGGTACCAAGGGGGTGGGTGCTTGGGTCCGATGGGTGTCGATGGGTGTGCAGGCAATGAATGGGCTGGGGATGGGGGGGGCGTGGGGCTCAATGGGAAGTGGGAAGGGGGGGCAGGCATCAATGGGTGTGCAAGGGATGAATGGGCTGGGGATGCGTGGGCGCGGGAAAACGGGGCGTGGTTTAAAGGGGTGGGGTTTAAATGGGTGGAGTCAAACGGGGGGGGCTCCAAGGAGCTTAATGGGGAAAGAGGGGGGATGTCAAGGGGGGAGCATCAATGGGTGCAGAGGGGATGAATGGGATGGGGGTGGGTGGGTGCGGCTCCATGGGGCGGAGGTTTAAGTGGGGGGGGGGGGCAAGGAGGGCGGAGCTTAACGGGGTGGGGTCCCAATGGGACCGAATGGGCGGGGTTTAACGGGGCGGGGCTCGGCGGGGCCGTGCCTCAGTTTCCCCCGCGCAGACGCGGCGGGGCTGTCGCAGCCGGGGCGCGTGGCCGGGCTGCAGGAGCAGGCGCAGGTCGCGCTGCAGGAGCACGTGCGGCGGCAGCACCCGGCCCAGCCCGGCCGCTTCGGGCGCCTGCTCCTGCGCCTGCCCGCGCTGCGCAGCGTCCCCGCGCCCGGCATCCAGCGGCTCTTCTTCAGCCGCCTGGTTGGGGAGACCCCCATCGAGACCCTCATCCGCGACATGCTGCTGGCCGGGGCCAGCCTCAGCTGGCCCCATGGAGCCATGCAGTGATCCCAGCCCTGCCGTGGGATGGGGAGCCCAAAGATGGGGACAGCGAGGATGGGACCTCAAGGATGGGATCCTAAAGATGGAGGCATCAAAGGTGGGGACAGCAAGGATGGGACCTCAGGGATGGGAGCCCAAAGATGGGGGCATCAAAGATGGGGACAGCAAGGATGGGAGCCCAAAGATGGGGCACCAAAGATGGGGACAGCAAGGATGGGACCTCAAGGATGGGGGCCCAAAGATGGGGCACCAAAGATGGGGACAGCAAGGATGGGACCTCAGGGATGGGAGCCCAAAGATGGGGCACCAAAGATGGGGACAGCAAGGATGGGACCTCAAGGATGGAAGCCCAGTCATGGGGACACCAAAGATGGGGACAGCACGGATGGGACCTCAAGGATGGGATCCTAAAGAGGAGGGCAGCAAGGATGGAGGACACCAAGGATGTGACCTCAAGGATGGAAGCCCAAAGATGGGGACACCAAAGATTGGAACCCAGTGCTGAGACTCCAAAAATGATGGAACCTCGACAAGGGGATCCCAAAGATGGAACAGCGAGGACTGGACCCCAACGATGGGACTACACAGATGGGGACACCAAGGCTGGGACCTCAATGATGGGATCCCAAAGATGGGGACATCAAGGATTGGAGCTCAGTGATGGGACCCCAATATGGGGTGACAAAGGATGGTGTTCTGGGGTCCTGATGTAGAGTTTTGAGTGTGAGATCCCATCAGTTCTGCTTGGAATTCTTTATACATTTGATTTCTTAATTTATTTGTATTTTTAAAAATTTTTTACTGACATTTTTACACTTTTTATTTTGATTTAACATTTGAATTTAAATTTATTTTTGTTTAGTTTTCATTCCTTTTTAATTTTTATTTTTAAAATTTTATTTTATATTCCCTTTTTAATTTTAAAGTATATAAATTTTTAATTTAAATTTATTTATTTATTTATTTCTAATTGTAAAGGTTTCTACTTTTTTTATTTGATTTTTTATTTTCTACTTCAGTTACAAATTAAGTTTGCATTTTCCTGTTTGATGTTACTTTTATTTATTTGTTTTTATTTTTATGTTATTGTTTCTGTTTTAAAGGGTTTTTATATTTTTATTTTGTTTTTATTTTTAATTAATTTTTATTTTTTCTTTAAAGTTTTTACATTTTTCATTTTCTTTTTTATTTCATTTCAATTTTTATTCTGATATTTCTGATTTCATGGTTTTATTTTATTCTTTTTAGTTTTTTTAATTTAATTTTAAATTTTTAGGTTTTAATTTTCTTTTTTAATTTTTCAGGTATTTATTTTAAATTTCAAGGGGTTTCCTAATTTATTTTATTTTGGGAGGTAAAAAAAAATCGAATTTGACCAATTCCACACTTTGTTTTGGTTGTTTTTTTCCTTGCTTGGGGCTGGAATTGGCAGGAATTGGGGCTGGAATTGGCAGGAAATGCCGGTGTCGAGCCCTGGGGCCTCCATCCATGTCCCCCCCGTGTGCACTCAGCACTGTGCATGTGTGCACGTGTACATGGATGTACACGCAAGCATCCACGTGCGGGTGCACACATGTGTGCAGGGTGGGAATGGTTCACTCGGGGATTTATTGGGTCCCATTCCCTGTGTCTTTTTCCCATCCTTAGGTCCTCAGCCCTTCCCTAATCCCATCCTCATCCTCCTCCACATCCCTAATTCTCATCCAGCCCCAGCCCCACCCTTATCTCTTTTTCTGTTCCTATCCTCGTCCCAATCCCACCCCCATTCCTGTCCCTTATCCTATCCCCATCCCAACCAATGCAAGCACGAAGGGCACAATCCTGTTTATGTGCTGGCAGGGATGGGCTGACGATGGCAGAATTGGGATGGAGAGACCGTGGTCGGGAGCAGTGGGATGATGTTGTAGTGAGGCTGGATTTGGGGCCCAGCCCTTATAGTAGACAGCAGAGAATCCACCTGGACACAACGCCTGGGGCCTCCTGCCCCAGGCTCTCACCCCTCAGAGGAGCCCAGGGGGGGTTTCCAGCAACCTTAATTCCATCAACCCCTTGGTCCATCCCTGCTGGCTCCTGCATCTGCAGGCCTGGTATCAGGCCAGCCCCTTCCATGCCTATTTCCCCACCAGCTCTGGCTGGGAAAAGCCAGATAATAGGGAGGGAAAAAGGGGATGGGAGTGAAAATGAGAGGTCCTGGCATGGGATGGGATGTTCCACGGCACCGGTGTGTCCTCGCGGATGCGCCAAGGGTATCCATCAATCTGGAACAGCGCAGCTGCCCCTTCCCGTAAATGCTTCTTAATTCCTGCCAAATCACTGCACAATTCCAGGACATGGAAATCAAATGACTCCATTGCCATGGACATTTATTGCCTCTGGGGAGTGACAGGATGAAGAATCACTTGCTGCTGATTGGAAAGGGCCATGGGGAGCATTCCAGAAGGACAGAGCTGGCACCGAGATGTCCATCCCAAGGCCTGGCAGGTGGGACACTGGGGACAATGTGGAATGGATGGGATGCTGATGCCGGCACTGTGGATGGGACAATGATGTCCCCTGCCTTTGGCCATCCCCAATCCACATGGATCATCTGTGGCTAATAAAACCAGTGCTAGGGCTAAGAAATCCATCATGGATACAGCATGTGAGGTTAACATCCAAGAAATCAGCCCTTCATCCTGGCTTTTATCCCCGTGCTGGGAGGGTAGCATGCACTGGGATGTCCATACCCATTCCCACAGGACCTTATTCTGTTTTTTTCCCCTCATCATGGCTTGGGCTGTTCCTCTCCATGGTGCAGGGGGGAGATGGGGATCAGTCGTGAAAGGGATGGAGAGAAGGAGGGATGGACAGACACGGCATCCCAGGAAAACCAGGACATTCCAGGTGCTTCTGCAGCCTGCCTGGACCCCCTTCAGCTCAGCTACGGATGAGATTCCCCACTGGAAACTTATTCCAAGTCCTTCCCAGATAAAAACCCATCCGGCCCACTCGCTTCAACCCTCCTGGTCCCGACCCCGGGAACAGGGATGGAGCCCGGAGAGGCAGCCAACAGTGAGATGTGGCATTCCCTGGCTGGGAAACCATTCCTAAGGGGGGATAAAGAGGGCTATTGGACACCCGGCTGCAGCGTGGCTCTTGCACGGGCAGGGAAAGGTCAGGCCCTGGCTGGTTCGCTATCGTTAGCGAAGGCCAATTCAATCACAGCGCTGGTGGATGAATCACTGCGGGCAGAGCAGGCTCTTCCCTCCCTCCCCGCCTCAAAGGTTGACAGATTCCAGGCTTCCGGCCACTTTGCCAGATCCTAAAGGACGCGGTAAATCAGCGGCGCGCTGCCCATCCATCAGCCTGACAGCCTGAGGAGCAGGGGCACCGCTGCGAAAGGGCAAGGGCTGAGCGGGAATGGCAGCGGGATGGACAGGCTGGGAAGTGTCAGGGGTGAGCTAAGAGGAATGGAGTAGCCTCAAACCCAGCCCTTGGTGCATCCAGATCGTGCCTGAAGCTGCTTCTCCCATCCCGATGGGATGCTGGTACCAGGGGAATCCATGGGAATCAAAGCCACGGTTCCAAACTGGGGTCCAGTGGGGAAAAGAGAGTTCCTGCCCATCCCGGATGCTCCAGGCTCCTGCTGTCACCCCGTGATTGGATGTGGATGGGACATCGAATACGGGGGTGGATTCGGCAGAGCTGAGGAAAACTGAGGAGCAAATCACACAAAGCAGGATGGAGCCCACCCATGGGGAGACAAGAAGGATGGAGCTGGACAAGGGGAATCTTTTCTTCCCTTTTTATTCCCTCCCTGCTTTTCTCCTTGTTTTTAATCTCAATCTAATAAAAAGGGGGGTGGGGGGTGGGAGATAAGAGCTGCCAGGGCCAATTATTCCCATTATTCCCATTCATTATTCCCAGGAATCTCTCACCCTCACTTCCCCTCAAACACTGGCAAAAGAGATGAGGGAGGGGATGGATATTAAGGGAAAAGCTTTGGTGGAAACCAAAGTTGGATCCTTCACACAACCCCATCCCCACTGTGGGGGGCCCTGGGCTGGATGAGACCACCCTGGGGTGATGGGGTGGGTTTGGGATGTGGCTTTGGGTACCTCCATGTCCTTGGGTGTTCCCACTTGGAAGTGGGATGCTCTGGCTCTGTGCTGGGTGCTGCTGGGGATGTGCCTCAGTTCCCCCAACTCTGTACAGAGGCAAAATTCCCTGTAACCCTCGAAAGGGAAAAGCAGGAGCAGCCCCAGGAGCCAGGATCCCCCAGGATAAAGAGGGAAGGGTTTAACCCCACATTCCTTTGGGGACCCATTAAAGCAGGATGGATTCAGGAGTGGATTTGGGGAATATTGTCCCATGGCAGCTCCTGGATGCGGCCCCAGCACAGGAGAGTTTGAGCCCTTCCTCCACCCGGATGCATGGCTGGATCCAGGAGATGGAGGGATGGAGGGATAACTCTATCCCTGAGCGCCCATTGGATCCCACATCCTGGAGCAGCATTAAAACACCATTGCCACATCTCTGCTTTCCACCACCTGCTCCTCCCATTACTTGGGTTTTCTCTCCCTTCCCATCACTGTTTTGGTGATTCCAGCCCAGCCTTTCCCACCAGGAAACATCAGGATAACTCATGGGATTCAGGTAATTCAGATCATTGCAGCTGCAAATCCGCTTCCTCATTCCCTTCTTTTGTGCTCCCTTTGATTTAAACCCAGGAGGGTTAAATCCATCTTTTGCTCCTGTTTACAAATCCCGAAGTAACCTTTATCAGAAGCCATATTATAGGAAATCTATCCAATTCCTACAATATAAGGACAGGGATACGTCACATCGACGGGCTCGGAATGTACAATGAGCAGCTTTGGATCGGAGCGGGATGTTGAGCTCACACATGGAGATGAACACTCCCCTTCAGAGGAGATTCCTGCCCTGTGGAATGAAGGAAGAAATGGTATCCTAAATTGAATGAATAAATAGGAATGAAATACCCCCTCATTGCTTTTAGCTCCCAAGCTCGTTGCTCTAAAGAGGAAATTTGGTTTGAATTTCCATGTTTAGTTCCCCCCCCCAGATTCCAAGTTTTTCCAAGGGGAAAAACTCCAGGCAACAACGTCATCCCAAATCCAAACTTTCCAAGGGTTTGGATCCTTGGATCCTTTCTCCTCTATCCCTCAGCATCCCGGTGTTCATCCTGCTTCCCTCCCTCTGGCTGCTTTTGGCACCAGCTCAATACCGCCTTCCCAAATCCCATTTTCCAAGCCTTCATCCCGTTTTCCTGCCGGCATTTGCTTCGTGGGCATTGGATAATGTATTTTTTTAATGGAAGACTCGGCTGCACTAAAAAGATCTCTCGCAGGGATAAAACCAAGGAGATGGAAAACCGACGGGAGCTAACCTCAAGGGAACAGGAGAACAAGGGCTGATGCGGTGGGAGGAGGCTTTCCCAATTGGAACAGAAGGCTGTCCCCGCTTGCTTCTGTTTTCCATGTAATCCTTATTTTTGTAAGGCAGAGGGATCATCCTGGCTGGAAAACTTCCTTGGATAATACCAATCGGGGCGGGGGGGGGGGTCCTTTGCCATGGAAGGGGCAGGCAGGGACAGGCAGGAACAGGCAGCAGCAGGCAGGGCCACAGGCAAAGCGCTGCTGCCACCTCGCGTTGCCGCGGTCCTCGCGTCCCCAGAGATCCCAGATGCACGATCCCAGTATCCCAGATGCAGGAATCCCGGTATCCCGAATGTACGATCTCCAGCATCCCACACGCACAGCTCTCAGTATCCCAAATGCAAGATCCCAGCATCCCACATGCACGACCTATGGCAGTGGATACCTCCCAGTCCCCCTGGGAAGCAGTGGCCGCATCCAGCTCCCAGCTTTCCTTTAGCTTCCCCACCAGCAGCTGCTTATCCCAGCGCAGGAACCTGGAGCTTCTCTGGGAGCATGGGATGCATCTCGGGAGCATCTTGGAGCTGTGTCCAGGCGAGGGCAGGGGAGCAGGATGGGGGCTTCCTTATGAGAGATGCCAGTTCCACATGGAAACAGCCTCGGGCTGCACCAGGGGAGGTTTAGGTTGGATACTGGAAAGTTTCTCCACCTAAAGGGTGCTCAGGCACCAGAACAGGCTGCCATCGGAATGGTGGCATCACCATCCCTGGAAGTGTTCCCAAACCATGTAGACGAAGCCCTCAGTGCCATGGGTTAGTGGTGGGGAATGGCTGGACTGGATGAGCTTCAAGGTCTTTTCCAACCTCATTCCATGATTCTACGGATGTCCCATGGAGAAGCCCACGGGACTTGGGTTGCACTTCAAGCAGGGTGGCTTCTTCTCAAGATCTCTCTCCAGAGGTAGCACCACAATTCCTGGTCCTCCTGGTATCCATCCTTCTCTTTGAGCTCCTGAGAGAGGGAATTCTCTGGGCTGCAGGAACCTGGAGGAAGTTTCACCTCCATCGGGTTTCCCATCTCCCTCCTCATGGAGCAGTTGCCATCCCACACACGCTTTGGGAAGCCTCTGGCTCTCCCTCCCTTCTCCCTTCCCCACTGGAATCCGCCTTTCGGGATTACTGGCTATTTTTAAAGCCTTCGCCCCTCTCCTGACGGACCGGGCTGGCCGGGAGCTCAGCTGTTTGCTGCTCCCTCCGCACCAAACCCAGGGTGTGACTCCCTCCTTGCTCCTGCCTGGAGCCAAACCTGTGCCAGGAACCAGGAATTGCATCCGGAGAGTCTGGGGGCTCATCCAGTGGGATTTGCTGGGGTAAGTGGAGCACCTTGGAGGGAGGGATGGGGGGTTTATGCCAAACAATGTGGAAAGAAGGGTGGGTGCTTTGGAATGGAGCAGGCACCGGAGAACAGCAGGATCCTCTCTTCCATCTCTCTGGAAAACCCTGCCTTCCCCAGCCTGCTCTTCCCATCCCAGTCCTGGCCCTGCAACTCCCGTGGGATGCTGTCTGCCACACCATGCTCTAAGGAGCATAGGGATGACACTTCCAGGCTCCAGCCTCAGGAGCCTGACTCATCCTGCTCGCACAGGGATGCTCAGGAAAGGCTGGTGGTGCTCTTCCTGATGAGACCAGTGTTTGGGGTGGCAGATGGGTTTGATCTGATCCCTCTTTAGATGCATTTTGCTTCTTCCCATGGGACATTCCAGTGGGAAACCCATGGGAGTGCACCAGGGCTCCTGGCTGCAGACATGGAATCAGCCAGCTTAGGATCATCCAGTTCTCCATTGAGGATAACGTGGGTATGATGATGCCAGCATTTGCTGACCCAAATGCTTTGGGCCTCCTACACCTCCTGCTGATGAAGAAGTTGGCTTTCGGATGCGGATTGATCATGGATGCTCTTGTCTTGGTACCAGGATCCGTGTTTCATGGACCCAGGGATGTGCATCTGTAACACTGATTCCAGGGGCATCCCAAAACCGTGGTGTCTCTAAGTGGAAATATCCCCTTCCCTTATCCTAATGGAGCTGGGGGGGGGGATACCGAGAGGCCACTGCTCTCACTGAGCCCACATGGTCCTGTCGGCTCTTCCCAAAGAATTCCCACCTGCCCACCCCACATGTAAGTGATTCCCTCCGGCAGCAGATGGGAATGATCCCAGGAACCCCAGGCACGGGCAAGGACCTCGGGGGCCCGCGCCCGAGATGGGTGCTGTGTTTTAAACAAGATGTTTTCCACTCCCGGGTTATTCCCTGTTACCGGGTAACACATTCCCGGAGCACAAATACGGGGCACGGAAAAGAGCTGCAAAGGCTTTTGCACCCCCTGGAGCAGGACAAGCAGGCATCTAAAACCCCCCCTCCTCCGGCAGCTGCTGATGTAAATCCCAGCTGGGATTCGAAGCCAGGCTGGGATTTAGCCTTTGTTTTTCATTGCTGTACCCATTGCTCCCAAGGAAGATGTGCTACTCCTCAGCCAGCAGCTCCAGTGCCCAAAGGGGCTGCAGGAAACCTGGAGAGGGGCTTTGGACAAGGGCCTGTAGGGACAGGACAGCCAGAAGTGCCATGGATCCTCAATGGATCAAAAAGTCCATTTCCCTGCAGGAATGCAGCCGGGCTCTTGGGAAGCCAATGGGCACGTCCGGGTGTCCATTGACCCCTGGGGCCACCTTTGGCCAGTGCTGTGTTTGTGTGCAGGCCTCTGGATAAGTGTTCCCTGTGGGGTAACATCCCATAGAGAAAAGCACAGCACTTCGCCAGCCTCATTCACCCCATAGGGGTGCACGTGGAGGGTGGCAAGGAAGGAAAAGAGCCAAGGAGTGGTGTGATCCCAGGAGCCCACCTCTTCCATGGGCGCCCACCTCTTCCATGGGCTCCCCCCTTTGCCACTGGCCGTGTCCCTCCTCCTGCTGCTCTTGGCTGGGTTTGAGCCTGGCTAAATTTAGGTGGATCTATTTCAACACCATCCCCTGCCCTGCGGGGGGACAGGGACAGAGCAAAGGTGGCTGCAGAGGGAAGAGCCGGGAGCGCCGTGCCCTGCGCTGGGAGCTGCTTCCCACACCAGCACCCTGGGGTTTATCCGGATCCGAGGCCATGGAGGTGCCCGGGATTGAGGGTGCCGTTTCCCCATGGACCAACCTGGCTGTCGCTTGGGGTAGAGCTGGGTGACGAGGACAAGCCCGTGTGTCCCGCTGGGAGCTGGGTCATCTCCGGAGCAGGCTGATGCTGGTGAGTGGGGCAGGGCTGGGGGAATGAGGAGCGGGATGTTGGGGTGCTCCAGGTCCCACGTGGCTCCAAACCGAGAGAGCCCTGCTTGGCCCAGCAGGAATCATCCCCCTCCCTTCACAGCTGCTTCCAGAGCATCTCCAACCCCTCTCCAGCCCCATTGGGATGGGGGCATCCCAAAGAGAGGCCCGTGGCAGGGCCTGGCCAGAGCCACGTTTCTCTGCTCCACAGTGACCATCCCTTTATCTATCTGTGAAGCCCAAGGACAGGTCCCCTCTGTGCCACCCCCTTTTGAGGAGACACCAGACCCTATGAGCTCCAAGATACACAGGGTCAGAGCTGGTGGGACACAGGCACCAGGCACCTGAGGAGGATTGGAGCACGCACTCAGTGCCTGCTGGTACCTTGTACCACGAGCTCTGGGTCTCACGTCCTCATGTCCCCATTGTCCCCTTCCAGCACAGCTTTGTCATCGCTGCCACAGCATCGCCAGTGGGTCTGAAGCGTGTTCTCCCCCTGGATACCTGCCCCACGAGCCACGGATCCAGCTGGCAGGGATGGCTCTGTCCCTGCGCCAGCCACAACAACCAGCAGCAGAGGCAAAGGGAGCTGAAAGATGCCAAATGGAGCTGCTGGGACTGAGATTGGGGGAGCAGGATGAGATTTCCAGCTCTTTTCCCTGTCCCAGTTATGGTTTACGCTCTGGAGCAGTGGCAGTGGCAGCAGGATGGGCTCCTTGAGCTGCCTGGGGTACCAGGGTCCATCTCCATGGATGTGATGTAAGAGGCTCATCTCACACAAGCTGAGGGGGAGGAAAAGATCAAGCTATCCTGATTTCCACGGCAGGGGCTGGACCTGGATGAGCTTTAAGGTCCCTTCAACCCAAACCATTCCAGGATTCCATAAATTTGGCTTTTCCACTCTTGTCCCCATGCTCCAAACCCTCATTTTGGTGGCGACAGCACCAGGCCTGATGCAGCCCCTCTTTCATCTCACAACGTTTGGGTTCTCCACATTCCTCAGCTCCTCACATCCCTGCTGTGACATCCCTGGAGCTCACAGATCCTCTCCATGGAAGCTGTGACCTCCTGACACGCTGCCTTGGGATGCAGGATGCGAGCTGCAGGGCTTGGAAGCAGTCACAACCCCAAATCCATGGGGATTTTGGTACCTCCAGCAACTCCCATCAGATCCCACCTCCCCTTTGCTTCCAGGGGCTGTGCTGAATGAAGGGGACACAAGGCAGAGGGTGAGCACCCCCCGGGCTCTGCATGGATTGGAATGGGGAAACCTGCCTGCAGTAAGAGCCCAGGGCAACGGGAGCATCCCGGCTTCTTCCTCCGAGCGCTCTTCCTCCTCCTCTTCTGCAGGCATGGTAAGGAACTGCATGGACAGAGCCATAGGTACCCACAGGAGCATCAGGGGGGTAACTGGAAGCTGACTGGAGGGAGTGGAAGATGCTCTCATTGCAGGAAACTTGGGCAGGATCCGAGTGCCCAGAGGGAAGCATCCCCACCAGCATCACCCAGGGAATTCTCCATCCCCCTGCTCTCCCGCAGAGGTGTTTTCCCTTTTCCCTCTATTATCTCCCAAGACAAACCAGGGAGCAGCCACATTCCAAGGTCTCCTAGTGACAAGCACGAGCCGTATCCATCCCTCCATCCCTCGCTTTCCTTCCTGCATCCCAGGGGCTGTGCTATGGGTGAGCTCACCTTGCCCTGCCCATTCTGCATTCCCCTATGGATAGGGCAGCTGTTCCTAAATGACACCTATTGGGATGAGCTCGTCAGCTCTCCTGGAGCTGTGGTACCTGGCACTCCCTTCTGCAGCATGGAGGCAGCACGAGCGAGGGGCAGGATGTCCTCAGTGCAGCCGAGCAGCTCACTCGATGCAACCGCACATCCTGGCCAAGGCTAAAATGGGAAGAAGGGGTTTCCCCAGCTCAGACATTCCCGTTTGTCCCCTGGGAAGCCCCGGGGTAAAGAATCCCTCTTGGAGCCACGTCCCGGGGCCACAGGCGTAGCTCGTGCTCTGGCACCCGGCCGCGCTCATGTCCCGGGTACCATCCAACTGGATACAGGACTCCCAGTGACTTTCCTGCAGCAGGAAAACCGGGATTTATTCCCTTGCAGCATCATCCAAACGGGCCATGGAGCTAACTACAACAGATTCAGGGCACCCTAATGACTTCCCTCTGCTGGCTTCCTGCAGCAGGAAAACCGGGATTCATTCCCAGGCATCATTCAAACAGCCCACAGGCTTAGTTCCAGCGGGGAGATATGGAAGCGCTTCCGTCACGAGATGCTGGGAGGGGAAGGGGCTGCCCTTTCCCACCTTCACACTGCATCCCGTGCCTTCCAGTGTCCTCCCAGTGCAAGATCCTGCGCTGCAACTCGGAGTACGTGGCGGCCACGCTGAACCTGCGCGGCGCCGACCGCAGCGCCGGCTACTGCGATGCCCTGCGCTCCTACTCACGCTGCACCCGCAGGACGGCGCGCACGTGCCGCGGGGACCTGGCCTATCACTCTGCTGTGCACGGCATCGAGGACCTCATGATCCACAACAACTGTTCCAAAGAAGGTCCCACATCCCCGCCCCGGCCCCGGTCCCCTCCCAACCACCAGGGCTTGGAGCCTCTCGCTATGTGTGACTACGAGAAGAGCTTTGTCTACAAGCACGGCCAAGCGCCCAGCTACCAGCACTGCGCCGCCTTCGGGGACCCCCACATCCGCACGTTCCATGATGACTTCCACACGTGCCGGGTGGAGGGCTCCTGGCCCCTCCTGGACAACGAGTACCTGTTTGTGCAAGCAACCAGCTCACCAGTGGCCAAGGGCTCCAACGCAACGGTCACCAGCAAGGTAACGCTTGGGGATGCTTGGGGATGGTGGGGATGCAGGAAGGGCTTAGGGTGCTCCCTACACCCTCTAAAGTGGCTGGAGGGCAGGTTAACCCACATGGGAGCAGCAACGAGGGTCTGCATGAAGGACTGGGATGAAGGTCCTTGAGCAGACATTCCCCATGGAGCTGGATGAGCTTTAAGGTCCCTTCTGACCCAAAGCATCCTATGAGTAGCAGGAAACACTGAAACAGGTTGCCCAGAGGAGATGTGGTTGCTCCATCAAGGCCAAGGTTGGATGGGGCTTGGAACAACCTGGTCTAGTAGTGGCTTTAGATGACCTTTAAGGCCCTTTCCAACCCAAACCACTCTGTTATTCCATGAGTGCCGTTTTCCCCAAGGGACTGTGCCAGTGGGGGAAAGCTGGATGAGGGATGGGGCCAAGACCAGCAAGATGAACCCCACTGCGATACGCTCTCTTGCAGCTCACCATCATATTCAAGAACATGAAGGAGTGCATCGACCAGAAGGTCTACCAGGCGGAGATAGACAACCTCCCCGCTGCCTTTGAGGACGGCTCGGTGAACGGCGGCGAGAGGCCGGGCGGGAGCAGCCTGGCCATCCGGGAGCGCAGCGCCGGGCGGCACGTGGAGATCCGCGCACAATACATCGGCACCACCATCGCGGTGCGCCAGGCCGGCCGCCAGCTCTCCTTCTCCATCCGGGCGGCCGAGGAGGTGGCACGAGCCTTCACGGAGGAGCAGGACCTGCAGCTCTGCGTCACCGGGTGCCCCCGCAGCCAGCGCATCTCCCGCTCCGAGTGCTGCCGGGGACTGGCGGCGGCCGACGTGGCACGAGCCTTGTGCAAGGAGATGCTGCCCGTGGAGGACGTCTACTTCCAGTCGTGTGTGTTTGATGTGGTGACCTCTGGCGATGCCAACTTCACCATGGCGGCCCATGGAGCGCTGGAGGATGCCAGGGTCTTCCTTCCCAACGCGGAGAAGCTGCACATCTTCCAGGCTGGGGCAGGCTGCCCGCGGGTGTCTTCTTCTTCCTTCCTCCTCCTCCTCCTCACCTCTGGTCTCTGGGTTGTTCTGTTGCACTTTTAGCTCCGGGTGGCGTTGTGTACAACTCAGGGGACATATCCAGCCCTTCCACCAGCCTGCCCATAGGGGTAACAGGTGCTGGCTCCAGACCCGTGCCTTGCAGATGGAGATCATCTCAGATCAAGCGCTTCCATGGCAAGAAGGAATCAGAGGCCTTTGGAGTGAGGCACCGGTTGCACTGACTGAACCCAGTTCCTCTCCTGAAGGCAGATCTGCTCTTGGGTTCCTTTTCCTAGCGGAGACATTGCAGCCATAGCAAAGAAGAGGTACCCAGGATGAAAACCTCTCTGACCCTCAAAGCTTTCCCATAGACTTGCACTTCTCCACTGTTCCTACAGCAGACTTTACCCAGGAACCCAACAGATCCAGGAATAATGAGCTCAAAGCCCAGTTTTAAGCAGTCAAAACTTGTTTGGTGGATCTGGGCCACTTTATCAGCTGCTCCCAAAGCGATGCTGGAGCAGAGCAAGGCAATGAGTGGGTGAGTGGAGCGTTGAGATTTTGGAGCTGTGAATCAACCGTTTCGGGCTGTATCCTCCTCTCTTGGGATCAGCAGCATGCTGGTTTCCAGCGCTGGGAGCTGCAGGGTATCAGGTCTCTGACCTTTCAGGCCATTTGCTATTGCCCCTTCTTGCCTTGGCACTCGATGTATCCAGTCCTGGACTTTGGACCAGCGCTGAGTTCCAGGGAGGAAAAACACCCCTTGGTGTCCCTCTCCCTTGGGATTCCCTGTCACTGTCTCAATCCAACCCAGCCATTGGGGTTCACTTGCAGAAGAGGATTAATAATGGAGACCCGGAGCTCTATCAGTGGGCAGATAAATGCGGAGGGGAGGCCCAAAGAGATGTTTAATGTATGGAACAGGTTTTAAGAGTTCCATATGATAAGAAATCTTTGCCGTATGCAAAGACTTCTTCTTCTCCCATTAAAGAACCTAGAACCAGCAGAAGAACCTTGCAAAGCCTTTCGGAGGCAGAGAACTCCCAGGGGGATGAAAGGGATGCAGGAACGGATGCGCCGAGCTCTAGGGCTACTTTTCCAGCTCCTATTTCCCATCTGCAGTTCCTTTGCTCAGTGCTTTGGGTCTGTTCATCCCCTGGTTCTTCTGCAGGGAGCACAGAGAGTCAATATGGGAAGATGTCGTAGATCCCTCAGCATCTTCCCTCCTCCACACAGGGACGAGCGGGAATGTTGTTCCATCTCCTGCTTGGTGCTCACTGATCCCCCAAGGTTTTGACATTAAAGTGTCTATTTTTGAAGCCCTCATTTCCTGTCATCTGTGTCTTTATTCCTTTGCTGGGCAGCAGCAGGTGAAGATATTAATATCTCGCCTTCCACCCACTGCTCCTTTTAGCTCTGGAGCCACTCGTGCTCTATATACACATGCACTGAATGAGGAGAGGACGCCAACCAGCCCTGCACTCCAGCACGTTCCCATGGGAGCAATGTTCTCCCTAGGGATAAAACCCAGCATTGATCGTGCTGCAGCTCCTTAGAGAACCCGGATTCACTTGGCCTGGTCTTAAAAGGTGCGACACTTCCAGGGTGAGGGGTCTGCAACAGCACCCAGGGATGCTACACAACATCCTGGTCATGCCACAGGGACACATTTGATGATGTGGGTTATAATGATCCTTTAGATTTTGGCCAATGGAGCCGATCAACAGGAATGTTCTAGGGAAAGGGAGATTTTCCTAATGGAGAGATGAGGAATTGGACAAGAGAAGGTTCAGGGGGGACCTGATGGCTCCCTACAACTGCCTGACAGGAGGATGGAGCCAGGAGGGGCTGGGCTCTGCTCCCAAGGGATGGGACAAGAGGAAACGGCCTCAAGCTGCACCAGGGCAGGTTTAGATGGAGACTTGGAAGAGTTTATCCACCTAAAGGGTGCTCAGGCGTTGGAACAGGCTGCCCAGGGCAGTGCTGGAGTCACTGTCCCTGCAAGTGTTCCCAAACCATGCAGACAAGACCCTCAGTGCCATGGGTTAGTGCTGGGGAGCAGTTGGACCTGCTGATTCCATGATTTTCTGATCATAGGAATATATATAATATCTCCTCATAGGGCTTCCTAACACTAAACCATACTAGGAGCATCATTCAGATGCTCCTTGAAGAGACGACTTTGGCCAGCACCCTATGGAAGGGCTGAAAGAGACCCTAAAATAGACCATACTGAGGGCTGAAGTTCTGATTGTGCTTCAGCAGGTATTGGGCACCCACAACACATCACAAGGCCACCTCACATGGGACACAGATTAAACCCGAGCTGCAGCATCAAAGGGGACGGCGCCTGTTGTGTTCTCTGCATGCTCCGCCTCTGCAGCAGCCCTTCCACAGCCCTGCGAGCACAGGAGGGACCTTTCCAGGCCTGGCACACTGGAGCCTGCGCTAAGGGAGCGGAACGTAGGCATGGATCCAAGCACCCTGATGTCAACAGGAGCATTTCCATTGACGTCAGTAGGCTGGGATCGAGCCCTTCCATGGCCCGGCTTATGTCACCTGCTGCAACAGACACCAGCATCTTCCACAACAAGCCCACTTTGGACCATTCTGCACCCACACTCCCAACCTGGGCTGTTGGAGCAAGGGAATTCCTGGCCTGGATCCAACCTGAGATCTTCCTGTCCTGGAAGATGGTTGCCTTGCAGGAAGGGGTGAGAAGCCTGGGACTGCCTGCTCCACTTTGATCCCATCTCATTCCAGCTTCTAGTAAGGAAAGACGTGCCAGGGCATGAGGTGCAGCAGCCAAACCTGTTGCTTCTATGGGTCATAAACTACTCTGACCATCATACACATTGGGCAGTGTCACCAGCAGGGACCAGGGATGGGGACAGTGGCTGAAACATGGGATGTTTCTTCATGTTTCTCCTCGTTTGGTATGGAAAAACTATCTCAGAGCACAGAAGGGAAATGAACTGGAGATAAACTGCCAATGGCATTTGGACCTACAGAGATACACATGGTTTTGAGCCTCTTGCAGCCATTTGCTCCTTACAGATGCCCAAAGTAAAGCTCAATGCTAAACATACTCATGGAGCATCATCAAAACACAAGGGATTAGCTCAGGGCAGCCAAATTGAGACCAGTCTCACTTAACCATGGTGCCTTGGACAGGGCAGGCCAAATATACCCATACCCTGGGTCTTGTCCGTGTAACCCACCCGGGTGCATGGGGAATCCCTCCTGTGTCATTCCCGGCCAGGCCTCTAGATGTCCACACAACCCAAAGGACGAGGTCCTCACCCCGAGCCACCACCGAACGCTCCCAGGACGGTTCCATCCCAGCCTGCTTTTGCTGGGCTCAGTGAGGGTGAAGGAGGTCAAGGAGGGGGTCCCCACACCCCAGTTGTAGCCACTCAACCTGGTTCTCTACATCCACATCATCTCCATCTGATGTTGGGGGTGAGCATCTCCAGTGAGAGTCCCCTTGCTCCCATTCACACACTGGGAGCCTTGGAGTAACTTTGGGTGCTAAAAGGGAGGAAATTCCCCCATTTCCCTGCTCTCTCCAGCATCTTCCAAGGGACAAAGGGATGAAGCAGGGATGGAATCGCAGGAAACCTTTTGTTTTACGCTGCTTTTCCCTCCCTTCAGGCCACCAAAGGCAAAGGGACCCCTTTGTGGACCCATATGGCCACGAGAGGAGCTGGATTTGCTCTCAGTAGGGGAAGGTTTGGCCGATAGAGCCCAGGAGAGGTCACGCTCTCCCAGCGGGAGGAAAGAGCTTAAGCAGAGTTGGGAGCAGATGATGGACACGGGACTTTCCACGCTCTGCTTCAAATTCCTCCTTGTTTATGGCTCGGTTCAGGCTCTCGTCACAGGCTCCAGTTATCCCTTCCTCTGTTACAGCACTGCCTGCAAGAGAAGTGACCACATCCCACCACGGCAAAGAGCCGCCGGCGCCTGTGTCCGAGCTGGGAATTCCAAGAGGAATTCTCCCTGCTCAACACGGGGAAAAGGGGATCTTGATCCATGATCCGGCCACGAAGCCCTGTGCACCCCTGTATGCAGAGATACATGGAATGAGATGGGTTGGGAGGAACTTTAAAGCTCATGCAAAGCCAAGGTCATGGGACAAGCGGTGGCCTCCCAGGAGCCACCCAAGCCCTGGAGCCGCTTGTTTTCCAGTGGAATCGTGAGATTTATCCATCATGTTCCCTGTGCACAAACAACCTCGCCAGAGGAAATGCCTTTTCCAGCCCCGTTCCCGACCAGGCACATTCTGTCCCATTGTGAATCCCTTCCTGCCCCACTCCTCCCCTCCTCGCTGCCTGGAATTTGCTGGAAGCAGCCATATATGGTGAAAACCATGGCGAAAACTCCATGGAGAGGCTACAGCCCCGGCATGGACCCACCGTGTATCCCAGGTCGGGATCCTGGTGTGAGCTGGGATGAAGGACACTGTGCCAGGAGAGGAGTTTTGACTCCCAGTAAGCTAAACCAGGGAATAGCCACGAAAAAAGGCTTTTGTCCACTTCAGGCTTTTCTCCCAGGTGGGATCCAGACGGATGGTGGGAATCAGGGCAGTTTCCAGGAATCAGGATCAGTTGCTCTTGCGCTGCCCAGTTCTTCCTCCGTGACCCACGCAGCAGCGCCAGCTCCCCATGAGTCACCCCAGGGCCTGGCTTCTCCCTCAACCCAGCCCCGAAGCTCTGAAACCCGGCTATTCCCAGTGCCTAAGGCAGCATTCCCAGCCATGCCGGCAGGAACACTGGGACAAGGCTCTGGCTGTTCCCTTCATCCACCTTTGCTCACAATTAAGGTGGGGGGAGGATGCTCCAAGCAGCGTTCCCTGTGGGAAATAAGCTGAAAAGAGGGAAAATGCCTTAAAATAGCTTAGGAAACTCCCAAAAGCTGTTCCCTAGAATTCCCAGGGGCTTCTCTTCCAATGCCCTTGATGTGTTTGAAGGGGACACTTTGAAGTTTCCTTGTTTTCACAGTATAGAATTCCTCAGCTTTTCCAACCCCCTTGTCGAAGCCAGGGTGGGAAACGTGAAGCGTGTCCCTTAGGACATTATGGAGCGGGCAGGAATTGCCAGCTGGATAAGGGTTAGGAGAGCAAAGGGCAAGGGCTGATTGACAGCTAAAGAGAGGACCTGGGCTGTGGAACGTGCCTTTGACAGTGTCTTTGGCAAGCTGAGGCCTCCATCATCCTTTGACATTGCTGGAATGTGCTTTACTGTCCATGAGCAGAGCCAGGGGCTGGATATGGCTCCCATGGATAGACGGGCACCAAAGGAAACTGGAGAAGGAGAGCGTAAACACGGCTCCTATGGCGCAGATCCAAGCCGGGGGCTTTGGGATCAAATATCCCGGAGCTGGCAAGGCTGGGAAGCAGCGTTTCTCCTTGTTTTGCCAAATCAGAACAAATCCATTCTTCTTTAACCCAGCACGTTTTTCCTGGTGTGCAGTGGGATCCCATGGGATGAGATCGCTGGCACCAGGGAAAAGGTGCAGTTCTTCTATAATGGACCCTGTTGGGATCTGATTTGCTCCCAGAAAGGGAATTTGTCCTGTGGCTTGGCAGGAGAACAGTTTATACCCTGCACCTTATCAGTTTATGCTATCAGGTGTGAATTGACTCCGGGGAAGGACTCGATAGGGAGCAAGAAAAACAAGGAGCGTGCCAGGAACACAGGGACAAACAAGCTCCAGAGGACAATGGAGACAACGACGCACTAAACTCCGTCCCTTTCCCTCAGGCCGGGTGGGGAGGCCTCGGGAACCCCCGTTTTCCATTCTTGCTCCCAAACGCCCACTGTTTTCCCATTTCCTGAGCTGTTAAAGGATTAATGGCTTGGAAAACCAAGGGGCAAAAGAGCCCGCCCTTGCCCCGGAGGGATAACTGTGCAGGGAAATGAGCTGGGAAAGCACACTGGAGGGTTTCTTGGTGTTGAAAGGCTCCTCTGGGGACAATGCACTGTCCTGCCCCCCACTTCCCAGCTGGAAAACAGGGAGGGGGCTGCGCTGACCATGGGGTGTGGTGTTCGCCACCTCTTTTTCTCCTTCTTGAGGAGCAATACATCCACCCCACCGTGTTTTATACAGCACCGTGGATGGGGAGAGGCCTCTCCAAGGCGAGGTTTTGGTCCCCAACCCCAAATCCGCCTTTTTTAACCCCAAATAATGGGGGGGGGCGGGGCACACCCCGGGCTGAGGGGAGACCAAGGCGGAAGGTGGGAACACCAGGGGGGCGCTGGGGAAGGAGGGGGGGGGGAGCCCCCATTGGGCTGACGGCAGCCCCGGGACCGCTCCCAGTTCACCCAGTACCGGCCCGGGCTGGGAGCGGCTTCCCCCGCCCTCCTGCCTGGGAACATGACATCCTGTCCCCTGCTCCCCATTGGCCACCGCCGCCGGCAGTGCTCGCTCCCCATTGGTCCTCCGCGCTGTCACTCCGCCCCCTTCACCTTCTCCCCTCCTCCCTCCTCTCCGCTGAGCACGCTCCCCTCTTCTTCACACGCTGTCCACGCTCCGCACTCTGCGCTCTGATTGGCCGGCGGGCTTGTAAACAAGGCGGCCGCAGCCAATGGCGGCGCTGATCACGCGGGCAGCACGCCTGTCCACGCGCCCTCGCTGTGGCGCCGCTGGCATCCACAGGCGCGGGCGGAGGCGGGGCCGCGCGGCTGAGGCTATAAAAGGGCCGCGGCGGGCGGGGGCCGCGCTCAGAGCGCCCTGGAGCAGCGGAGGGAGCGCGCCTCGTGCGAGCTCGCGGACGGCGGAGCCGAGGGTTCGAGACCCCGTCGCGACCGAAAGCAACCGGTTTCCGGGCTCTTTTCCTCCTCAAGAGGCGAAAGCAGCTCCGCTCAGCCATGGTGATGTTCAAGAAGGTGAAGACCTTCGTGATGACCTTCAGTGAGCCGGAGAAGATCTACTGCAGCGGGGAGAAGGTGGTGGGACGGATACTGGTGGAGGTGGCCGAGGTCACTCGCGTCAACGCCGTCAAGGTGCTGGCCTGCGGGGTGGCCAAAGTGAACTGGACCAAAGGGCCCCAGCAGTGCAGGCAGGAGATGGAGTACTTGCGCTTCGAGGATGTCCTGAGCCTGGAGGAGCAGCCCACTGGTGAGGAGATGGGGCTGGGAGGTGGGGAGGGAAGGGCTGGAAGGGGTTTTTCCTGGTTGGGAGGTTGAGCAGTCATGGGTGAGTTGTGCTGGGCAGGCTGAGTGGGGTTGGATGGTGGTGGAGTCCTAAGAGGAATAAGGATGTTCATTGAAACTTGTGCAACAAAAGGGCTTGGCTAAGACAGGCTCAAAGTTGGAAAGCTGGGGGCTAAAACTAAAGCGTAGAGAAACCACTGAGTGTTGTGGGGCTCAGGGAACAGGCGCAGAGTTGGCCTCGGCTGGGGAGCCTCACCCAAGGGCCAGAGTCTCTTCCTCTGGGCATGGAGAGCTCCTTCTGCAGTGCTCCCATTGGGAAGGCACGAGCGAGGGACGTGACCAAGTGTCCCACGAGATAACGGGGGTGACGTGAAGTCTTGGCAATAGAGAGCAGTGGGAACAGGGTGTTGGCTGCAGCCCATAGGGAAGTGGTGTCCCAGCCTTGGGCAGGGATGTTGTAAGCAGTGAGGAGACAGGGCTGTCCTGGGGGCAGGTGGAGGCAGCTCTTGGCCAACAGCTTCCCTTGCTCCTCCCCTGTGTGAGCAGAGCTGAGGGGAGCACTGAGGAATGAAACTGGTCCTTCTCACACTTCTCTTCCCCTTTTCTTTCCCAGATGGGGATGGCTCCGTGATCCTGAGACCTGGCAACAAATATGAGTACAAGTTTGGATTCGAGCTTCCCCAGGGGTAAGTCTTTGATGGAACCCTGCTTCCTAAAATGGGATGGGGATGGAGAAGAAGCTTCCTGTTGCCTTAGCTGTGCCTGACAAGCCTCTCTTTCCACAGTCCCCTGGGCACCACCTTCAAGGGGAAGTATGGCTGTGTGGATTACTGGGTCAAGGCTTTCCTGGAGCGCCCATCCTATCCCACTCAAGAGATCAAGAAGCGCTTCGAAGTGATGGACCCAGTCGATGTGAACACCCCAGAGCTTCTGGTAAGTGCTGGCTGTCTCCAGGCATCCCAGGGAGAGGAGCCTTCGGGCAGGGTCGCTCCGACCTCTAGCATTAAGGCTCCTCTAATGGGCTTTGTTGCTGAGTGGAGATTAAATACTTAGTTCTTAAGAAGCTTTCGTTGCTACTAGCAATGTACACCAGGGTGGATAAAGGGAAGCACTTGTTTCACTGCGAGACACTCAAACCTCATGGGGAATTGGAAGCTTTGCTTGGAAAACCCAGAGGAGCAGGATGGGAATGGCGGATGGGTTCCACCTGGGTAATGATCTCTCTCCTCCACAGTCTCCAGTTGCTGCCAAGAAGGAGAAGAAGGTGTCGTGCATGTTCATCCCCGATGGGCGTGTGTCTGTCAGTGCTCAGATCGACAGGAAGGGGTTTTGTGACGGTAAGAGCCTCTTGCAGCAGGGGAACAAGCAGAGCTGGGTGGAGGAGATACTGAAAGTGGACATCCCGCAAGGAAAAGGCTCCAGTCTTAACACCCAGTGTGGTTCCTTCCCCAGGCGATGACATCTGCATCAACGCCGACTTCGAGAACACATGCTCGCGCATCGTGGTGCCCAAGGCAGCCATCATAGCCAAGCACACCTACCTGGCCAACGGACAGACCAAGGTCTTCACCCAGAAGCTCTCCTGTGTCCGGGGCAACCACATCATCTCAGGCATGTCCGAGTCCTGGCGAGGCAAAACTATCAGAGTGAAAAAGCTCAAACCTTCCATATTGGGCTGCAACATCCTGCGTGTGGAGTACTTCCTGCAGGTGAGCACCGCGGGACCCTGCTTGTTTTGGGGGTGAAGCCTGCTTGTTGTTGGAGCCCAACATCCCTTACATCTCCTGGTCTCACCCTCACAGATCTACGTAAGCGTCCCGGGCTCCAAGAAGATCATCCTGGAGCTGCCCCTGGTCATCGGCAGCCGCTCGGGCATTGGCAGCCGCAGCTCCAGCATGGCCAGTCAGGCCAGCTCCGAGATGAGCTGGGTGAACCTGAACCTTCCCGATGCTCCTGAAGGTGAGTGCTGAACCCCACAGCTCGGGGTTGGGGGGCTCAGGGGTGCTGGGGGTGCAGCAGTGAGCTCATGGCTCCCTCCATCCCTGCAGCACCTCCGTGCTACCTGGACATTGTCCCTGAGGACCATCGCCTGGAGAGTCCCACCACACCGCTGCTGGATGACACCGACAGCTTCGACAGCCCCATCTTCATGTACGCACCCGAGTTCAAGTTCATGCCACCACCCACCTATACGGAGGTGAGCGGGGTGAAGACAATGGGATGGTGTTTCCCATTGGGATGAAATAGATCCCTTGGGATCTACAGAGCCTGCTCCCTTTCCTCCCTTAGGTGGATCCCTGCATCGCCAACAACAATGTGCAGTGAGGTGAGAGTGACTCTTCCTGCTTTTTCCGGACTGCCGCTGGCCGCCACGCGGTCCCAGGGCCCTGCCCCGGGCAGTGGGCATGGAGGAGGTGCTGCAGCGTCCTTCCGAGCCTGGGTGTTCCCTCGGGACCTCGCCTTGCTGCCGGAATCCTGCGGAAAAACCAGTCCCAAACTCCTGAGGTGCTTCCCTGGAAATGGGGGAGCCTCGAGGTGGAGGTTGCAGAGCCAGGGGGGAGAAGAGGCAGATCCAACCCAAAGAGACTTGATTCCAAAGCAAAACCAAGCCAGGGACGCTGTCCATAGGGATATAGCGCTGCCTCTGATCCAATTTGGTCCACCATCCTCAGGGACCTCGGTGCTGTGCCGGGATGTGCCATGAGCATAGTTGGTTGTTGGTCTTGAGCGTTGTTGCTGCTGCCACAATAGAGAGGCCACGATGGAGGGAGGCCTCCTGTGGAGGCCGAGTTGTTCCCGAGTGCTGGAACCAAACTCCATCGGCTCTTCCCTGGGAAAGGAAGAGCTCTGGAATCTGGAATGCCTCCAGTGTTGGCCATATGGCAGCAAGTTCTTTTTGTACTTGTTTTGTAGTTAGTTGGGGTGGGGGGGGGGAAGGGGCTCTTTTGTACCACTGACACCGTGTGCCCCCGTGGGGTGACGTTTGTAATAAAGATCCAATGCGATTGTCAGGCTCTGGAGTCATGGAATGGGTGGGGTGGGAATGGCCCTTTACAGCTCATCTGCAGCCACGGGCAGGGACCCCTTCCACCGGAGCAGGATGCTCCAACCCCTGTGTCCAACCTGGTCTTGAGCACTGCCAGGGATGGGGCAGCCACAGCTTCTCTGGGCACCCTGTGCCAGCGCCTCAGCACCCTCCCAGGGAAGAGCTTCTGCCTCAGAGCTCAGCTCAGTCTCCCATCGGGCAGGTTCAAGCCATTCCCCTTGGCCTGTCCCTGCATCCCTTGTCCCAAGCCCCTCTCCAGGTTTCCTGCAGCCCCTTCAGGCACTGGAGCTGCTCTAAGGTCTCCCGTTCAGGAGCCTTCTCTTCTCCAGGCTGCCCCAGCCTGGCTCCATGGCAGAGCTGCTCCAGCCCTCGCAGCAGCTCTGGGGCCTCCTCTGTCACCCCAGAGCTGGAGGCAGCGGTTGTGGGGTGGGGGGGTTATCCCGATGCCCCTCAAAGGAGCGGTTTTCTCACCCCAGGATCCGCAGCTCCCGCTCCCCCCGCGCTGTTTTCCGGGGGATGTGGGTGAAAGTTGACGCTGGTTCGAGGAACGGGACCGGGAGAGGAAAAACAGCCTCGACCTTGGCTCCGCTCCTCACCCCTGCCCCACTTGGAGCCTGCCCCGGGCCCAGCTCCACGGCGCCGGCTCCCACCGGGCCTCAGTTTCCCCAGCACTTATCTCCCTGCAGGGCTCCGTGAGCTCTTATCTCTGCCGTGCCAGCCCGAGCACACGAGCACATCCCCACGGCTCCATCCGGGCCTCAGTTTCCCTCCCTGGTGTCGTGGTGCCCATTGCTCCAAGACCATGGCACCCGTTGCTCTGTCTCCTTGTGTGCCTCAGTTTCCCTCCCCAGGGGCACAGCACCCATTGCTCCAGCTTCCTTCGTGCCTCAGTTTCCCTCCCTGGGGTCCTGGTATCCATTACTCCAGTGCCGTAACACCAATTGCTCCAGCTCCTTCCGTGCCTCAGTTTCCTTCCGTGGGGTCATGGCACGCATTGCTCCAAGACCATGGCACCCATTGGTCTGTCTCCTTGTGTGCCTCAGTTTCCCTTTCCAGGGGCACAGCACCCATTGCTCTGGAACCACAGCACCCATTGCTCTAGCTCCCTTTGTGCCTCAGTTTCCCTTCCCGGGGTCATGGTACCCATTGCTCCAGGGCCATGGCTCCCAAGGCTCTAGATCCCTCCGTGCCTCAGTTTTCTTCCCTGGGGTCATGGCACCCCTTGATCCAAGACCATGACACCCATTGCTCTTTCTCCTTGTGTGCCTCAGTTTCCCTCCCCAGGGGCACAGCACCCATTGTTCCAGCTCCTTCTTGCCTCAGTTTCCCTTCCTGGGGTCATGGCAGCCATTGTTGCAAGACCATGGCACCCATTGCCTTCATTCATGCCTCAGTTTCCCTCCCTGAGATCATAGCACCCATTGTTCCAAGACAGTGTCTCCCACTGCTTCAGGGCCATGGCAGCCACTGCTCCAGCTCTCTCTGTGCCTCAGCTTCCCTTCCTGGGGCCATGGCTCCCATCGCTCCATGGCATGGCTCACATGGCTCCAGCTCCCTTCCTGCCCCAGTTTCCCTCCCCAGGGGCTCAGCACCCATTCACTGCTCTGGAAGCTCAGCACCCATCGCTCCAGCTCTCTCTGTGCCTCAGTTTCCCTCCCCAGGGGCTCAGCACCCATTCACTGCTCCGGAAGCTCAGCACCCATCGCTCCAGCTCTTTCTGTTCCTCAGTTTCCCTCCCCAGGGGCTCAGCACCCATTCACTGCTCTGGAAGCTCAGCACCCATCGCTCCAGCTCCCTTCCTGCCTCAGTTTCCCTCCCCAGGGGCTCAGCACCCATTCACTGCTCCGGAAGCTCAGCACCCATCGCTCCAGCTCTTTCTGTTCCTCAGTTTCCCTCCCCAGGGGCTCAGCACCCATCGCTCCAGCTCCCTTCCTGCCTCAGTTTCCCTCCCCAGGGGCTCAGCACCCATCTCTCCAGCTCTCTCTGTGCCTCAGTTTCCCTCCCCAGGGGCTCAGCACCCATTCACTGCTCTGGAAGCTCAGCACCCATCGCTCCAGCTCCCTCTGTTCCTCAGTTTCCCTCCCCAGGGGCTCAGCACCCATTCACTGCTCTGGAAGCTCAGCACCCATCGCTCCAGCTCTCTCTTGTGCCTCAGTTCCCTCCCCAGGGGCTCAGCACCCATTCACTGCTCTGGAAGCTCAGCACCCATCGCTCCAGCTCCCTTCCTGCCTCAGTTTCCCTCCCCAGGAGTACAGCACCCATCGCTCCAGCTCCCTTCCTGCCTCAGTTTCCCTCCCCAGGGGCTCAGCACCCATTCACTGCTCCGGAAGCTCAGCACCCATCGCTCCAGCTCTTTCTGTTCCTCAGTTTCCCTCCCCAGGGGCTCAGCACCCATCGCTCCAGCTCTCTCTGTGCCTCAGTTTCCCTCCCCAGGGGCTCAGCACCCATTCACTGCTCTGGAAGCTCAGCACCCATCGCTCCAGCTCCCTTCCTGCCTCAGTTTCCCTCCCCAGGGGCTCAGCACCCATTCACTGCTCCGGAAGCTCAGCACCCATCGCTCCAGCTCCCTTCCTGCCTCAGTTTCCCTCCCCAGGGGCTCAGCACCCATTCACTGCTCCGGAAGCTCAGCACCCATCGCTCCAGCTCTTTCTGTTCCTCAGTTTCCCTCCCCAGGGGCTCAGCACCCATTCACTGCTCTGGAAGCTCAGCACCCATCGCTCCAGCTCTCTCTGTGCCTCAGTTTCCCTCCCCAGGGGCTCAGCACCCATTCACTGCTCTGGAAGCTCAGCACCCATCGCTCCAGCTCTTTCTGTTCCTCAGTTTCCCTCCCCAGGGGCTCAGCACCCATCGCTCCAGCTCCCTTCCTGCCTCAGTTTCCCTCCCCAGGGGCTCAGCACCCATTCACTGCTCCGGAAGCTCAGCACCCATCGCTCCAGCTCTTTCTGTTCCTCAGTTTCCCTCCCCAGGGGCTCAGCACCCATCGCTCCAGCTCTCTCTGTGCCTCAGTTTCCCTCCCCAGGGGCTCAGCACCCATTCACTGCTCTGGAAGCTCAGCACCCATCGCTCCAGCTCCCTTCCTGCCTCAGTTTCCCTCCCCAGGGGCTCAGCACCCATTCACTGCTCTGGAAGCTCAGCACCCATCGCTCCAGCTCCCTTCCTGCCTCAGTTTCCCTCCCCAGGGGCTCAGCACCCATTCACTGCTCTGGAAGCTCAGCACCCATCGCTCCAGCTCCCTCTGTTCCTCAGTTTCCCTCCCCAGGGGCTCAGCACCCATTCACTGCTCTGGAAGCTCAGCACCCATCGCTCCAGCTCTTTCTGTTCCTCAGTTTCCCTCCCCAGGGGCTCAGCACCCATTCACTGCTCTGGAAGCTCAGCACCCCTCACTCCAGCTCTTTCTGTTCCTCAGTTTCCCTCCCCAGGGGCTCAGCACCCATTCACTGCTCCGGAAGCTCAGCACCCATCGCTCCAGCTCTTTCTGTTCCTCAGTTTCCCTCCCCAGGGGCTCAGCACCCATCGCTCCAGCTCTCTCTGTGCCTCAGTTTCCCTCCCCAGGGGCTCAGCACCCATTCACTGCTCTGGAAGCTCAGCACCCATCGCTCCAGCTCTCTCTGTCCCTCAGTTTCCCTCCCCAGGGGCTCAGCACCCATTCACTGCTCTGGAAGCTCAGCACCCATCGCTCCAGCTCCCTCTGTTCCTCAGTTTCCCTCCCCAGGGGCTCAGCACCCATTCACTGCTCCGGAAGCTCAGCACCCATCGCTCCAGCTCCCTTCCTGCCTCAGTTTCCCTCCCCAGGGGCTCAGCACCCATTCACTGCTCTGGAAGCTCAGCACCCATCGCTCCAGCTCCCTCTGTTCCTCAGTTTCCCTCCCCAGGGGCTCAGCACCCATTCACTGCTCTGGAAGCTCAGCACCCCTCACTCCAGCTCTTTCTGTTCCTCAGTTTCCCTCCCCAGGGGCTCAGCACCCATTCACTGCTCTGGAAGCTCAGCACCCCTCACTCCAGCTCTTTCTGTTCCTCAGTTTCCCTCCCCAGGGGCTCAGCACCCATTCACTGCTCTGGAAGCTCAGCACCCCTCACTCCAGCTCTTTCTGTTCCTCAGTTTCCCTCCCCAGGGGCTCAGCACCCATTCACTGCTCCGGAAGCTCAGCACCCATCGCTCCAGCTCCCTCTGTGCCTCAGTTTCCCTCCCCAGGACCACGGCTCCATCACTCCAGGACCACGGCTCCCGTTCCTCCGGCTCTGCCCGTGCCACGGCCGTGCCCCCCCCGCGCTCCCGGGCTCAGCTCCAAGTGGGTGAAAGGTTGCTCCTGCTCCAGGCCAAGTATGGGCAGGAAGAGCCGGGCCCAGGGGTGGTGGCGGCGCGAGGGGGCCACGGCCACCGGGACCCCGACACGGACCCGCACCCCCCAGGAAGGTGTCACCCCCAGTGTGATGTCCCCAATGTGATCCCCCGAATGTGATCCCCCCCAATGTGATCCCCCGAATGTGATCCCCCGAATGTGATATCCCCAATATGATGTCCCCAATGTGATCCCCTGAATGTGATCCCCCCCAATGTGATCCCCCGAATGTGATCCCCCCCAATGTGATCCCCCCCAATGTGATCCCCCGAATGTGATCCCCCCAATGTGATCCCCCCCAATGTGATCTCCCAAATGTGATCCCCCCCAATGTGATCCCCCGAATGTGATCCCCCCCAATGTGATCCCCCGAATGTGATCCCCCGAATGTGATATCCCCAATATGATGTCCCCAATGTGATCCCCCGAATGTGATCCCCCCCAATGTGATCCCCCGAATGTGATCCCCCCCAATGTGATCCCCCCCAATGTGATCCCCCGAATGTGATCCCCCCAATGTGATCCCCCCCAATGTGATCCCCCGAATGTGATCCCCCCCAATGTGATCCCCCAAATGTGATCCCCCGAATGTGATCCCCCCAAATGTGATCCCCCGAATGTGATCCCCCCAATGTGATATCCCCAATATGATGTCCCCAATGTGATCCCTCCAATGTGATGTCCCCCAGTGTGATTCCCCAAAATGTGACATCCCCCCAATGTGATGTCCCCCTAATCTGATTCCCCCCAATGTGATCCCCCAATGTGATGTCCCAGTGTGATCCCCCCAATGTGATGTCCCCCTAATCTGATCCCCCCCAATGTGATCCTCCCGATGTGATCCCCCAATGTGATGTCCCCTGAATCTGATCCTCCCCAATGTGATGTCCCCCAATGTGATGTCCCCAATGTGATGTCCCCAATGTGATGTCCCCAATGTGATGTTCCCCAGTGTGATCCCCCCAATGTGATGTCCCCCCAATATGATCCCCCCAATGTGATGTTCCCCAGTGTGATCCCCCCAATGTGATGTCCCCCCAACCTGATCCCCCCAATGTGATGTCCCCAATGTGATGTTCCCCAATGTGATGTCCCCCCAACCTGATCCCCCCAATCTGATCCCCCAGTGTGATGTCCCCCAATATGATCCCCCCAATGTGATCCCCCCAGTGTGATGTCCCCCCAATATGATCCCCCCAATATGATCCCCCCAATGTTATGTTCCCCAGTGTGATCCCCCCAATGTGATCCCCCCAATGTGATGTCCCCCAATCTGATCCCTTCAATGTGATCCCCCAATGTGATGTTCCCCAGTGTGATCCCCCAAATGTGATGTCCCCGCAGTGTGATCCCCCCAGTCTGATCCCCCCCATGTGATCCTCCCAATACGATCCCCCCAATGTGATTCCCCAATGTGATGTTCCCCAGTGTGATCCCCCCAGTGTGATGTCCCTCCAACCTGATCCCCCCCAATCTGATCCCCAATGTGATCCCCCAATGTGATCCTCCCAATACGATCCTCCCCAATGTGATCCCCCAATGTGATGTTCCCCAGTGTGATCCCCCCAGTGTGATGTCCCTCCAACCTGATCCCCCCCAATCTGATCCCCAATGTGATCCCCCCAATGTGATGCTCCCCCCGTGTGCCGTCCCCCCCAGTGCAATGTCCCTCAATGCGGTGTCCCCTTTGCATTGTGTGTCCCCCCCCCCGCCTGTCCCAGCCCCTGGCATTGGGCCTGTCCTGGCTCCGGCCGCACTTCCCAACCACTCCATTTGCTTCCAACTCGGCCAAGGTCCCCGGGACAAAGAGGTCCCGAGGAGACACCGGGGGGGGAGGAATTGATCGCCCCCCCCCCCAACCCCTTTCCCCATGGGATTGAGGGCAGCTCCCCCCAGCCCCGATTCCCCTCTTCCCAGGGCTTTTCCAGCTGCTTTTATTCCTGGGGATGGGGCTGGTCCCGGGGGGAACAGGATGGGGTTGGGATGGGGCTGAGGGATGGGAATGGGAACAAACCTTGGATTTATGGAGCTGTTCCTTCCTCTGGGTGTGTGAGTGAGAACGGGCCATAAACAAGAACCCGCGGGGGGGGGGCGCGCACATGAGCCCACGTGAGCGGCTCCTCCTTGTCCCAGCCTTGTCCTCCCCGTCGGCACAAACAACTTCCCCTTTCCCCGTCCAAATCCCTTCACCCCCACACAATACTCCCCTTTCCCCCCCAAATCCTCCTTTTCCCTCCAAAATCCTCCTCCCCCCATCCCCTTTCCCACACAAATCACCTTTCCTCCCCAAAATAACCCCTTCCCCCCCCCCTTCACTGCCATGAGCTGGGCAGGGGTCTGGGTGAGCCCACTTTGGGGTTGGGGGTGACAAGGGACGTGTGGGACCCCAGAGACATGCGGGGTTGGGAAGGGGAGCACAAACGCCGCTTCCTCCCCAGCTTTGGTCTCTGGGGGGGCTGGTCCTGCCCCCGCTGGGCTGGAGCTCAGAACCATAGGGGTTCACGGAGAGGGGGATACTGGGGTGTGTTCCCCACCAGACCTGGGACAGGCAAAGATGAGCCAGAAATAGAGAAATTTACTTTAATCCACCCAAAATGAGTTTAAAAAATCACAAGTATTAAAAAGCTGCTTCAAAAAGGGGGGGAGTTTGTGAGACCCCCCCATCCTTAATACCACTTCCCAAGGACAATCCCACCCGCCCCCAGCTTGGGGACAAGGCTGCAGGGGATCGGGACTCCCCCCCCCCCCAAGCTGGGGGGCAATAGGGGGGCCCCATGAGCTGCCAACACCGGGTGTGGCCCCCCCCGCCATCCCTGGAGCACGAGTGCCCCCTGGCGGCTGGAGGTGGTGGTGATGGGAGGGGTGACAGAAGACACCCCAATGTCCTGGGGGACCCCAGTGTCCGGGGGGGTCAGTAGACGGCCTCGTCCATGTTGTCATCGCTGTCAGCACCAAAGTCCTCCCATTGTCGAAGTAGGACATGATGTAGTCGGTCTCCTAAGGGGGACATGGTAGGGTCAGGGGGAAACACGGGAGTCCTGGGACCCCCTCACCCCACCATGGCCACGGCCATCACACCAATGAGGTTCTACTGCCCATCCCCCTGGGCCCCACCTCACCTCTTCGTGTTCTTCCTCATCGTACTCCTCTTCCTCCTCCTCCTTCCCTTCCTCTTCCTCTTCCTTCTCCTCTTCCTCCTCCGATGTCACCTCCTCCTCCCTTCTTCTCAGACTCTGGGGGGGGTCCCACAGCGTTATGGGGCACCCCAAACCCCCCCGGTGTGGGGAACCCTCCGCTCCCCACCATTCACCACTGCTACCTCCAGCTTCTTTATGGCCTCCTCCTTGTCGAGCGCCACCCGCTGCTTGCACTTGGGAACGAGGATGGTGGCTCCTACGGGATGGGGGGGCAAAGGGGAGCGGTGCCTGATGGGGACATGGGGAGACATAGGGGGACACGGGAGGGCATGGAGGAGGACATGGGGAGGACACGGTGGGGGGGACATAGGGCGACACTCACGGTTCTTCCGTAGCCGTCGCACCCGGATCTTCAGCTCTTGTGGCAGCCGCCTCCAGTCTGTGGGGCAGAGCAAGGGGATGGGGACCCCCAGGTCCCTTGTCCCCCAAACACACCCTCTGTCACCCTTCACCCCCCAGGCCCTCTCTTCCCCCCCCCCCCCCCCCAGGTCCCTCTACCCGGTTGTGTCCCCCCAAACCCCCCCGTGCCCCCACCTGGGTTCCAGTCAATGGCGCTGTCAACGGGGCTGGAGATCTGGTACTTGTCCGAGTAGCGCTCGATATCTGGGGGGTCCCAGAGCAGGATGGGGGGAGTCAGTGGGGTGCTCCCTGCAGGCTGGGACCCTCCGCCCCCCTCCCCCCCCCCGGTACCCTCCGGGGTGCCCCCCGGCTTTACGAAGTAGGGGAGGTTTCCTCATGGCCCCCTCAGCTCCTGCCTTCAGCGCTAACATGTACTCGCCCTCCTCGCCCCCCGGCAGTGGGGCCGCGCGGTGCTCCAGGGGCTGGGGGAGGATCAGGGCACTGAGCACACCCGGGCTCAGCCCCTCCCAAGGGACCAAGACCGTGCCCGTCCCCAGGAACTCACCGGGAAGAGGGGGAGGGCTGGAGCGTGGGGGGGGGCAGCGCCTCCCCCTTCCCGATGCCCACGGCCTCCACGTTGAACGTCATCTGCCCCCGGCCCCGGCCGCGGCCCCGGCCCGCCATGGCTGGGGGGGCGCGGGGGGCGCTGGGGGAAGAGGCGGGGATTGAAGGGGGGAGATGGGGCAGCCCCCCCTGAGCTGAAGGAGGACCCCGGGGGGCATGGGGGGCAGCGGGGTCGGAAGGGACGGGGGGGGAGGGGGAGAGACACGAGGAACCCCCCCCCCCAAATCCGATCCCGGTACGGGTCCCGGTCCTCACCTCGCGCATGCGCAGCGCTCCACGTGTGTCCGGTGTCGCCGGAGCAACGCAACGTTGCGAAAGGGCCGCGCTGATTTGCGGATGGAAAAGCCAATCAGAGGGGAGGAGGCGGGAAAAGGGCGGGCTAAGGGAGGAGAATGAAGGCATGAATGGGGCAGGGGGGGCTGATGGGGCAGTGAGGGCCACAGTGCTGGGGGCCAGGGACCGGCCCCAGGGCAAGCGGGGTGGGAAA